GTTTAGTATAGGGGCCTTAAAATTTTGAATAGGGTTTGGGGTTATATTATGCTTGACCAGAATAAGGAACTCCTGAACGCCTGGTCTGATTATTAAGGTCCCTACATTGCCTGGAGAACTCTTGAAAATCCGGTGCTTGGACATCAGGATTGGTCCCGAGACGCCCGTTTCCATTCCCAAGGCAGGGACCAAGGGAGTTTCATGGGATCGTCTCCAGCGTGTCGATTTCAGCAGAGCAGCGCAGAAGATGCAGAAGCGGGTGTTTAGCGTGTGGTTTGAGACCTCATGGCCTCCAGCTTTGTCAAAGGCTGCTGGGAGAGAATCTGCTCGCAGGAGCTCACTTGCGTCGCTTCAAGCAGGGGTTACTTCCTGAATCCTGAATTCAGTCATATCGGAGTACTGAAGAGTCCTCCATGAATCAATAGCCCTGAGACCCCGAGCCCTTCCCTTTGCCAAGTGAGGTGGCGCGCGAGAAGCCCGAGGCACCCCGAACCGAGGGCTTCTTCGGGTTTTTTGGGCAGACTCCGGCCGAGCCGAGGGAATCTTGCATCGGGGACTATTTTGGGGTTCCTAAACCTTAGAGTTTCCTCAACTCCCTATGCCCTAAGAGTTCCTAAAGTTTCCTAAACTCCCTAAACGGCAATCGACACCATCCTGGCTGTTTCAGATACCACCCGAAGGGTTGCTGAGCTTGGCACCATGGGTGCTGTGAGCGTGTTTTCGGAATGCGCTCGAAGCTGGCGATTTCTGCGTCATGGGAACAGCCCGTCAGAAAGTTGAATTTGCCACAAGCTACGAAGCCGTTTAGGCCCTACTTGGAGGATCATGCGACTTAGTATGTAAGGTTACAAGTACCTTAGTTGGAGGTACAAGTAACGATCACTATACTTACCTTATCTATAGCCCTAGTTACTACTTGTAAGTCCTATGATCCTCTAAGTAGGGTTTCGAAGACCGACCCCTAAAACCCAGGCTCGAACCAGGGTATTATAGAACTCTTGCAGAGCGCCTATAGGATCCCCCATAGAAGCCTGTCGAACGGGGGGATGGCCCAGGGTTGAATCCTAAGTTCGAGCTCTTGGAACCCCTTGTTTGGAATCCATGTGGGTAGTTCTCCAAACTAGGGTCCTTCTTAGGTCCCCAAAGTGGTATGGCACCCTGCATCGCGCAAAAGGACCCTATATTTAGGGAGCTACCCAGAAGAGCCCTTTCCACCTAAAAACCCGACAATAAAACCCTAAGCCCTAACCTTAAATCCTAAAGCCTAACCCCAAACCTTTAAGCCCTAAACCCCCTAAACCCTGAACCCTAAACCCCTAAAACCTAAACCCCTGAGCCCCTTAACCTTAAAACCACCCAAACGCCCTCGAGGTCGATTTCGAGGCCGAGTTGGCGATCATCCTGGGCCGCCCAGCCTCCCGACCTCGCTGTCTTCGGGGTCTTACTTGGGAGTTTCCGAAAATGGAAGGGGCTTAGCGGTTAAGGGATTAGGGTGTAGAGTTAGCCGGGTCAGCATACTGATGATAGGCAACGTCTATATTAGGGTCCTTACCTGGAGGGTGGGGGGACTTAGTAGGTAGTGAGTAGACATATAAGTTCCCCACACGGCACCCTAACTTCGGGTTACGATACTTCTAAGTCTTAACATAGCTACTTGCTATCCCTGTGTGGAGAGGTCGAGGGACTAAAACGTCCCTCGACCTCTCCACACAGGGACCTTTTAGATTCGGGGTGTAGGGGTTTACCACACAGGAGATTCCGAAAACAGGGGCACCCCCCAAAGAAAGAGTTCTAAATAGAAGGATCCTCATAAGGACCTTCCAAGAAGGCACCCCTAATGTTCGGAAACTCCTACACTGCTGCCAAGATTTAACACCTAGGACCCAGAGTGGGCCCTTATTCACTTTTTTGAGGTTTAGGTTCCCGTATAACCCCCTTTAAACCAGAAAGGGCACCCTTTTTATTGCTAGGATACTCTCAGGTCTAGACACAATAGCAACGAGATAGCATCTCACGATTGCGGCGCCTGCCCCGACTTGCAGAAGCAGTTTATTTTTTTAGCAACGAGATATCCTCTCCGCCAAACCGCAGTGCAGGCCCTAGACCCTAACATAGCGCCTGGAGTCGTTTCTTCCTCGTTGTCCTGTTGTAGCGGTTAGACGGGATGTTGGCGGACGGAACTAAGCATAAAGGTATGAAAGAAGCATGCATGATCAAGAAGGGTACGAAGAAAGCTAATACAAATCATCACAGAAAATCTTATGTTTCGTTCAGGCGTTCGTAATAAACACGCACTTCGCTTCATTATTCACTCCGTTTGTTTTATTACTCCACTTTCCTCACTACACCTTTAGAATGAAAATAGGTTCTGGAATTTAGGTGGATCTTGGAAGAGGAATTCCTTGACCAGCCACGAACCTACAATGATGTGTTGAGATTAGAAGAAGGATATGGTAAGGATAATTTAAGTCAACAGATTCAACTAGAAATATGTAATCCTAAAATATGCACGAATTTAGCTGAATTAAAGCTGAACGAACATGCTTCCACTTTGCTCCATTATTTCGTTCACTTTAATGCAAGATAGCCAGCTAAGGCCACTACATTATGGAACCCTGATAGTAGCCCTTGTAGTAACCCCTTTGAAGGGAACCCTGTACCCTATACCCTATTCTTAGCCAGCTAAGGTGAGGGATGCGACGCCCGAAACGGCTCTGGAAGCGGCGCCGCAGCTGCAGCGACACGGTTTTGGAATGGCACAGCCCAGTCGTGCCGTATAGTATTCCCTGAAAGGGTCCAAATATGACTAGAGCATTCCCTGATAGCCCCTAGCATAACTAGAGGTTCATATACCCCCCTAAAGCCCCATTTCTGAATTGCGAGCTTCTTTTAGCGTAACTTCCAGGTGCTGGGAGTGACGGCTGCCAACGACATCTCTGCACGAAGGCTCTTGGTTCGAGACAGGGGTTTCCGGTTCACGTGCACGTGGTCCCTCATGGGCTTAGGGTTGAGGGGTTTTAGGGTTCAGGGTTTTAGGGTTTCGGATTTTAGGGTTCAGGATTTTAGGGTTTCGGGTTTTAGGGTTTATGATTTAGGGCTTTAGCATGGGCTATTTAGGGCTTTGGGTTTAGGGTTGCGGTTCGAAGGTGGGAGGGAGGGTAAGCTGCGATGCAGGATGACGGACCTGTTCTAGAAACCGAAGCATCTACATTGATATAGATATCTTATGTCATCTGCAAAATCGGGGGCAATTGGTGCCATGTTTGCAGCAATCAAGAGAAATAGCTCTGTGTCTCAAAAGGTACTATTGAGGCTATTAAGGCCCCTACGGTTGATGATATAAATCCTGCATTACCCATTATAAGGAATACACCATAATTCCCATAGTTTAGGGCCCTTAAGGTGATGCAGGATTTAACATCAACCCTAAACCCTATTCCCTATAGATCCCTTAAAGGAGCCCCTTAAAGCTACCCTTATAGATCCCTTTGAAGGAACCTCAGGATTTATATCATCAACCGGATTTTCCGGAGGTTGGGGCGAGGCAAGGACTAGGAAGCAGCTAATCCTTGACGCAGAAGCCGTTTCCGATGTATGCAACCCCCCCCATCTTGCCTGGGCTTCGGGTTTAGGGGTTTTAGGGTTCAGGGTTTTGGGTTTCGGATTTTAGGGTTCAGGATTTTAGGGTTTCGGGTTTTAGGGTTTATGGTTTAGGGTTTAGGGTTTAGGGTTCACCATTTGTGCAGATCCAACGCGGTCTTCAACCCGGACCCCAAGCCGCGAAGCCCGAGCCCTCATCTTCCGCAGAACAGTCTGTTCAGAGCTTCAAAGGAGCTAACCCCAATCCTTCGAGCAGGGTTTGGATATCATGACTTATGATAACTATGACATATGACAAGCTATGATACTTGTAATAGGTCAATATGGACGATAAAGGGGGCTGTGAATTTAAATTCCTCAGACCTGTACTGTAGGATCACATGCAGGGGCCCTTTGCGAAGCAAACCACCAGCTTCCAGACTCACAGAGGGCATCTCGGACAGCTATCTCGCCAGAGCTATGTGGGTGGTTGTCAAAACTATGGTCCCTTTGGGTCCCTGTTATAATACGGCACCTATTATTTAGGGTACCCAAAAAGGGACCTTAATTTTGACAACTACCCAGGTGGGCAGTTCTCTAAACTAGGGTTCTTTTAAGGCCCTTGTATTATGGTGCCGTACTCTTTTGGGGACGAAAAAGGGTCCCAGGTTCAGAGACTTGCCAGTGAGGGAGTATAAGAAACGACGGGAAAAAGGCACCCGTGATCGGAAGAAACTTTATGAAAGCCTGCTGCTGTGTTGCGAAGGTGGCAGGGGAAGAAGGGAGGAGGACAGTGGTCCCGATCCAAATCCTTCGACACCTTCTGCCCCCTTGGGCCCACGCTGCTGCCCGTGATGGGCCCTGAGCTCAGAGTGCTCAAGATCATTCCTGAGGGCTCCTTGTTCGAACTATATCATAAACCCTGAAGCCCTACACCAATTATATATATATATATATACACCCTAAACCCTAAACTCTACACAAATTATATATATATATATATATATATAAATAAATTAGCCCGTGATGGGCTGCGAGTGCGGGGAATGTCACCTTGCCACAGGCACTCAGCCAGTGGAGGATCATGGGACTTAGTAAGTGCAGTTATGAGGAAGTAGATGATAAGTAGACTTGTAAGTACCCTGAAAGGGTTCCTTATTGGGCTTATGATACTTATAAGTCTACTTATTATCTGCTTACTATTTCACTAAGTTATGTGTACCTTCATTAACCCTGCCCATATGATCCTTCAACAAGGGCTGTAACATGGAAACCTGATGATACGATTCGTCATGGTTCCTCAATGGTTCTAGTAATATACCCCAAAGCCCAAATTATGAAGGCCCCAATCAGCATCAAGTTGGAGATCACAAGCTCCTCCGCAGTGTTGGGATCTCAAGCGGATCCTGGGGCGGGAAGCAATGGCGGCTGGCAAGGAAAACTTCGAAGCCAGACATTTCGATGAGGACCTTAGCGGCTTAAGGCTCAATATAGGGACGTTTGTACTGAGAGCAGTATCCCTTTGGGCTCCTTATTCTAATACTACAATTCAAGAAACCCTAAACCCTACAATTAAGTATCGTAGAATTTGCCCCAAGACTTTTCTGCAATTTGTAAGGCGCCCACAGTATTGAGCCGTGTTCGCATCATGCTGCCTTAATTCTTAGCGGTACTTAGACATCATTCCTAATTTTATTTTTGGTTCCTATAATCCCTAAGAAACACAAGAAGCAGCTAAAGTTGTAATTTTTGCTAGGGGTTTAAGTTCAGTATAGAATTGTAGAATCATTCATGGAAGATGAAAAATGGAATCGGTCCGTTCGTTCCGACACTCTGCCTAAGAGACCCCTAATTTCGGAAACTCTAAACCCCAAACCCTTTATAGAACCCTTATAGATCCCTTTAAGGAACCCTCAAAGGATCCCAAAAGAAGGGTTGGAGTGCAGGAGTCCTTTCACATGGGTCCTGCTGAACTCATGTGGGTAGTATATGGGCAGTTCCCTAAGTGTAGGGTCCATTTTGGGATTCGTTTTCTAAGGGTGCCGTAATATTTTGGGGACCTCAAAGGGACTCCGGTTTCGAGAACTACCCAAAGCGTCCCTTGTTGGGTACCCTAAATAATAGGCGCCGTAGCATAATAAGGACCCAAAAAAGGGACCATAATTATGACAACCACCCACATGTAGTTAAAGTCGTCATAGTATGGAAGCTTCATCATTCCATCATGGAGCCTTGTTGTGGTATTTTAACTTCATCTCCTTAGCAAGAACCCGGTTCATGGCACCTTAAACCCGAAACCCCACTATTTACAATAGCTCCCTATTATGGTAACTTATGTTACTTCCCAGAACAGGGTTCAGGATATCGGGTTTAGGATGTAGAGTTTGTAGGGTTAAGGGCCTGCTTAGGGTTTAGAATGGTTTAGGGTTTAGGGTTTAGGATGGTTTAGGGTTTATAGGGCTTGGGGTTTAGGGTTTCTAGCGCTTAGGGTTTAGGGCTCCGTAGGCTTCCTTGCTTTCAGGTATTTTAAGTGTACCATGGTATCAGTCCAAAGCATATTGCAAGTCTGAAGTCCCCTTTTTCCGCACCCTTGTAGTAAAATGAAGAGAAGCCTTAAAGGAAGCTGTTAAAGATCGTAAGGCCCCTACTATATCTAGACTTACCTTGTTTTATAACCCTAGTTACTAAGTCCCATGATCCTCTAAGTAGCTGAGGAAGTTCATTTCATCGCAACTGCAAGGACCATCCATTCGATGGCTCCGGGATGGCGCAGCGGACGTGTACAGACATGCCTTGCCTTGTGATCTTCATCGGATACATGGCCCCCCGGTAGGTATGATTTAGGGTGTCAGGTTTAGGGTTCAGGGTAAGGGAGAGTCCAGCAGTATGACACATGGCCCCCCGGCAGGGGAGGGCCCACAAAAGCATAGTATAGAAACATAATCGAAGTGTCCAGTACTGTATATAATGAATGTTTGTTGCGATTGTACCACGTAGTATATGGTCCCGGTGGTTTAGGTGAGCTCTGTTCTACCAACTGACTGAAAGCCACTCTTCCATGCGGCTGTTTCAGTAGGCTCCATTCTTTGTGCCAGGTGCTGTAGCCGTTCTTTGCAAGGGCACGGCCCAAAGTTTTTCCAACCCTGAACCTTAGAAGCTCCCCCACCCTGTAATAGTGACTATAAGGATCATATTGGGGCCCTATTATATTCCTAATATACCACTATTACAGGGTGGGGGCCCCTTCTAACCTAGACCCTAAAACCGGGTTTCTGGCCAGGCTAAGCCCTCAAGGCCCTGAAGTAAAGCCTAAACCATCCTGAGCGCTCAAGCTCTGTTGTACCCAGAGAGCCCAATACCCCTTAATTAAGCCACAAACCTTGAATTATAAGGGGCTAGAGAAAAATAATGTAAGCTATATTCCTTAGTTAAGGGGTATTGGGCTCTCTGGGTAGACCTCTCCTGAAACCCCAAAATCCCTAAACCAACATGACCGCTGCCGAGATCGGCATGATGTGCATCAGTGGCTACGCCTTCCACAAAGGCGATCCAAGAAGACTAACGCATCCCGGCCTCAGAGGCTTCGCTGTTGGTTTGGGCTTGAGGGATTTAGGGGGTTAAGGGGTTGAGGGTATTTGGGGGTCTAGTGTTTAGTGTTGCAGGGCTTCAGGTTTAGTTTAGGGTTGAGGGGTCGGATCGCGCGGATCGTCTGTCAGAACGCTCCAAGGCATGGCTTCGACTACAAGGGGGACTTGTGTCTTTGTCATAGTTGGGTAACATTTTACAATATTTGTGTGTACTAAAACCCAATAAGGAATGAACCTGTACATTTTAAATCCTATTCCAACCATGAACCCTAAACCCTAAGCCCTAAACCCTAAGCCCTAGGTGCGGAGTGGACATGGCAGTCGCGGATAGACCTCTACTCTATTGGTGCGCAGCCGGGAGTAGGCTGACAGACAGCGGCCACCCCGAGCAGCTAGCCGCTTGGGTGCAGAGGTCCTCCGAAAACTCCCCAGAGAACCCAACATCCCTTAATCTAGGACCTAGAGTAGGCCCTTATTCCCTTTTTGGGGGTTCCGGTTCCCTTATAAGCCCCTTTAAACCAAAAAGGGCACCCTTTTTATTCCTAGGCTACTCTTGGGTTTAATTTTAAGGCCCATAATAAGGACTAATAAGGCCTATTTAAGGAAATATAGTCCCCTACACCCCTCCCCCCCTACACCCCTAAGGATCCCTATGATTAATTAATTATAGGATCCTTAAGGGGGGGTGGTTCAAGGGGGGGAGGGTACTAGGGAGCTTTGGGGAACCTTAGGGAAGCTTAGGGAGTATTGGGGAATAATGGGGATTACTAGGTTGCCTACCCCCCTTGGACCACCCCCCCTTAAGGACATCCTAAAACTAAGGAAGATGCATTATCCCTTGAATCATTTTGGGATCTCTGGGTCCTCTTGCCCCGAACTCCCTCTCTTAGTTCTCCAACACCCAAGCTTTATAAACTATAAACTTTTTTGGGTTTATATATATATATATATATATATATATATATAAATATATATATATATATATATATATTAGTAATAATCTGAAAGTTCAAGCTTTGTATTTCCCTGCCTTGGGGAAGTAAGCTCTTCCCCTGAATGCTCGGTGGTAGGCTTTGTAGGGCTCAGGACAGGATTGAGACTTGGAAGCTTGCAGCGCACCTCCCCTACTTGGAGGGTCGGGGGACTTAGTAAGTAGGTAGTAAGTAGACTTATAAGTACCCTAAAAGGGACCCTAATTGGGGTTATGGTACTTATTCGCCCTTAAAGCAATCAGGTACTAAGTCCCCCGACCCTCCTGGTAGGCCCTAAGCGATCCCGCGGCATGTCTTCTGGACTTCCGGATACTTAGAGGATCATGGGACTTAGTAAGTAGGTCATAATTGGGGCTATAAGTCCCCTAAGTGGGGTTATCCCAATTGTTGCCAATTATATCCTACTTATAACCTTACTTACTGAGTCCCATGAGCCTTTAAGTAAGCATTCCAGCTGGCCTGCGAGTCGAAGGTATACCCTGAAAGGGCTTAATTAAGGTGAAATTACCATATTAGCATATCATAGCATTGGGGGGGGGGGGGGGTATAAGGGCCCAATCGTTCAGGGTCATTTTTTGGGTGGTTATTCTGCTGTCCAATGCTGCCGCTAGCCAGACCAGATCATTCCACCAGATGTCCTAAGTCTACAGATCACAAACACAACAGCAGAATCGTTGCAATAACGGACTCTGAAATTTACCGTTTTGAATAGCTTCCAGCGTGGAAGGACTCGGGCATTGACAGCAGCACGGGCCATGACCAAGACAGCATTATGTGGAATACGGTTCAAATTGGGCGCAAGCGGTGATGGGTACCTAAACCCTGAATCCAAAAACCCGAACCCTTATAAACCTGAAGTCCCATGTTTTCCCGGGCCTTCTGCCCAGGACACCAAGTACCCGATCTGCGTAGAGCGGTGTCCCATGGGCTCCTCCGAATGGATGCCTTGCCTTGGCGAGTCCAGCGTGCAGGTGGGCGGTTATCAAAATTATGGTCCCGGTTTGGGTCCTTAGTATACTACGGCACCTATTATTTCGGGTACCCAAAAAGGGACCTTAGTTTTGACAACTACCCAGGCGGGAGCCAAGCTAACTGGGTTGCTGTTAGGGAACTTAGTTTGGCATGGGGATGTATGGTAAATTATTGGGTTTCCTGACAGCTGGGAGCTAAGTTTAGGAGTTAGGGGCATTCCTACACCGCGAGGGTGCTTTTACGTGGGGCTTAGGATGCAGGGCTTTTCGAGTCTAGGGCTTCAGGATGAGGATGTTCTGGCTTTAGGACCTATAGACTATACTAGGTTGGATTTTGGGACTTTTTTTATTTTCCTTATTTGGGTTTATAAGGGGCCCTATATACAAATATTTTTCAGGGTGTTCAAAGGCCAACCCAGTATAGATTCCAGGTTTCAAAGCTTAGGGCTCAACATCTGTGAGTTCATGATAGCTTTATTGGGTGGGGAGTGCGGAAATCCAGCTGGGGCCAAACAGCCCTAAACCCTAAACCCTAAACCCTAAAACCCTAAACCCTAAAACCCTAAACCCTAAAACCCTAAACCCTAAAACCCTAAACCCTAAAACCCTAAACCCTAAAACCCTAAACCCTAAACCCTAAACCCAAACCCTCTGGGGCCAAACAGCCAAACGTTTTGTTGGATCCGAAAGCCCTCACAGTCCCCGGACCGGCATGTCCGAGAAGCCACCACCGCAAACGTGTAGTGCCTTATCAGGGGTGTCGGAAACTCGTGCCCGATATATATATATATATATATATATTTATTTATTTATTTATTTATTCTTATTTATTTATTCATGTATATATATATATATATACATATATATATATACATATATATATATATATATATATATTATACCTGAAGTCTTAGGATTCTTGTTACAAGGACGCCTCAGACAGGTAATGTAGGGGCCTTCATGCTTAGATACTAAGGCAACTGTAAGGCCCCTGCATTACATGCACCCTCACTGCTCTCTGTCTCTATCTTTCTCTCGCGGTTTAGGGTTTAGGGTTTAGGGTTGTAATGCTTGGATTGTATAGACCCTACTGCCGGTATTCTGAGGATCTCAGGGCTTTCTGACTTTCTGTTTGCACCCAGACTTGTAAGAAAGCCGCTTCTCTGGGTTCTTGTTCATTAAGAGGATGACATTGAAGCTACCATAAGAAAAGAAACCTTAGAATTTACTATAGATCCCTAAGAAACCATAGAATTTACTATAGATCGGTCAGAAACCATAGAATTTACTATAGATCCCCATTGAGGAAAATTTCAGCAAAGTCCGTAACACGAGCGCAGTTCTGCACAAGGTGACGCCGTCGGGCAGCGAGCCTTTCGTCTCGCAGCGCATCACCATCACTCAGAACACCGTGAAGCAAGCGTCCTACCGCGCCTTCCTTGGGTATTTAGGGTTTAGGGGTTTAGGGTTTAGGGGTTTAGGGTTTTTGGGGTTCCTATATAGAATCCTATAAGGTAATCCCAAAAAGGAACTACTTTGGGGCCTCTGAGTACAGTGAACCCATTCTAGGTGTTTCCCTGATTAAAGCCAAACAGTAGCAAACATGGTACCCTTGTTGTTATTATGGGGCCACTCAGGAATACATAGAATGTAGGAATAAATACATAGGGATGACTAGAGTGACAAGAGCTGGGATTTACAATTACTTATAGCTCCAGTTAGGGTACCTAAAACCGTACCCACTAGTGCCACAAGGGCACACCATGCACGAAGAGATCCGAACCTCAACCCTACCCAGAAGCACCAAAACCCAAAATCCCCCCAAACACACGCCCAAAGCTCCTTCACCGAGGAACCCGGGAGTTTGCCGGCATGTTCTGCGTGCCCCACTTTAACGAGGACCCAAATTTCAAACCTTCAACAGGGTTCATTCCGGCAAGGCCACAGTGGCGGGTTTAGGGGTTTAGGGTACCTAGGGTTAGTTCAGAGTTTAGGGTTTAGAGGGTTTAGGGTTTAGGAGCCTAGGGTTTAGGGGCATCGGGCTTTGGGTTTAGAGGGTTCAGGGTTTAGGGGCATCGGATTTAGGGCCAATAATTTAGGGTTTTACCGGCAAATCTAGAACAAGGCAGGCTCTGGGTTTCGTCTTGGCAGAGGTCCCCAAAAAAATTCCACTCCACGAAGAGCATTGGCGGCTTGGGGGTTTAGGGTCGAAAGGTGAGGGTTTAGGGTTTAAGGGTTTAGGTTTTAGGGGTTTCGGATTTTGGGGTCGAAAGGTTATGGCTCAACGATCGCAGACTTTGAACTTGAGCATGAGCTAACATATACGAAGCTTGCGTATTCTTATAGCTAAACACCCTGAACCCTTAAACCATAAATCCCAAACCCCTAAACATCCCTAAACCCTAAGCCCTAAACCCTCAAGAAACCTAAACACCCCTACCTAAACCCCAAAATCAAAACCTAAACATCCCTAAGCCCCATTCAAGCATTCCCTCCTTGCCGTGAGGATCAGGAAATCCTTGGGGACGATCCCCTCGTGGAGTCTCTCCTCGACGATTATGGGCCGATAGGATCCCCGGCAGTATGAAAGCTTATTGATTGTATGCTTCTCTCTCTCTCTCTCTCTCTCTATATATATATATACATATATGTATCTCTCCCTTATATATACATGCATGTGACTGTATGTAATATATCTTGCATCCCGCACATGTATGCATGTGCTTGTGTTTATGCACTTCTTCGTTTATTTATGCGGGGGTGCCCATCCATCCATACATACATACATACATATGTATATATATATATATACATGCACACACATGTACATATAATGTAGCAGTAGTTGGGGGCCACTACTTATCACGAAGCAGTTGACAAGCTTATCCTCCCCCAAAACACCCCTGGAAACACGGAACATCGTCCAGAGATCGTTGCTGAAAAGACCCGGTTTAAGGTTAAAGGTCTACGACTGAGGCAAACCTCGTATGAGACACTATAAAGCTCACTTTGCAGCCGTCACTCTGCTGGCTAAGCTCAGGTAAGCCCAGTTCTTCTTAGCATGCTTCGTCTTCTTAGTAAGACTATCTATCTGCTGGAAATCGAGTCTCTTGGAATGGTAGCTTGACAAGCTTGAGTTAAGGCATCTCCCGAATTCTGAGGTAAGGCTTACGAACTCACGACTCTGATTATTAATGCTACTGTGTTGTTCGTAGTCTAGCTTTTCTTACTTCTGAGGTAACTCCTACTACCGGATGGCCGCAGCCTTTGGTGGTCTTCGCAGGTCCTGGCGGCTGCTCGGACTTTGTAATGCTGGTCACCCATATGGTAGAATCTGGTAGAATGTAGGGCTGTTGGCCAAGTATGCCCCATATAGGTACTTAGGACGCTTTGGGAATACGATCATGATACTAAGAGTCGAACAATTTGAGAGTTGTAAGGATAGTCATAATGGAAAGAAGAAGAATATTCATACTCGTAATAACCATAGCACCAATAATACGAATGGCAAGCCTGAGAACAGTCAACATAATGCGCCAATTTATATGAAGAACAATAATACTATTAGGTCATGGTAGTAAGAAAATTCATAATCATAATGACCCCCTGGCGGCTTGTGGGCTTGCTTTGCCCGCATGAAGACTCGTGAGTTGTGAGTTTCTCCAAAGACTGTAAAACCCACCGAACAGATCTAAAACGGTTTTGGGTTTTGTTGCCTCAAACCCTGGAAATCCAAGAAACCCTGCGCCTTATGGTTTCGTTTCTTGGATTTGAGGGTTTTTGGGTTCAGGGCTTGGAGTCATTGAAACTTAACTTGAGGTATAAACTACCGTAAAAAGCCTGGAGCCTAGAAACTCTAAACTTGCCGAGCATCCTAAGGCGCTCCATTTTCCCCAACGCCCAGAAGCCAGAAAGTCCGAAAGTAGGTACTATATGGTATACCGTTATACCTTGTATACTAGGTATATGGTATGTCTTCAAGTACGTATTTCATATGCTATATGAAAAATGTCAGGTACTATATATAATCGACCATGTTCAGTCCCTACTATTTTCATGTTTGCTATGATATGCCCTATATGTCATATAAAGCATACCAGATACTATATGTTATCTACTATTCTCAGTCTCTACAATGTTCATTCTGATTGCAAAGAGCATTGAGGATGGTCCTCGGCGCAGTGGTGTTCTCGGTGGCTTGGAGTTGCCATGCAGATCCTCTAATTCGGGACCCTGTCCTGCTGAAGGGTGCTCTATAGAAATCCCCTAAACCCTAAAGGGAACTCCAGGAAGTTGGAATATGGTTTCAGGGTAGGATACCCTACCATAGAAGGGTTAGGATAATCATATTCCAACTTTCTGGCTTTTACCTTAAACCCTAAACTTCAGGGATCTACTTTGATCTACTTTCTAGATTCTCCAGAGCAGGGAGGCCTCTGTGTTGGGATGTAGCAGCTTCGGGATGCAGTAGGCTTAGGGTTTAGGGTTTAGGGGGATTAGGGGTTTAGGGTTTAGGGTTTAGGGTTTAGGGATTAGGGATTAGGGTTTAGGCTTAGGGTTTAGGGTTTAGGGCTAAGGGTTTTGGGGTTTAGGGTTTAGGGATTACGTAGGGTTTAGGCTTAGGGTTTAGGGTTTAGGGTTTAGTTGTGGGCGGAGCATCTTGGGGGACGTGGCGGGGGCTTTTGCCGTCAGAATCGTTTGGAATCGGGTGTCGGCACGCGGACGCTTGAGAAAGCATTTTTTTGGATTCTGTTTGCGGCTTCGAGGGTTAGCTGCCTGCTTTTTCCAAATGCCCGGTCAATGAACACATGTTCGTTTCCTTGGATTTTCTTCCCACTCTTGTCCTCAGTAGAGCAAAATCCCAAAGGATATCCTTTAGTTACCCTGAGGATACTGGAGAAGTCAATTTCCGTGTCTCATCAGGTCTTCCTCAGCTACCTCTACCTGCTGCTCTTGAGGATTGCGCCCTACCCCACGGCCATTGTTAGCTTGGCCCTGGCGACCCCGTCTAACTAACGTGCTCTTTGTAGTCGGCTGGGCTTGGCTTACAACCTGTCGAAGATGCTCTAGAATTCCTGGTCAAGGATTTTATGGTTTAGAGTTTAGGGTTTAAGGCTTAGAATTCCTGATCTCGGAGTTTATGGCTTAAGGTTTTGGGGTTCTTCTACCGCTCCCATCCTTCCGCAGCAGGCAAGCCTTTAAGGAGAGAAAAAGGCTAACAGAAATCAAGAAGTTAGGGGATCATGGGACTTAGTAGTGCGCCTTAGAGGGATCCGTAATTAAAAGGATCCTCAAAGGGATCTATAGGGTGTAGGGTCTACTTAGAGGATTATGCGACTTGGTAACTAGGTGTATAAGTAAGGTAACTATAGTTATATAATCACTTAAGACCCCAATCTATTTACTCTGTCCCATGATCTTCCAAGACTGGAAGCACCGCTGGAGCACTCATGGGACGTGAGTCGTTTATTCATGCCTCTCCTTTGCCATGTCTGGTCACTGTATCTACCAGAGGAGCCACAGCAACCCTTGCCCCAGGCACCAAACCCGTTAAAGCCCTCAAGCCTCAAAAGCCCTTACACCTTGAGAAAATAACCTAAACCGTGAGCAACCCTACACTGGACCCTAAACCCCTGAACCCCATCCTTGAAGCCAGAAAAGTCTAAACCTACCTCCTCGATTGCTCACTGTTTTGGGGCCATCTCAGCTGAAGCGTTTCCTCCAACTACATGAAGATTCGGAAACATGTATGTATGTATGTAGACACATGCGCGCATGAGTGTGTAGATGCAGATGTAGATATAGATATCGACACAGACATTGAGAGATAGATGCTCGTGTGTACATATGTATATGTGTGTGTCTTCTGTGAGGATGGAGGTATACGTGTATATATATATATATATAGGATGGAGGTATACGTGTATATATATATATATATATATATTTATATGTATATATATGTAACCATATACACATGTGCACATGTACATACAAACGTACGTACATACATACATGCATACATACATACATGTGTGTGTGTGTGGGTGCGTGTCAAGGTGATGCTGGCAACTTTGTTTCTCTCCGTCTACTTCCTCTTGGGCGAGGTGCTGTCGGGCGACTGGAAGGTGAGCTATCAGTGCCTCGGATACCATGCAGCTTCTGCCTTCGTAAGCATTGTATTGACTTTGTGCAAGAATATCGGGTTTTCTTACTTTCGGGTTCCTGATAACAACGATCCTGTCATTTTCCAGGTTCCTTCTGAACGCCAACCCCTCAAACCGTAAGCCATAAAGTGTACTAAGGAACAACAACAGCTTCTACAAGCTCTTCGCGACGAGCTACGCGGCCTGGGTCTCCAGGACACGGAATAATGTAGGAACGTCCCAGCGAGCCCAATACCCCTTAACTAAGGATATAGCTGAAATCATAATATGAAGCCCCTTATCATTTAAGGGTATATTGCTTACTGTAGGAACCTGATTTCTGCACTTCAGCCGGCGGCCTTTCACTGCGGCCTGTCTCTGGAACACACGAGTTCTATCTTAGGACAACCTCGTACATGCTACAATATCGAAGTATCATGTAGTACCGAAATATGGTACGTAGTATAATCTCCACAGTAATCCTCTAATAGAAGCAGAACCCAAATTCTTCAAGCCAGGATTGTGGGAATCCTCCTCCTGGGCATGTTCTTCTTCATGGTGCCCCGGCACGCCGTCAACAGACCAATGTTTGCTTTGGTGAGCCTCATCGAGCCCTAACAACCCTATAATTAGGATCCTTGGTCAAAGCTTTGCAGAGCAAGAAGCCCAACCAGAATCCCTAAACCCTAAAACCCTTAACAACTCCAAGGCCCCAAGGCTCCTGGAATACGGGCCGCACCTTAAAACACAGCCTTGTCCTTGTTCATTCCCTCAAAAGAATAAACAGACCGGCTAGTAGACCTTCTTAAACAATTCCTACTACGGGATATAGCTATGCTCTGTCCATGATTTCTAAACGGACAAGGGTGTTAAACATCACAGGTGTGCGGCCTCGCGGCCATGCAGCGCGCTATCTACACCGCCGTCGGCTGTGTCAACATGGCGGTAGGCTGCATCTTTGGTGACTTCGATGCCTTTTCAGCCCGGAAGCTTCCAAACTGTCGAAGCCCGGTGCTTCGTAGGTCTCCCTCTAGATAGTCTGAAGCTGTTCTGTTTTTTTCTCACACCCAACTCGTTCTCCAAGCCCTAAAACCCGAAGCCCTTAAACCTTTCAATCCCTCAACCCTCAAACCCTTAAACCCTTGGAAACAAGTACCCACCAGTTTCAAGCAGTACCGAGGTATGCCTTCGATGATGCTCACGCCTTGCGTGGAGGCGAAACGGTTGCTTTTTCTTCTTGGGCTTCTTGCTAGACCTATAGTGAGCTCCAGAACCTTGGAACATGGATTAAGGATGACTTGTGCTAGGATTCCCCATACTTTACTTTAAGGGCATGAGGATAAGGGTGTTCCAACTTTGTGGCTTCTGCCATAGAGAGCTCTATTCCCGTGAACTACGGAAGAAGCCTTAAGATACAGGAGATGGGGCCTTGGTATCGTGACTGGTGTGTGTTCGGTTTGGGGGCGTTTGGCTCTGAGGGGAGGAGCCATTGTTGTATGCCGGAGTTGGACGCAGCCCTCCATGAACCCCGAAAACGAAGAGCCGTCGACCCCTCCTCTGCCCAGGCTATCGTCAAGCTGGCCTTATGGTGTCCCGGCACGCTGAAATATATGCGTCAGGGAGTGCGGGTTCAAATCCCTAAGCCGAAAAAAAAAGTGGCAGAAGACGAAGTGCTGCGTCGAATCCATGAGCAAAGCTTCCTCATCCCCCAATCATGATCGAGAAAAGCCTACAACCATAGAGACAATAAGCTAACATACGATGCTCTCTGGGATCCTAATGTAATGTAGGAACCTGATTCAGAAACCTTGGGCCTTTATTAGGGTTCCTTATATGAATCCTACTATTTCGGGGCAAAAGGCCCAGGGTTTCTTCATCAGGTTCCTACAGTATCATAGCACCCCTATAGATCCCTTTATAGTAAGCCTTATAGACCCCTTTAAAGGAACCCTTAGGCCCAGGGTTTCTTAGTTAAACAGCTTCCTACATGGGAGTTTCCGAAAATAGGGGACCCTAATATAGACCCTAAATAGTAGGATCCCTATTATAAGGACCCAAAATAAGGTACCCCTAATTTTCGGAAACTCCTACAGTAGAAACCCTGAGGTTCCAGCTCTTCAGTGGGCTGACTTGGCTCTTGGCCACCGCGGAGATGGAGCCAACAAGCCTGGACTGGCGAGGGTCCGTCAACTTTAGTCTTAGGCATCAAGGTTATGTTGCATTTTGAGTTTAATCCTTGGACAAATAAGTTTGTAGTTGTCATTATTATGGTCTTAAGGGTTTAAGTTTAAGGGCGTATGAGGGATTTCGAGGTTCAGGGTGGTCACAGATCCACATCATCACCAGTGGCACGACATCCAGAATCCCACTTCTGAACCCTGAGCTTTGCTTGTCAACCCCCGCAACATGCTGAAACCGTAAGCCCCAAGCCGTAGGTTCGTAACCTGCAGGAGTCGCGGGGGGACGTGGTGGCTGGAATGACTCGCAAGCTTGTCTTTAGCCACGAGCAGACAGCCATGCTGGTGCTTCGGATCTGTTTCTGAACCCGGCCCTTAACGACATAATTAATCAGGTCATCCCCTTATAGTCCCGATTATAATATGCCCCTAAGCCCTATTCTAACTATTCAGGCCCCCATACACATAAACTTCATCCCCCCCACTTGTCCCTACAAAGCCCAAGCTGGGTGTTGGAAGCCAGGCTTTTCTTGAGCCTGGAAAGTGTCCACCTGAGCCCTTGGGCAAGATCTTCCGATTCAGTCGTGCACTATGTGGGCACTTCTCTTTGTAGATTCCCAGGTATAGTACGGCACCCTTATGCAAAGGATGGGATCCTAATCTAGAGAACTACCCATGTGTGAGCGGCGACGTAAGTCAGATCCGACCGGCACGGGTCTTCTTTCTCAGGATTATTTCAAGTATTCAGAATAGTATGAGTACGAATATTTTGATTATGGTTATGACTAGCTTTAGTATTTTGAACGGCCATTTGACACGGTTGATGACATAAATCTTGTATTGCCTTAATGGCCGTAGACGATGGGGGAATTATGGTATATTTCTTGTTATGGGCAATGCAGGATTTACATCATCAACCGTAGGTCTACTACGTCGTTGGCACCATCTGGCTGGTGGAGCTCAGCAAGTCTTTGACCACCTTCGTGGTTTCCTACGCTGCCCACCGGCTGGACTTGGATAAGTTTAGGGTTGAGGGGTTTAGGGTTTAGGGTTTAAGTTAATGTTGGGACCTGAATAATCACCTATACTATTTTTTGGGTGGGTTCCTGATTGTAATTAATGGTCCCCAAAACCATATTCCAGTTGGTTTAGGCTTGAGAGTTCAGGATGCTTGGAAGATCACGGGACTTAGTAAGTAAGGTACCTCAATCGGAGTTTTAAGTACTTATAACGCTGATAACCTTGTTTATGCCCCTAGTCACTAAGTCCCTTGATCTTCTAAGTAGTAAGTTTGTCACCTCCCACGTCCTGCACGTCAAGGAGAGCAGATGCCATGTGCCGTCGGCAGAGCCATTTCCATAGAGGGTTTGTTTTATTTTCAAAAACCCTATAGAGGGTTCTTTAATCCTATAGAGGGTTTTCGTTTTTAAAGACCCTATAGAGGATGTTAAAAATTAAAACAAACCATCCCCTTCCGTGCAAGGTGATCCTCTGGTATTACCAGCCGAAGCCCAAAGGCCTCGGACCGCGCCTGGGCTGAAACGACTACATCACAAATAAAATACGATATGACACACTATAACATGCGATACTATACTATACTAGACTGAGCTACAATATACTATACTATATATATATATACACACACTAGAGTATATGACACTAAACTCTAGTCAGGGAAGGATGGAGTTTGGGAGTCACTCACGGGGCCATTAAGCAATCCGTCTGCCGCTTGCTTGAGGAAACTTCCAGAAGGGGGCGCCAGTGTAGGGCCGTGAAGCGGCCTTGATAATTAGAACAGGGTTCCTTTAAAGGGATCCTCTACAGGGGTTTCGATAAGGGATCTATAAATGAGTTCTATGATGTGGCCGTGCAGCTTGCAATCCAGAGCACCACGGGCGATTGTTTGCGCCGTGGCGAGGACCCTCCACTACACTTATAACCTTGCTTAAACGTCTCATGATTCTCCAAGTATTTTGAAGAAAAGATGTTCCGGCCAAGAGGTCATTCCCTCTGATGCGGGGCTTGATCGTTTGCTTCTTCTTTCACCTCGGCACCCTTGCTCCTTGGATGCACTCTGAGCTGGTTTTCCCACCCAAAGCCCGTGGCTCTGGCTTCCGAGCACCAGTGGAGCCAGGGTTTCAGGTTTCTGTTGTGGTTTAGGGTTCAGGGTTTGGGGGTTTACGGGTTTAGGGTCTAGGGGTTTAGGGTTGAGGGTTTAGGATTTACTGTTCAGGGTATGTCGGGGGTTTGGAATTTAGGTTCTAGCAAGCCATCCCAACTGTCGGGCATCATGTTCTTGCTGCTGGCTGGAAAGACTGAGAAGTCTAATCATCTCAGCATGTTGAGAAGCAGCGGACGGCGACCCTCTGAGAATTTCTTGAATCCTTTGTTGCCCCAAACTCTGAACTCCTAAACCCTGAACTCCTAAACCCTAAACCCCTAACCTAGAACCCCAAACCGTGAACTCCTAAATCCTAGACCCCAAACCCTGAACTCCTAAACCCCAAACCGTGAACTCCTAAATCCTAGACCCCAAACCCTGAACTCCTAAACCCCAAACCCAGAACTCCTAAATCCTAGACCCCAAACCCTGAACTCCTAAACCCCAAACCCAGAACTCCTAAATCCTAGACCCCAAACCCTGAACTCCTAAACCCCAAACCCAGAACTCCTAAATCCTAGACCCCAAACCCTGAACTCCTAAACCCCAAACCCAGAACTCCTAAATCCTAGACCCCAAACCCTGAACTCCTAAATCCGAGACCCCAAACACTGAGCCCCAAACCCGAATTCCTGCACCCGAAGCTGCCAGGCCTTGGGCTCCTTCATGACAGCGGTGACACGGCCTTTCCGGATCACCTTCACGTGGCCGCGAGCCCTTTGTAATTAGGATAGGGCCTTTGAGGGGCGGTTTCTGCTCCGAAGATATAGAGGGGCCTAGAATATAGAATAGGGTCTGTTTTTTTTTTTTTTTTTGGGGGGGGGGGGGGGGTATATTGCACTATATCAACATATACGGGGCGATACTGGAATCCTCTACTCCGAGACTCTGGTGGTTTGGCAGGGTTTAGGGATCTTGAACCCTAAATCTAGAGTTTAAGCGTTTAGAGTTTAGGGGCCCCTTAACCCCTAAACCCCTAAACCCGAAACCCTGTCGAGTTTAATGTTTAGGGTTTGGATGCAGGGTTTAGGGATCCTAAACCTTAAGCCTAGGGTGTAAGCGCTAAGAGTTTAGGGTTTAGGAGCTGTTGGGAATCTCTGAAAAAGGCTTTTCGATCCGGCGGCTTAGTCGGGGGGGACTTAGGAAGTAGGGCTCCTTAAAGGGCTCCTAGGATCTTCAGTAGTACCCTTACTCCCTTTTTGTAGTCCTAGGTTCCTTATAAAGGTACCCAATACCAAAAAGAGAGGCCTTTTTATTCTTAGGTTACTGGGTATCCTAGGCTCATTAACCCAGAGATCCCAATAGCCCTTAATTAAGCAATATGCCTTAAATTATAAGGGGCTTCATATTATGATTTAGGCTATTTCCTTAATTAAGGGGTATTGGGCTCTCTGGGAAAGGGATCCGTAAAAGGATCTATGATGGAGGGTATGAGAGCTAGTAAGAAGATATGTCATGGATTTATAAGTATCATAATTCCCCAGTGGATGAGCTTGGGAGCTACGTCTTCCCCACGTATGATATTGTGCTGTATCATATCATGTTGCTCTTATGCGAAAATATTTCAAGATACCTGTGAGCCCCTTGGTTCGTCACACAAGCTATATCACAGTTATATTATGTCTTCGAACCCAAGAAGAGCATGACCACATGTTTTCGAGACTGAGAGGTTTTTGTCTTAACTTTCGGTCTGCTTCGCCTCTCTTTTCTGAGGCTCTCGCGGCAGTCCAAAGAGGGTGGGAATCCCTGCATCTCGCTGCTGGCCACCCTCTGCACCGCTTGCATCAGCTTCACTCAGAGGTGCTACTACTACTACTACTACTGCTACTACTACTACCTCAGCATCACCTGAGACCGGTAAAAACATGTTCTTGGATGGTAGACAGCCCCTTGGTGGTGCAGCCTGAACTCCCTGAGGCATCTGGCGTTCCTGACCAAGGATGCCTATATCGATGTGGTCATCTCATCGACACCGTTCCTGACGGCTGCGCAGAATGCCCCCAAGTCTGAAAACCTTTGCCGAAAGCAATGGTCAAATGCATCTTGGAATTGTTGTGCCAGCTGAGGCTTTCGGTTTCATCAAGGCCGATACTGGCAAAGTCTCCAGCCTTAGCAACTTGGGCGCCACGAGATTCGTGTTCAGACTGTCAGATTCGCAGGCAGCGTCTAGCAGGTCTGCGTAGCACTTGGAAGCATAGAGTGGCATAGAGGTCTTTGACTTTGAGCTTTCTGCATGTCATAGGTTTGGGAGACTGCAGTTCAGTTCAGACTTCAGGTCTGCAGCACGAGACCCAACATAACATCCCTGACCTAGGCGGCTCCGTTTGGATCATTAGCTTCGCCGTGACCTCGGGCGTCTTCACACTCTCCGTAGCGATGCTGTGGACGCTCCTGGTGTTGAACGACCAGCAGATGAAGGAGCCCAGACGTGGACAGTTCTGGGATAAACGGAGCCCGGACAGGTCCCTACAAACCCCAGGAGACCTAGCAGAGTCCCCACTTCTAAGTGCTAGAATCTGCTAGAAGGTAATAGAGATAGAGCAGATTGGAAGATGGCTTCCTCCGCGAAACCCCGTGTGAAGCCCGAGAGAACCCAAAGAGCCCAAAACCCCTTAATTAAGCGATATACCTTAAATTATAACAGGCCTCATATTATGGTTTAAGCTATATTGGTATTGGGCTCTCTGGGAATTGAAAGCTGGTGCTTGGAAGGACAGCCACTACCGGGTTGAAAACCCCTACTTCGTAGCCACCCTCAGTGGGCTCCTCTCGGCGTCCCTGGCGGGCTCCTTCATGGCGGGCAAAGGGAGGGCTAGATTGGGCTTCTTTGGGGAAAGTACATATACTCAAAAAAATACCAAGACCCTACTTTTTTGTAGGTTCTTCTTGTAAACCCTAATATGGAATTTATAGGGAAACCACAAACGAAAACTAGGTTTTGGTAGGTTAAGGCAGAGGTCTGACCAATTCGATATTACCCCTTCGCCTTGTACTCCCTGCGCAATCTTTCGCAAGCCGCAATGATGTCCCCACAAAGGCTCCACATAGTATGGGGGCCTACATAATTACCAATACTGTTGCGAGAGTTCCTTACTATCAGTATAGCATTGGCATAATTCGCCCCAAAACCCTATTCCAACTACTAAGGCCCCAAAAAAGTAGTTAATGGCAAGACCTTCTCAACTGGCTTGAAGGGTTTGGGGTTCGGGGGTCTAGGCTTTTCAACTCAGCTCTGGGACAAATGAGCTCGTGGTGCATAGACCAGGACTAGACAAACCTTAAAGCCCAGTGTGGCACTGCCCGTGCCCTCACCTTCCCGGCCGTTAAGAAGTTCTGGTATGACGCGACGACACTTGCGTAGCTCACTGCATGCCGTTGCTGACGTGTCTAAAAGAACAAGAGGGTGGTTGTCAAAATTATGGTACCTTTTTGGGTCCTTGTTATAATACGGCACCTACTATTCAGAGTACCCAAAAAGGGACCCTAGCTCTGACAACTACCCACCAAGCCTGAGCTGACACCGAGGCCTCTAACGACCCGGTGAGGCAGTAAACACGCAATGGCGTCAGTTGATCGACACTACTTAAAGGCTCACGGGACTTAGTAAGTAAGGTCATAAGTAGGATATAAGCAGGATAACCCCACTTAGGGGACTTATAACCCCAATTATAACCTATACTTACTGAGTCCCATGATCCTCTAAGTACAAACCTTAGATGCAAAAATCCTACACCTTGCAGTTCCTAAGGCCAAGACCCCAAACTTTCTACTACACTCTACAAAGGTCGCGCATCGTTTTTCGCAGGTGATCTTCGAGCACTGCTCGGACACCTTGCTGTACGTCTTTCACTGGCGACTTTGGCGAAACAGCGGAGTCACAAATCAGTCTAGCGTTTGCTGCTTTCGGGTGTAATTACGGGTTCATGGCTTGAGGATTTTAGGGTTTACGGCTTTAGGGTTTGAGGGATTAGGGTTTTGGAGTCTGGGTTGGAGGGTTTACGTGCTATGGTATCCAAACATCAAGTCTAAATATCTTGACGGTTTGGAGTCAATCCGTGTTCTGCAGGAACAAGTCGCATGGCCACAACACCGTCGCCAAGTACTGCCCCGACGAATTAATGCAGCTGCTCGGCGGACAAGCCTGCCGGTAGCTCAGGGTTGAGCTTCCTGAAACGATTTTTGTTGTTGTTTTTTTTGGGGGGGTGGGGTGTGTATCTATAGAGGGCGTCTGCGCCTAAAATTGTAAAGTGTCTGACCTGGCAAACCCGGTGAGACTTGTTAGCTCCTTCCCTTGTAGGATCACATATTCATTCCATGGCGAAGGTTGAATCGGGGGTGACGGTGACAGCTGAGAAAGTACGCTTCTGTTTGAGCGTTTCGTGGATGTGCGATTGGAGACTGAGACAGCTGTGTAGAGGATATTGGAAACATGCTTCTGTCTCCGTTTTCCAGCTGAGGCTTATGGAGTACAAGAAGGTAGCTGGAAATGGGAAGTCAGCACGGCCTGAACAGGCTGGCAACTTGGCTCAGCGGTCTGTTTGGGAGCTCTCCGTGCGATCAGGCATGGTGGAGTATAGCATCGTAGCGTAGAATAGAGTAGCCTAGAATAGAGTAGAATATAGTAGAGTAGGATGGTCAGTAGTACCCTTATTCTCTTTTTGTAGTCCTAGGTTCCTTATAAAGTTACCCAATACCAAAAAGAGAGGCCTTTTTATTCTTAGGTTACTGGGTATCCTAGTCAATATTTTATATTGAAGGCGCTTTTTTGTAGAGGCTCCACAAGTGGCGCCGTAGAACTCAGGCAGCCAAATCACTTAAGCAGCACTGGGACCGGTGGTAACTGTCCAAAGAGCCCAATGAACCCCCAAATTATTGAGGCAGCTTCTCGAGATCTTCTTAAACTGCCCAAAGAACCCCAAAATATTGAGGCAGCTTTTAGACATATTCTTGAATTGGGCGGTATTGGGCTTTCTGGGTGCCTGGCCACTCAGCTTCAGTTTATTGCAGTTGCTGTCAGCACAAACCCCGCACACCCTGAATGCCCTCCCGACTCCTTACACGCATGTCGAAGGGTGCTTGCGCCTAGCTTACTAGGAGGGTCGGGGGACTTAGAAACTGGCAATTTTTAGGGACTTATAAGTACCTTAACCCCAATTAGGGTCCCTTTTGGGGTACTTCTAAGTCTACTTACTACCTACTTACACCAAGTCCCCCGACCCTCCAAGTACGATGCTACAACGATGAGCAGCTGAAGTTTTGGCTCTTGTCCCAGGCTTCCGTTCTGTTGCACATGAATTGTCCACTCGAGCTTTCGCCGCTAGTAACATACGATCTGCCTCGAGGGTGCCTTCGATAGCCTTTATGGCAGAGTCTAATCTCGGTTCTATGATCACCTCCTAAAAATCGATCTGCATCTTCTACAGCTTAAAAGGCTTTCTAGTAATCTCATGGTCAGCTTGCCCCTGGCAACCCGGGTTATTGTTAGGGTAACTATACTTCTAGGTACTTATACCCCCAGTCCTTGTACTTATAAGCCGACTTGCTATGTTTTTCATTCACCGCCGAAGATGCCAACGGCACTGCTGAAGCAACTTCAACTAAGCTGGGAGCATCTATCAACAAAACCCCTGAGCTTTTAAAGCTAAGAGCGATTCACACAGAACGCTGAAATCCGTAAAAACCCAAAACCCAAAACCTCAAAGCCTAAACCCTCAACCCTACCCTCAACCCTAAAGCCTAAACCCCTATAAGCCCTACACCCAACAGACCCTAAAGCTCGCTAAACGCCTTAAGCCCGGAGCCCCTTACCAGCCTCACAGCAAAAAAACCCTAAACCCTGAACCTCCCAGTGAGCCCAACTTTAATAAAAGAAATGTAGCTTAACTCATAATATGAAGTGCCTTATAATTTAAGGTATATTGCTTAATTAAGGGGTAGCGGGGTTCCTGGGCCCAAGGCCTAAAGCCTACCTGGACCCTAAGGAACCTTTTTTTGGGGGTTCCTTCATATAAGTCCTTAAAAGGTAGGTTATTCGGGGTTCAGGTAAACCTTAAGGCCAAAAGAAGAAATGCACCCAAAGCAAGAAGAAGACAAGGAATCTTCAGCGGCTTGGGCGGCTTCTTCTCCTCGGACGTGCCGAACTCGAAGCAGGGTCAGTCCCCGGAGGAGTGGGGCATAGTATAGGGCCACAGGGGACCTTCAAGGGTTCTTTCAGCGGTTCCTGTTAAGGGATCTATATATATATATATATATATATATATATTATTTATTTATATATATATATATATATATACTTGTATATATATATATATATATATGCTCATATATATATATATATATATATATATATACTTAGATATGTGTGTATATATATATATATACTTGTATATATATATATATATATAGAGTTGCTACAAGGGTATTGTTTAGGCTTTGGAGTTTAGGATTAGAACAGGGCTCCACGGGATGATCTCGTACACTTCTAGCAAGGAGCCCTTGTTAAGGAAGACCAGGAATCTCGAAATCTCAATCAGGATTTGGAGTTTGCAGTCTTGGGCTGTCGAAAGTCTGGGACCCCAACCAAGGTACTAGGATGACCAGTAGTACCCTTATTCCCTTTTTGTAGTCCTAGATTCCTTTTCCAGTTACCCAATACCAAAAAGGGAGCCCTTTTTATTCCTAGGTTACTGGGCATCCTAGGGTATCTTACTGCTACATGGGGCAAGACGTCTGTGGTTGCCTGAGTGTAGCACCGTCAAGAAATCTGTATGCTGCCGGTGTTAGCATCTACATCAGACGTCAGAGTTATGTGAATCATGAAGCATCCCAATACGTGGGTGTCGGAAAACTACGCAGAGTATGTATAGTCCCCAAAACCGTAGTAGCATCATCGACCCCTGTTATCCTCCACGCCCCTTCAAGACCAGCAGGCAAGGACCTGTCCGAAAGCCCTGGATGCCTTCCGAAAGATTAGGTCACTTGATCTCCGCTGGCTAAGTCCCATGATCTTCCAAATGGTCGCACGACCATGCTGAAGCCTAAGTTTTTAGGCGAGGTACTCAACTTGCGGAGGACCTACCTTGTTGCTTCCAAGTATCCTGCCCTGCGAGGAGACGGCGCTGTTGGCCGGAAACAAGTTCACTTAGCCGAAGAAGATGGGAATGGGGAGGAAAGGCTGAACCTCTAATATAGGGGCCTTGATAATTAGAATAGGGCTTTGGGGCCCATTTTACTATTTGACTTTCAATAATATAAGGAACCTGCAAATTAGTAGAGGCAATTATCTTGGCCCCTGTCGTCGGAATAATCCTACCATAATTGAAAACGTCAACCGTTTTGAGCTCGGGTATTCAGCCCCTAAGGTGTCTGATTGCTGTATCTTGTAGTTTTCAGCGGCTTGGTGGTGTCATTGCGCACATCTTTCCGAAAGATCCGGGTCATTGGAAGCCTCCTTGCCTGAACACACACCGGCTACCGAAACACGTCCCAAGGTAAAACGGCTGAAAAGGGGGAGCTTGTGCCGGAACCATGGCCCTACGCGGTCGGCGCGCTGCATCCCTGAGTTCGGTTGATGGTATAAATCCTGCATTACCCATGATACGGAATATGCCATAATTCTCATATATTCCCTATTATTATAAGTAAGGAATATGCCAGATTTAATTCCTATCGTTTGGGGTCCTTATATAAGGTACAGCAGGACTTTTTGTCATCATCCGTTCGTTTCACCGGTAGATAGGTCTCGTGAGGTCCGGGGGCAAAGGCCCCTTCGCCCAAAGTGAGTCCAAGATCCCCCGGCCCGATGTGGGGAACCCTAGAGTACCCTTAAAGAGAACCCTATAGTACCCTTAAAGGGACCTTAAAGAGAACCCTATAGTACCCTTTAAGGGAACCCTAGGGTACCCTTAAAGAGAACCCTATAGTACCCTTAAAGGGACCTTAAAGAGAACCCTATAGTACCCTTAAAGGGAACCCTAGGGTACCCTTAAAGAGAACCCTATAGGCCCTATAGTACCCTTTAAGGGAACCGTAAAATCCAAGAGTATACCCTTTTGGGGGGTTTCTTCAGGTAGGGGGTTCCTTGTTAAGGCTGGTGTCTAGGTTTTTGTGAGGGTCCCTTTATCTGAACTTCCCATATCCTGAAGCCTCCTAATGGATAGTTTAGAGGCCTTAGTGATTAGAATAGGGTTTTGGGGTATATTATTTTATAGTTCTAATTAGGACGCCCCCCCCAACATGGTATAGGTAGTTTATGAGGTCCGTGTATTAGCTGTGCCCGCAAGATCGCATGAAAATGGGACTCGGGCGTCATGTAGACTAATGATAAGCAAGACTGCAGAAGCACCTGTGAGACGTGCAGGGAACCAAAAAGCCCTGCAGGGCAGCTTCGACCACTCTTAAACTCTCTAGGGTTTAGGGCTTTTGGGGGTTTTGGGGCTTGGGGTTTAGCATTTAGAAAGCCCAAATGTCAACACCATTCCAGGCCCCCGATCCCACACAGCTCTAAAGCGACCCTAAAACCCGAAGAACCCAAATCCGAACATCGTCTCAACCTACCTCTCGAAGTGCGACTAGGGTTTAGGGTTTAGGATTTCGACGGAGCCCTTTGTCAATTTGTGCAGTTCATCTCTAGACCATTGGACAGCCCGCCAAACTCTGTTCTATGGTTCTAAGATCATGTATTGAACTTGAACCCAAAGACCTTTCTTGAGAAGCAGTTTCACTGTGTGGTGCTTAGTAGGGAATGGGGGAATGGATCCCTAAAGTAGTCCGTATATAATCCCAATAATAGCCTCCATAGTCCATTCCCCCATGCCCTACTAGGAACCAGACAGTTTCCATCGCTTTGAGATTCCCGGCGATACCAAGGCGAGAACGCAGAGTCCGTCAGCGCTGGCTTGCAGGTGAGATCCTAACAGGGTTCAAAAAGTGATTTCTCGTAAGGAATACTGCAGGCATAACCCTATACTAAGTCCCATGATCCTCTATGTATGGGATGATTTAGGGTCAGTAGGGGTTACAAAAGCGACTGACTTGACGGTTCTATGCAGTTCCAGTAGGAGTTCAGGGTTTAGGTGTTGATAAGGGTTTACATGGGTTCATATAAGGCTGTATGAGGTTTCAGAAGGAATGGATTTAATGCTCCCATAACCCTAAACCCTACACCCTTTGTATACCGGTTTCATAGGGTCTCATGAGGCCCGACGAGGAAGCCTACACTTAGGGTACTTAGAAATATTTTTAATTTTTGGATATTATAATCCCTAAGAAACAGAAATTATGATTTTTGCTAGGGTTCTAAGTTCAGTATAGTACACTCCTAAGCCCATCAAGCCTGAACCCTCCACCAAGTTTGGAGAACCTGGGTTATGGCTCAGAGGTTGTCGGGGCTTATCAGATTTCACAGGGTCTAGGCTTTCATAGGGCCGTGCAAGGATGCTGTAGGGTGCTTAAGGGCTTCATACGGTTGATGATATAAATCCTGCATTACCTTAAGGACCCGAAACTGTGGGAATTATGGTACATTCCTTAATATGGGTAATGCAGGATTTATATCATCAACCGTATAGAAGCCTGAACAATTAGCAGTACTTGTCCTTCTTGGGTCTTTGGCTGCCTCAGAGAAATTCTAGACATTCAACCCAAAGCCTTATTCTGATTGCCAAGGCCACCCGAACACCTATGAAGGAGGGGGTCTTACGTTTCAGCTAAAGGTCCTTCTCCGGATTCACTAGGCCCTATCTAATGCGTATTACAACATGTCAAGGGTCCGCAGAAGGAGCATCCGAGGCATTTTGCTTGGAGGGTCATGGGACTTCGTAAGTAAGGTTATAAGTACTTTAATTGGGGCGATAAGTAATTATAACTTGAGCTACCTCGTTTATAGCCCTTCTCACAAGTAATACTGTAGGCATAGCCTGAACTACTAAGTCCCATGATCCTCTAAGCATGGGGTAGTTTAGGGTCCATAGTAGGGCTTCCCTTGTTTTGATCCGTGGCTGTTCTCCAGCGTTTCGAAGGGAAGGCAGAGTCATAATCTTTGGGCTAGGCACTCTAGTGACTGCAGGTGGGGTCCATCTTAGGGGATCCGAATACGGTCCATTTCAGGTGGCGGATAAGTCGTATCACGGAACGGGGGTGGGGTGGTCATAGGGTTTGGGCACCGGGTGCAAGCTGCCCAGAATCGGAATTGAATAGATACATAGCAAGCAGTATGCATGCCCGATTCTATTAGTGCAAATTCAGTTCCTTCCCGCAACACAGGCTTTTCCAATCCTCAGCTTGGCTGCTAGCCAGAACTATTTGATTAAGGCTCTGGGGTATATTATCGTCTTATTATCCGGGGACCAAACAAGTATTCTTGCTAGATAGATTAGGGTCTTGGGATGCATTCTGGTATGTTGCTGAAGCACAGCTTGTGACTGTCACGCCTACGCCCTTTTCGCATGCCAGCTCCCTTGCAGCAGTGCGACTAGGTATCAGACATCTCTCTGTTTTCACCCAAATGCTGCGCATCACCTGGATGCTGTCAGGGGAAGAGGTGGCGAGCTTTTCGGTGGAGGAGTTGAGCGAGGTTAAGGCAATAAAGCAAGAATTGTATCGCAACCACCACCAGCCTGTGCGATTCAGGCAAAAGCTGTTTCTCTGCGGCAACCCCGATGATCCCTTAGATGATTCTGTCCTTCTGGACTCGCCCATGGAACTGCAGTTGGTCTTGCTTCCATATTCCGGGACCTCCGAGACGGAATCCAGGCTGTTCAGTGGTACACTTTTTTTACTTTCAGGTTTCTGGGTTCCTATTATAAAATAAGAAGCCTAAAAAAGTACATACGTTTTCCCAGTGGGTTACTGAACAGCCTAGGATTCTAGTTCATGGTCGGGATAGTCTGCAAAAACCATGTTTCTACTTAAGTACCCAGAGAAACGTAAAGCGTTCGTGTAAGGGCCTTAATTAGAATGTGATGTCGGGGATTCCTTCTTGTAATTATAGTATATTTCCCCCCCAATCCCTGTTCTAATGTTTTTAAGGCCCCTACATTATGAACCCTACTATAAGATCCCTTGTAGAACCCCTCAATATACAGGAACCCTGTAAAAGGAACCCTAGTCTAATTATGTTTTAAGGCCTCTACATTACATTATGAACCCTACTATAAGATCCCTTGTAGAACCCCTCAATATACAGGAACCCTTTAAAAGGAACCCTAGTCTGAAAAATTGTTTTAAGGCCCCTACACTACATTATGCACCCTACTATATTAATATAGAGGAACCCTTTTAAAAGGAGCCCTAGTCTAATGATTTTTCTACAGTACCCAACGATGACAAAGGAGGCGGAAGCGCTGAGGTCTGCCTCTGCCTGCGGCTCCCTGTGTGAGGCTCATTTGGGCAAATCCTCGTCACGCAATTCTTTCCTACTCCGAACGTAGAGGTTTTAGGCTTTTGGGCTTCATAGGTTTAGGATTTGGGGGTTGTAGGGGTTTAGGGGTTAGGGTTTAGGGTATCGGGTATCGGGCTTTACGGGTTTTGTGGCTTAGTGCTTAGGGTTTGGGGTACTAAGTTGGAAAACGCGTAAACTCGGACTTCGAACCAAGAAGCAGGTTGAGGCCATGTTGCAGCTGCCGCAGCACCCAGACATCGCCGACAGGGACGGCTTCACTTCATTGATGAAAGCTGCTCAAAATGGCCACGAGGAGGTTGTGCGTGTCTGGGTTCACCAGTAGTTTGTTCCCTTTCGCCCGTTTCGTTTTGGGTTTTCGTTATCAAAAAAACCGAGTAGTAGGAACAGGGGTACCGTATGATCAAGGAGCTCAGACCTAGGTTTGCTGCTGGAGGCCGGTGCCGCACAGGACTTGGCCAACAACACAGGCTTCACTGCCCTGATGATGGCCTCGGTCAACGACCACGTTGAAGTCGTGCAGGTGCTGCTGCATGGTGGTAGCTTTGTAGTGAAGTAAGTAACCTTTACCATTTCTGCGATGCTAAAATCTCGAATTCCAAAAACATACCTGTAGTTGCCCCTAGGATACTGGACAAGCAGGTAGCGACATCAACTTGGCCAACTACGTTGGCTTCACGGCTCTGATGCTGGCATCTTTCCGCGGTTATGCTGAAGTCGTGCGGTTGCTGCTAGATGCCGGTGCCGACAAGAACCTGCGCGTTCGAAATGGCAAAACTGCCCTGATGCTGGCATTTGAGAGCGGCGCGGTCGAAGTCGTGCGTTTGCTGGAGGCGCCCGATGTCGACAAGAACTCAACCTGAAAGCGGCGTGTGGGTTTGTTTGTTGCATGATAGCATGCTGATGGCACATACCGCGGTCCATGAAAAATGCGAAGGATGAAGTGTCTTAGCTGCTTTAGGCAAGATTCCATGTTACTTACGACCTTCCCTAACTCACACTCAAGAGAAACAATAAACATGATACACAGCTTCAGTAGTAGAAGCCTTACTTGAGGGACCCTACATAAGGCATGAGTACTCTGAGCATCGAGAGCTCCGGCAAGAGAAGTGGTACTGCGGAACTCCCAAATCCTTCCACCCGCCATATCCGGCTTTCTGTACACCCAAACCCAAACCCTAAACCCTCAAACAAAAAAAAAAAACATTCCACGAGACAAGCTCCCAATCTTTGCCATCGCGGGTGTCTTACAGCTACGTGGTGCCTTACTCTTAGACCCCGAGGGGGGGGGGGCTTGTAGCATGGATCCCACCATCGAGGCTCCTTAGTTTTTCTCACCTACTTGTTTCAAAACCTAAGCCCTAAGCCTGAAGCCCTGAAACACCACCGCGAAAAAACACAAAAAACAACTAACCCTGTCCGCTAAGGATCCAGAGCAGCCCGTGCTTGCACGATCCCAAACCCCAAACCCCTGCGAACCCCCACCCGAAACCCGACACCCTCAGCCCTCAAAGCCGAAAAGCCCGACATCAACCCGGGCCATCTCTTTAAAGGAGCCCTTAAAGGGTAGTAGAGAAGCACAAAAAACTACCAATACTGTCTTGGGGATTCCTTGTTATAAGTCATAGTAGAACGGACCCCAAAAAACCTTATTCTAAGTATTAAGACCCCAATACTATAGTACCCTTATGTGCCCTTATACTGGTACTGCTAATATTTTTTCTTTTGTTTTTTTTGCCATCGGCCCTGTTATTCTATTACTCTAATACTCTATTACTCTATTAGTCTATTACTCTATTACTCTGATACTCTTACTCTATTACTCTATTACTCTAGTACTCTTTACTCTATTACTCTACTACTCTAGTACTCTAGTACTCTATTACTCTGTTACTCTATTACTCTACTACTCTTTTACTCTATTACTCTTTTAGAGAGGAATACTCTGATAGAGTACTAGAGTAATAGAGTAGTAGAGTAAGAGAGCTTTTAGAGTAAGAGAGTGTAATAGAGTCATAGGGTAATAGAGTAATAGATCCCTTATAGTAACCCGGCCCTTCTAGACCTTTAAGGGGAGCCCTATTCTAATTATTAAGGCCCCTGTACCACAGAACCCTACTCTAGATCCCTTATAGACCCCTTTAAGGAACCCCTTATAGTAGCCTTTATAGGAGCCTATTTAACAACCCATAGCAATTCTAGGGTTTCTAGAGTAGCCAGGTCCGCAGCTGGGTTAACGGTGTGGCGATGCAGGAGCTTTGAGGGACTGCTTTGGACTTTCAGGGGTTTGAGGGTTTCGGGTTTGGGGGGGTTAGGGATTAGGAGTTCGGGCTTAAGGTAAAAGCCAGAAAGTTGGAATATGATTATCCTAAACCCTTTATGGTAAATTATAGGGTATCCTACCCTGAAACCATATTCCAACTTTCTGGAGTTCCCTGTAGGGGGTTTAGGAGTTTGGGGTTGGGAATTTACTAAACGCACTCTGCGCAACCTTGCGAAGGGATCTGAAAACCCGAGGAGACCTGCGACTTGCGTCGATAGTAGAATACAGTTCCTTAAAATCTAGACAAACATTGTTGTACAGAGAGCTGCAGAGTCAGCAGTTGCAGGCTAGCAGCATGTGCTTTTTGAGCTATTCTAAGAGGCACTTTATGTTGCTAGCTTCAAACGCAAGCATTTGTTGTGTTAGTTAAGATGGCCATAGCCCAGTGGCCTCCTATATAAAGGTCGCTGGCTTACGGGAAATTCAACAGTGACCTCTCCCTCTATCAACCCCTAAACCCGAATCGCAAACTGCGCCTAAGCCCCCCCAGAGCCCAAAGCTGCACCTCCCTCACCATTTAAGGCCCCTTCTATGCCGGACTCGTTCGCAGCCCCTTTATGACTATGACTATGATGTGTTGTAATTATCACCAACACTACATATTTCAGAGAGCCTTGTTGAAAACCGAGTTATTGTCGCCCGTACGGGAACTCTTCAAAGGAACCCTTACGCAACCCTACGTTCCGCAGGACGGGAATACCGCCGACATGGAATTCGGCCTCGGCGCGATCATCAGTGCTCTGTCCAAATACGAGAGATTTAGACTGTTACTTAGAGGATCATGGGATTTAGTAAGTAGGTTATGATTGGGTTATAAGTTCCCTGAGTGGGATTATCCTAATCAGTTATATCACGTTATATCCTACTTATAACCTTGCTTAGGCTCACAACGAGGGCTATCGATGGGGGTTTTGGGCCTTGGGGTGTGCGGTTTGGGATTTGGGGTGGAGTTTGGCCTTCAGCCGTTCACGGTTTGGGATCTGTTGTTCAGGCTCGGGGTTGTCCCGGAGTTCAACATGAACATGCTGCGAATCGCCTGAGCGGCCACGCAACAGACGCACACGCACTGCTTCAAAATATCCCCAAAACCATAACTTGGACCTAAACCCTAAAAAGTGCAGTGCACTTGCAAGCGGGCATGTATGTGTGCACACGTCACAGACTTGTCATTTTCGCGAGAGCTCGGAACGTGTAAAGCCGTCAATGAACCAAATTTCCGAAGTGGGTTCAAGCTTTCTATCATGCGTTGCTCAGCTCGTCACCCTAAGCTCCAAATCCTAAAGTCCTAAACCTCAAAGCCTTAAACCCTAAAAGCGAGAACCGATTCCAGGCTACCTCTCTCAGGGGACGACCCTGCTACCTGGCACCGTGATTCTCACTGGCACGCCACCAGGCGGAGCCTCTTTTTGTTGAGTTTGGCGGAGTATCAAACTATAGAGAAAATCCAGGCAAATATCTTATCGTAATATATAATAGTAATAACAACTAGACATTTAAAACTAATGCATAATATCAATATATACCATAACCTATCAAAAATGCAAACAACAGTATTTACATTAGCTATTTGTTAACTGCAGTCTGGGTTTCAGACTTGTCCATTGCTGGGCCACGGCAGTGAAAATGAGGGCTGCAGCTGCCATTGTTCAAAGGGGCAAAGGACGGACCCTTAATAGGGACCCCTACCCTATAATGGGCTATATAACAGCTATATTAAGGGTATATACCTAGGGGTCCTTATTAAGGGTCCCTCCTTTTACCCTTGGAATTGTGCCACCAGCCTTCGCTTAGAGTGTTTCCTAGCCCCTGAACCCCAAATAGCCTGCCTTTTAAGGGTGGGTTTTCTAGGCCTTCGACCCTACAGTAACCTTTAAGCCCTATAAACCCTGAAACCCTAAAACCCGAAACCCGTATGTAAACCCTAAACCCTAAAACCCTAAACCCGTATATAAACCCGAAACCCGAAAGCCCTAAACCCATATATAAACCCTAAACCCGAAAGCCTTAAACCCATATATAAACCCTAAACCCGAAAGCCCTAAACCCAAAGCCTTTAGAGTTCAGGAGGTTCCAATCCCAAGGAACCAGCCTTTTGGAGCGAAAAGCAGCGAAGCCGAAGAAAACTCCACGGGTCCTTCAAAGGACGGAAGCTGTCAGTACTTGAGCTACCGAAACCTACCTTGTCCGTAGGGCCCCTTATGAAACTCCATAGTAGGGTCCATTTGTCAGAACCCACAAAAAACGTAGGTTTTGATAGTTGAAGGTATAGTCCTTAGTGCTTTGGGCCAGCAGGTGTGGGTTATGTGCGCGATCCGCCCGTCTACCTGAAGCACGGTGATGAGGCCGTTTGGGGGCTGTCCGGGAAATTCAAATCCTGGGTTGTCCTTTGGGATCGTTTTTAATTTCCCCTACTATTTTGCAGAAAACCAAAGTAGTAAATAATTTTCAAAGGGCTTAAAGGACAACTCAGCATCGTTGCTCTTTGGGGTGTCGTGTGCTGAGGCCCAGGCTGGAAGGATGGTTTTGGAGCTGCAGTGACGATGCACAGGGCATCAGGGACTGGGAAACAGTTAAGGACGAAATGAACCTCAAGAGGTTTTCAGGTTCATATACCTGATAGGGATTCATAGTATAAGGGTATAGGGCCCCTACTTATAAGGGTCATTTGGTCCCCAAGGAAGCCTAAACCTGAACTTTTAAGCTCTACCTACACCCCCAAAGGTAGGTCAAATAATGACCCAAAACCCATAATAGGCCATGATTCTCCATACTTTGGGGTCCAGGTAAAGGCTACTTAGCAGAAGCTCGGCAGCTGCTTTGCCCGAGGTGGAGGTCGAGCTGGAACACGTCGGACGCTTGAGGAATCCGGTAGAGGATGGACCTTGATCGGATTGCTTGGATGGAACTTAGTTCACGTTGCCAGAACAGGGATCCCTACCATAGTACCATATTAGTATACTTATAATATATTATTATTGTTATATATACATATATGTATGATGCAGTATGATTATCATCCCTGTTGTTGTTGTTGCTGCTAGTAATGTTGACATGGCACCTTGACTTGAGTTTCGTCACAAGAAGCCAGTGATGCGCCCGGAGGGAGCCGTCTAACCCTAAACCCGGATGGAGCCGTCTGACCCTAAACCCTACTCAGAGGATCATGGGACTTAGTAAGTAGGTTATAACTGGGGTTATAAGTCCCCTAAGTGGGGTTATCCGAATTATGCCCTACTTATAACCTTACTTACTAAGTCCCATGAGCCTTTAAGTAAACCCTAAGCTGCTTAAAGGCTGGCATCTGCAAGGCTCGTGTTTCAGGATTTGATCTGGCTCGCATGGGCCGCAGCCGCCGCATCGTTTCGCATGCAAAGGCGCAGTAGAGGGCTTAGGGTGTGGGGTAGGGTTTAACTAAACCCGAATATCCTACCTTTTTAAGGACTTATGTTAGGAAACCCAAAATATGGAACCCTAAAAATAGGTAGGCTATTCGGGGTTAAGGTAGGGTTTAGGGCAGGGCCCTTCGCTCTGAACACGTCCGCCAAGAAAAGCGGAACCTGGGCCCAGTGACTTTTCCGGCTTCTTGGGTCAAACACTGCCCGCTTTCAAGAGAAGCCCTCGAAGCGGTGTGAAAGATGCCTGGGGCCTGGGGGACTTAGAGGATCATGGGACTTAGTAAGCAGGTTATAACTGGGGTTATAAGTCCCCCAAGTGGGGTTATCCTAATTATACCCTACTTAAAACCTTACTTACTAAGTCCCATGAGCCTTTAAGTGGGGAAGAGGGCAGGCTTTAAAGGTATCTTGCTGCTTGGAAGCGTGAACATTGAGAAGCGTTGACGGGGGGGTGGGGATTGCGATCATCTCAGATTCCTTTGCAGAAGAAGACCTCACATGCTGTCTGCGAGTCTTGCCGCAGTCTTGGTTAAGCTGCTACTGGACGGGTCAACCTGAGGAAGGAAAGCCTCCATCGATACCAGCTGAACACTCCGCAACACTCCGCGTCGCACGAACTGCATGACGTGTACTGAACCTTCAAGCCAAAACGCTTTCAGATCTACAATCCACCCGGACTTCCTCGTAGAGTGCTTCGATTCCCCAGAATGTCCTGTCACCTTGAGAACCCCTGGAGCAACCCCTCTTTTAAAGCAGGCCAGAGATATTGAGATCTCCCACCGACACGCGAGGATCTGCGTGAGGACATCGCAGCGCTGCTGCCGAAAGGCGGCGCACAGGCCACGAAGAGCCGCCTTCATAGCAACCTTCACATCACCCTTCATAAAGGGCACGATGGGGTTCTATTACAGAGTCCCCTTCAAGGGTATTCCGGGGTCCTACATTAGGATTCCCTTTATAGTAAGCCCCTGCGGGCAGCCGGGTTTTGCTTCTGGGGTGGGCGGTTGGGCTCCTGAGTAGTACCCTTTGGCCCTTCTTCTTGTTTGGGTTTAGAGTTCCCTTATTACAGCCAAGTGAGCGTTTCCAAAAACACGGGACCCTAATACAGTACCGTAAAGAGTAGGATCCTTACTCTAAGGACTCCAAAGTAAAGTAACCCTAAATTTCGGAAGCTCCCAAGTAGGAGTCAACAAGGTACCCTTGTTATTAAGGGGCGAATCAGGAACCTAGTAGCTCTCTGTGGTCCCACTCCAGTTCGTTTATCAACTCGGGCGTGGTCGCAGCTTGCTGTCGATGCAGATAATAGGGTTCCTTGAATATTATAGTTTTGGCATGGCTTTTTATATCACCAAGACTCTGTTGCTTGAAGGTAGGCTTAATCTACTGATTGCTATGAGAGTTACGGTACCAAGGGTACGATAGCGGCTTCCAGAATTATGAGGGTTTCCGAGGGTAGTATTCATTTTAAAGGCCTCTACAAGGGTTACCATAAGGCCTCCTCTACGGGTACCTTTAAAGGATCCCTTGAAGGATCCCCCAAAGGAACCCTTAAAAAGTATCCCTTGCAGGAGCCCTCAAGGGCTCCTTAAGGGTTCCTTAAAGGAGCCCTGAAAGGAACCTTGAAAGGAACCTTGCAAGGAACCCTGAAAGGGTCCTCTGAAGGGCTAGCAGGCTCCTCCCTGAAAGGAACCCTTAAAGGGTCCTCTGAAGGGCTAGGAGTCCCTTCCCTTAAACAAGCCCCTTGCAGGCCTTAAGGGGAACGCCAGAAAGTTGGAATATGGTTTCATGGTAGGATACCCTATAATTTACCATAGAAGTGTTAGGATAATCATATTCCAACTTTCTGGCTTTTACCTTAAGGGGTCCTCTGAAGCCACGAGTTGTCTGGACAGGAAGCAGCCGATCGCTTCTTCCAGGCCGAGGAGGCAGCAACCCGGAGAGCCCAATACCCCTTAATTAAGGAATATGGCTTAAAATATATAATGGCTTAAAATATATAATGGCTTAAAATATATAATGGCTTAAAATATATAATGGCTTAAAATATATAATGGCTTAAAATATATAATGGCTTAAAATATGTAAGGCTTCATATTTTGATTTAAGCCATATTCCTTAATTAAGGGGTATTGGGCTCTCTGGGAACTGGCTTCTGGTTTTTGGGCTCTTGCTTAAGTTACCATAATACGGAAGCCCTATTATTTACTATAGTTTGCTATAGATCCCCACGATGGCAACTTAAATTAAGTTACCATACAGTAAGCCCGAAAAAGTTGGAAACCGAATCAAGGCCAAATAGTGCTGGGACTCCCTATACATTGCTCTTCAGGATTGAGGCTATTAGGTTTCCAAGTTTTGGGCTTCTACCATAACAAGGAGACCCCATTTGTTACCATAGTTTAGACCCCTATGATGTTAACTTACATCAGATTCCTAACAGGAACCCAGGCAAAGCACTGAAAAGAAGGGTTCGGTCTGAGTCATCCCGTAGGCTCCATAGTAGTTCCTTTCTGTGATCACCTTATACGATCCTACGTATAAACCACAAAAAGGAATTACGATGGAGCCTATGGGGATCCCATCATATCATAGCATAGCATCTCATATCATGTTCATACTGTAGCATATCATTCCCTATCCTATCATACCCCTTACAGCATAGCAGATCATGTCATGTTCATACTGTAGCATATCCTACCATATCCCACCATATCATTTTATAGCATAGCAGATCATGTCATATAGGTAGACGTAGAACATCTTGATTCTTGAAGGTTTGTTTAAGATCCCCATCGATGTCATGTAACGCATACGCCAGAGCCCTGGGTCTGATTCTGCAGAATTTCTGGGTGTCAGAGCTCGTCACACCACAGTAGCTGGGTACGTAGCTTTTACCCTGTTGTTGTTTAAAGCTCCCACCACGATTAATTGAAAAGGTTCGCCTTTTGGGGGCTAGGATCCTCAGCCCCTAAGACACCGAGATGGGACTGAAGGTCGTCGAGCTTCTAAGGGCCGCTGAACTGAACCCCAAAGAGATCCCGTAAAGGAAGCCTGGAAGAACCCCTGTATGGGAGTTTCCGAAACTAGGGGACCCGAATGTCGTACCGTAAAATTGTAGGATCCTTATTATAAGGACCCCCAAAATAAGTTTTCGGAAACTCCCATATAGACGCCTTTGAGGAAGTCGCAAAGGACCTTTGTAGACAGCTGAGGCTGTGTGAGTTCTTTGGAGGTTTGATCAGAAGGGGAATAGGGTAAGGGATCTATCAGGGTTCCTTTAAAAGGCATAGGGTTTAAGGTTTTCATAAGTTGCCATATGATATCTTCAAGCAAGAAATTCCTTCAACAAAAGGCACGCGGTGAGCATGATTGCGAGGCATCGGATGAAAAATAAAGGGGCCGGAAAAATTAGAAGAGAGTTTTGGGGCCCATTATACTATACTTATAGGGTTTAGGGGTTTTGGGTTCAGGGGTTTAGGGCTTAGGGGTTCTGGGGGAGGGAGGGGCACAATTATAATAAGGAACCCCGGAAAACCCGATTCTAATGATTGAGGCCCCTATAGTAAGTGTTTCGAGGTGGTCGCCGGGCAGCTGCGGGCCTTCGTCCTTATGAATGCGGCTCGCGACGTCTTGGAGGCCGTCAGGATTAGATAAAACAGTACGCATGACGGTTTCTAATGCTGCAGCAATATACTTGGCTTGTGTAGGCAGTAGCAGGACACACCGGTTACTAACTTTTGTAGATGGCAGCTAAATACTGAGCAAGATGAGGGGATGCGGGAATCCTTACGCTTGCATGTGGTGCTGCTGCCTTCGGCGATAATGAGTCCCTGCACAAACCATCTGAGACCAGCGTGCGACGCCTCCCTGGGACCCAAATTTTGACAACCACCCATGTGATCGGGACGATGCGGGAGCAGTGAAATCGGGGCTGTCTCAAACTAAAGCCCGGGAAGCCTCGCACCATCCACTGTGTCTGTAATGTGGCGCAAAAGATGCGAGTCGCAATCCATGCAAAGGCCTGCGCTCAAGATCGGCGGCTCATTTCAGCGGAAGCTCAGCGACAAGCGCCTCGCAGCCAGGTTCCCGATGTCGGGAAGATCTCTCTCGATCACTTCTCCAACACGGTGCAGGCACGATGGTGGCAGGTCTCAATGCTTTGCCTCCAAGTCGATGCGTAACCAGCAGCCGTTTTGGGCTCCCGTCACCAGCTTCTACATTCGATATGACTTGCAAGTCTCCTTCCAGAGCCCGGTCCCGTGATGGGCCCAGAGAGCCCAATATTCCTTACTTACGGAATATAGCCTTAAATCATAATATGAAGCCCCTCATAATTTGAGGTATGTTGCTTAATTTGAGGTATGTTGCTTAATTAAGGGGTATTGGGCTCTCTGGGGGGACGGTGTCGGTTGTTTTGTCTCCTTGTGACGTTTGCTTGCAACCTCCACTGGGACAGCAGCGCTTTAACATGTGTGCTAACGTCGATCGGCAATGGCAGCTGTTTCAATTCAAGCAGCCCGGGCCAAGATGTTTGTTCGCAGAGTTCAGGCTTAGACTTAGACTCCTGTCCCAAAGGGTCCCAAGCACCTGGGACCTCTAGGACCTATATGGGGGATACTTCTACGACGGCAGCCAGAAACCCGTTACCGAAGACGAGAACCCGAAATCCGGGTATTTTTAAAGGCCAACCCTAGTCCCAATCCCAAGCAGAATGCTTCTGACGCACCGTTGCAGGCTGTACCAGTAAGAGTAGTAGTAAGAGTAGTAGTAGTAGTAGTAGTAGTAGTAGTAGTAGTAGTAGTAGTAATTGCTGTAGCAAGGACTGCATTCATGAGCGTCCTGAGCCCTCAACCCCGAGCCCACGCCCCGAAAGCACAAGACTTTGGCCTCTTCTGTGCGCCGGCAAATGAGCTGCAAGACTGCGGCCTCGCGCTGGCGATGTGCACTGCAGCGGAATTGCCATGTTTGATCGCAGTTCCACGGCTCAGAGGTTTGTATAAAGTAAAAGCCAGAAAGTTGGAATATGATTATCCTAAACCCTTTATGGTAAATTATAGGGTATCCTACCCTGAAACCATATTCCAACTTTCTGGAGTTCCCTTTAGGAGTTTGACCTCTGGGGAATCTGAAGATCGGCAGCTATGGGGTTGACACGTAAGACCACGATAGTCGTCATGAACTACGGGAAAGTCTAGCTTGGTGCCTTGCGTCTGGTTTTATCGTGAACTCCCGCACCGGTGCGCTGCCCAAGCATTGCCTAATCTCGTAACCTTTACCTAGACGCTCCATCCTGGAATCGAGATCTAAATATCTTTGTATAAGTAAATGTGTGTAATACATTTTTAGTCTATGTATGAGTTGTTATCTGTATTATTATATGTCTCTATACATACATATTTATCTCTATCTCTCTTACTCTAGATCTACATCTGTATCTATACTTGTACCTATATATACCTAGATCAGTAGACCTCTATATATATATATGCAAGTAGATATATAGACACATATACATACACCCATGCATGCATGCATGCATGCATGCATACATGCTTACATGGATCCGTACATACATACATACATACATAAATACATACATACATACATACATACATACATACATAAATACATACATACATACATGTGTCTTAGAGTTTTTGTAGTTGTATATGCACAGATATATTGACATCAGTACGTACAGACATGCATGCATGCATGCATGCATAGGTGCATATGCGAAAGTACACTAGTCCAGAATGCGCACCAAACTACCCTAAAGTAATTCCGTGCACAAGCTCACACGACTGAGACCAAAGTAGCCCTGAAGTTCAGCAGCGCCTTTTCCGGTAGGGCAAAGTGGTCTTGAGCCAACAGATGGTTGGCAAAGTCGTAGGTCTGGGAGAAAGTGGGGACGTGTTATTTTCACACGCCTCCTCGAGACTAAAGTTACGTACTTTATTCTCGTAAAGTACAATAACACGTAAATGTGTACATGTACATGTGTGAGCTCACGGCCAAAGTTTTGCAAGCAGCTGCTCGGAGAAAGTTTCAACGAGGTCTCCTGTCTTCAACCTCAAAAGTTGACCTGTAAAAGAAAAGTTCGTAGTGCTCGTGGTGCAAAGTGTCGTGTCTGCGCACGGCACATCAAAGTGCAACGTGGCCAAAAGTGGTTGGCCCATTTAAGTGCAGCAACCAAAGTAGCACCAAACGTCAAAAGACGCCGAAAAGTGTGCTGTAGAGATGGCCAACCATATAGGCGAAAAGTGCCATTAAAGTCTTGCTCTGGACATCCGCTGCCAAAGTTGCCGTGGGACAATGTCCCAGTCCTTGGCGTGGATAGTGATGTCCCACATGCTTCTCAACACAGGAATGTGGAAAAGTCTCCAGTGCCAGCTGTTCTCCATGCTGAAAGTTTTGTTCAAACCGCTGGTGACAAAGTAACCATCATCCCAGTGAGGATGGACGACCAAAAGTGCCGTCTGCAGGACCGCTGCTTGGGTCATATCCAAAGTGATAACAGATCCCGCTGGAAGGGCCAGAAAGTAGTCGAGGTAGCGCCTGTTCCAGACGGCGCACGAAGAAACCAAGCCCAACCAAAGTGCCCGTGTTGGGCGAAAGCCAAAAGTGGCCACTTGGCCAACCTGAAAAGTCTTTCCAGCCAGTTGCGTTATGGAAAGCCCAAAAGAGAACAAAAGTAAGGACGATCTGGGGCTGAAGGAAAGTTGAGGTGACGATTGTCACCCCAAAAGGCATCTGCACCATCAAAGTGCAGCGCGCCTCCTTGCAGCAAAGTCCTCATCTTCTGCTGAAACATAGCCAACGGCAAAGTCACGTACAACATAAAGTTGCAAAAGTGGTCCGCCGAAAGTACCGGCGGGACGCCCGGGAGCATCGCCGTAAAGAGCCATGTAAAAGTGCTCTGCATTATAAAAATAATCTCCACATGGGTATAAAGTCCAGGATGCTCGCGGCCTGGGTAAAGTGTCGCCATCACCCTTTCCAGTGAAAGTGGTGGCTGCAACAGCGGGCACTGCGAACCTGGAACCCAAAGTTGCTCAACCTGCCGACCCACATCTAGCATCTCCACAAAAGTAGAAGGATCGAAGTTGGCAACAAAAGTGGAAAAGTTGGATCCTGGGCGCCAGCCAGGGCTGATGGGCAAAGTGCCCCTGCCGCCGGTGCGCAGAGCTTCCGCCCATGCATCGGCGTCCTCTCGCCTCAAAGTCTTTGGCGCCATCGCTGCAGAAAGTTCCACAGCAGCACCGGCCAAATGTGCAGATCCGGCACCCCTTGATTGATAAAGCGTCTCAAGTAGCAAAATGCATATAATGTGTACGCGTCAAAGAGCAAGTACAGAAAGTGCCGCGCTCTTCCGAGCCAGGGTTGCTCCACAAGTCCAGACAAGGACAAAAGAAACGTACTGGCAAACCCAAAGATCTGAAGGTTCTCCCAGAATGACAACTCAGACCTGAAAGGTCGCAGAGGAACAGATAACCGATAAAGTAACCTGATCCAAAAGTGTTGGTCCGCGATCTCTCTTCGGAGAAAAGTCTCCGACTCAGCCAGAATTGCCAAATCACTTGGCTCCAGAAAAGTTGTTTGCCTCGCACGGGCAATGTCAGTGAGCAGCCGGCGGTCAAAGTTGACCGTATCCAGAAGGTCCTCCAGAGAGGCCCGAAGTGACCAAAGTCGGGTCACAAAAAGCCTCAGGAATTCCCAAAAGCGAAACCACAAAGTTCGGTTCCTGTGCCAGCGTGCCACCGAAAGTACCGTTATACGGCAAGATCGCAGCAAAGTTACCACCTCTGTGGCATTCATGCCGGCTCCATCCGCTAGGCGAAGTCGAAGTGAAACGGGCGAAGCCAAGCAAAGGTGGCAGCGAAAAGGCGCAAAGTTAAAACCAAAACCCACGACAAAACCCGAACACCCTGAACGGGAAAGTCAAGTGAGCTTACATATGTACATTAAAAGTGGTGCCGTTGCACCGGAAAACCATCATCGAAAAAGTCATCCACCATCAAGGTTTCACGGTAAAAGTTTCTTCCTTTTCGGAACGGAGAAAACAGGAAACCTAAAACTCATCTTCAAAGTTGGTTCCGGAAAAATGAAAATTCCAGCGACGCGCGAAAGTCGAAGACATGTCGAGACTGCACAGGCAAGCAAAAGTACATGTCCGCAAAAGTACATGTCCGCACAAGCATGAAAAGTACATGTCCGCAAGAACGTGATTCTCTCAGCTCTCAAAGTCTTCTTCTCTCTCGTCTGGGTTCTTCTGGGGAAGATGATGAGTGACAAAGTCCAACCCGAGATGGGGTGGCTAAGCCTCAAACCCGAAAGTAGGAAGATGGCGGTGCAAAGTATCCTTCGTTTTACGGCTTGCGCCGAAACGTGAGGCAATGCTCTTGCCAACGTTACTGTCTGTGAAAACACAAAGGTTAGCCGGTTAGCCTTCTGAAAGATCCTGGTCTCTTCTACCATCTGCAGTACCAGAGCCTATAGCGTAAAGTTCTGCCTCTCCGCTCGAGAGGGCTACGGTGGCCTGGGTCCTGCTGTGCGAAAGTATATTCGCCCCGAGCACAAAGAGGGAAACTCCTGAAGTGGAGCGTCGGGTATCATGGCATCCTGCCCAGTCGCTGTCAACAAAAATGTTGATGTCTATTGCTTTGTGCTGCGGTGAAAGTGAGAGGGTTGGTTGCAGTTTCTGCTCAAAGTGCTTTGTTCCTGCCAGGTACTTCAAAAGATGCTCAAAGCATCCGTTCCTGGCGCAAGTGCCTGCCGGCACTGTTTCAAACCGTAAAGCTCTAGCATCGTATCAATGTAGGATGGGCTCATTCCTACAGAGATGAAAGTGGAGGTGCGCTTCAGGTTGCGGCCTAGAAACGACGAACTCTGACCACCTTAAGCAACAAGTCCTTCTGAAGATCCCGGATCAAAGTCGAAACATCAGCCCGCGAACCGAAAAACATCAAGTCATCCACATACGCCAGAACGTAAAGTTGCTTGCTGTCATGTACATAAAGGTTCGGGTCCGACTTCATGCGTCGAAAGCCGTTCTTCTCCATGACAGATGCAAAGTGCTGCTGCCAAAGCTTAGGGCTGTGCTTAAGCCCGTAAAGGGCTTTCTTAAGCTTCCACAAAGTGCGGCCCTCTGGATAGAATTCCAGAGGTGGAATGACATAAAAGTCACCGTCGACCAGGGCATGAAGAAATGCCGTCGAAATGTCTCCGATCGAGATGTGCCATCCCTTCGCAACAGCCAAAGTCAACAACAGCCGAAGTGTGGTTAAGGACGGGGTTGAGGCGAAAGTCTCATCCTTGTCTTCCACAAGTTGAGTGTAGCCTCGGCCCACGATCCTACAGGTTTGCGCACTTTAACCCACTTCGTGGAAATTGCAGACCGCAAAGTCTCCTCAGAGACCGACTCAACTGAGACTTCGTCAAACACGTCAAAGTCACGCATGGACTTCATCTCCTTTGTCATGCCTGCAGCTTCCTCTTCACGTGTGAACTCCGTCTGGTACCAAATGTGCGGATTCTCAAGTGTCTTCATCAACAAAAGTTCTTTCTCATCTTGATTCACCGACACCGGTACTTCAAGGTCCTGCTTCGTTGTCACAGCAGAGACACGAAAGTCACACACGCGAAAGCGCTTCTTGACCTTGCTTGTCCCAACAGGCAAAGTCTCCGACGTACGCTTTGTCGGAGAAGAAGCAGACGCCTCCTCAAGTCGAGGCCTTGTAGCCGCAGGTTGCGGTAAAGCTGCTTCTGTTGCGGACCGTGGTTGGCCCTGTGTCTGCTGATCCAAAGTGACGTGTGGCGGCTCAAAAGTGTCAAGGTCAGCAGGCCTAGCCAAAGACTCCAAGTCCGACAAGTCTTCTCTTCGCGGCACCGCCTCTGGCTCAACACCGCTAAAGTCGTCACCAAGCAAGTCTTCAACTTCTTGCAAAGCTTCTGGTGCAAGTGGCTCAGTCGACTCGTGCTGCTCAAAGTTCGAAAGGTCTGCTGCTGTCGCCTCCTCGGACCGCTTGGCTTGAGGAAAGACAAAAGTGTCCGTCTCAGCCTTCGAACCAGTGGGGTCCCAAGGGCGCGCAGAGATCGACTGCAAAAGTGCAAGGTCGGCTTGCCGGGAGGGCGGGTGGCGTTTGACACTGCGGGTCTTGAAGACTCCAGTGGCGTCAGCAACAAAGTGCTGATCAGACTCAGTGTCCTTGCCAAGCCAAACACCAGGCACAAAAGCTGCACGACCCTTCTGCGGATGCGGCTTGCGGAAAAGTACTGTCTCTCCAAAGCGACAGATAAAGCCGGCATACTTCTTACGCCAGCGTCGCTCAAAAGCCGTCGTTCCTTCCGCGTTGCAAAGGTAACGGTTCACAAGCCACTGCGCGTGACGAACCAGCCAAGTAAACAAAGCTGAGTGCACCGAAAGGTCAACGTCGTAGCGCTCAAGGATCTCAAGGCGCAAAGCCTTGATCTGTCCGTACAAAGTGGCTTGCATGTTACCCACGCTGCCTTGCGCTTGCTTCCAACCGACGGGCGTCTTCCGAAAGGAAAGTCCACCAACCTCACCAGTGACAGAAGTTGCAATAGCGAGGAGGGCGGGTTCGGGGTCCGCTTGCAACACACCGAAAGTTCTGCCCGTTTCAAGCACAAAGCGACGAAGCTCAGCCTGTGAATAAGGTGTGCGGGCCTTGGTGGGGATCACAACAGAAAGTGCCATGCCCGAAAGAACATCGACAACATTCAAAATCGTGATCTGTTCCTCACCAGGCTTGTCGCCAAGAAAACTAAAGTAACTAAAGTCCATCTGCAGCACAGGCTGCTTCAGGGAAAGTCTGCGACTCTTAGCCTGCTTGCTCTTGGAACGCACACAAATTTCACACCAGGGCTTAAAAGGCAAGTGCGTCAACTCGTGTTCAAGCCGCTCCGTCAAAGTTGGCTCGCCCGGCTGTTTAAGTCCGCGAGGGCGATGCGCAACGTAGTCCGGAGCTTCCGGCTCACACTCAACAAGTTGCAAGTCTGCCTTCTCAAAGCAAGTGGCTCCGACAAAAGGAGAGCTGATCAAAGTGGCGCCGCGCTTGCGCCAATGGTCAGCGTGCCAAAAGGGCACTGCCTCCGTGTCTGGCCTCACAACCAAAGTCATACGACCGTCGCCAAGCTGCTCTTCAAAGTGCGGATCCTCAGGCACAAAAAGTGTGGTCCGCTGTTCGTATGGACACGCACCCAGCAAGACGGAAATTCAAGCCACAAGTCGTGCGTGTACGGCTGGCCTGTTGCCGGGTCCTTCTCCAAAAGTTGTTCAAGCAAAGCCTTTCGAAAGTCTTCCAGCGTTCCTGAAGAGGTCTGCTCAAGGCGCAGACGGAAAGTGTCCTCGGTGCTTTGCTCCTTGAGGCCTTTAGTGGGTTGCTTGAAAAGTGGTTGTGGGGCCTCTGCTAAAGGTTCCTGCTGCTGTTCAAGTGGTTGTGGTTTGCGTGCAGGTGTGGGTTCAGGTAAAGTTGTCTGTTTTCCAACCAGCTTGCGGCCAGTGGGCTTGGAGGAAAGTTTAAAAACAGTCTTGCCAACAAAACGTTCAGAAGCTGGGCCCTTTGGGTTAGCTACCTTACGCCAGTTGTCGGTGAAAGTCTCTTTTCTGCCATCTGCGTACTCAAAGTAGGTTACGCGTTCGTCTGAAAGGTCCTTCAGTTCTACAGGGCGATCTTTCGTCCCTTCGGGAGAAAAGAAAGTAGCTCTCGCTCTTTTGTGTATGCGGGTCAAAGTATTACCCGAGAGCTCCCATTTATCAATGTGATACTGGACGACAGGCTTAAAAACTGGGGCCACTATGGTACCTTGGGCGCTCTGTGTGTGAAAAGTGTTACACACAACCTCAAACTCTTCCCGGTTGAAAGGTGCCAAAGTTGGCCTCAAGAAAAGAAGTGAACCATGCCTAGTGATGGGCACCTTGTGTCCATCCGGTGTTTCCAAAGTGTTCGCCTTCTTAGAAGAAAGGTTCACGTCAAAGCCTGACCTCAAAAGTCTGCCAACGGACACCACACAGTAGGGAACGTCGCAAACGTAGAAGTGTAAGAAGCAGGGCTGGCCCTCAAAGTCAACCTTCACAAGTCTCCTTCCAAAGACCGTCAAAGGCTGACCTGAAATGCTCCTCAAAGGTGGAGCCTTACCTGTAAGTGGCAGAAGTGGCCACTCTGAGGCAAAGTCCTTCGGGCAACAGTGAGTTGCAGCACCTGAATCAAAGAGGATCCACGGCTCAGTGTCCTCCAAAGTCGAAGCAATCAAATGCTCCTCCAAAGCAACATCCTTGAAAGTCGTATTCAAATTCTGAAGACCAAGATCCCCAACACTGAAAAGTCGTTGGTTCTCTTCCGTGCGACCATTCAAGGAAAAAGTCTCAAGCGGTGCCATAAAGGCCGTAGGCTCAAAGTTCTCACACTCTCCGAAACCACCAAAGCTGAAGTCTACAACTCCGTTCGTCATCCCATCAACTCTGAAAGTGTTCCCCAAAACAAAGTTGCCGAGAACAACAGCCGACATGAGCAAAGTGCTCGGGCTGATGCTTGCTTTAGCCTTAGGCTTGGCTTTGGGGGTTGAAAGTCCAGGTGGTCCTTGCAAAGTCACAGCCGACAAGGGCAAAGTTGCCGCGCCGCTTGACGAGGAAGCCTCTTCCTTGGGCTTCGCCAAAGTTTCGGCCTTCGCCGAAGGAGCAGCCTCTGAAGGCCAAACTTCTGAAGTAAAGTCCGAAGACCAACCCCAAGGGTCAACATCCCAGGACCAAGCATCCCAAGACCAAAGTTGATCATCCCAAGTCTGATCCCAACTGCTAGGGTCGTTGTAAAGTTCCGTCACCGCGTTGATCGCCCAATCGGTCCAATCAGACCAATCGTCCTCACCAAAGTGAGACCAATCTCCTGTATCCTCCGATGGGTAAAGTTCTTCACCTTCCACTGCTGAAACACGGTAGTTAGGACAGTTGCTCGAAAAGTGACCTGTTTTACCACACGTCCAGCAAACCGAAGTAGAACCAGAAGTGTGTTTTCCTTTTCCTTTTCCTCTTCCTTTTCCTTTCATCATAAAGTTCCAATGTTGTCCTCCTTTTCCAAACGACTTCGAAAAGTCCTTTCCTTTTCCTTTTCCTTTCTTTCCTTTTCCTTTCTTTCCTTTTCCTTTCCACAAAGCTGCCGCTAAGGCACCAATGTTCATGGGAGCCGAAGCTCCACCAGCAAAAGTTGCATTCGCCGAAGTTTGTGCAACTGGGTTCATCAAAAGTCGTGATCTATGGTACTCAAGGATAACTTCTCGAACCTGAGCATAAGTCGCCAAAGTTTGGGCATTCAACCTAAGGTGTTGTTGTAAAGCTCCAGAGGTCTTGTTCAGCAAAGTTGCAACAAGAACACCATCAGGTAAAGGTTGTCCTGCTTGTCGTTCGTATCTGCTCTTGATTGTTTCCCAAACATTAAAGTCCTGTTCAAAGGTGGCTGGGTTGAACTTAAAGTCCAACAGCTGCGTCAAAAGTGACGTGCTTCGCGTGGCTCCTGGCAGCGAGAACTTCTTGTAAAGTCTTCTCCATGTCTCAAAGCCGTTGCTGTCCTCGTTCTGACGAACAACAAGTTTCGCCGAATCTTTCACAAGTTGCGAGATCAAGTAATGTGGTTTTCGGGAGAAAAGTACTCGGTTGGCGGTCTGTTCCGGATCTGCATCACCTGTGTCCAAAGTGACTGTTAGATCAGCATCTGTAAAGTCACCTTGCGCTGCCGTTCGCATTTCGGCATTGTCCATCAAAGTCACAGCACCTACCTCGAACATCGAAATGCACGCTTTAAAGTTCCATGACCATTCTTCCCAGTCTGCTGGGTTCCCAGAGAAAGTCTCTGGCAGAGGAAGCCGAAGCTTTCCTGTAAAGTTGTCTTCACCTCCTAGTGCCATGTCGTTCTACCAAAGTTCCGTGGAGCTTTCAGCTCCGCTACCATGCGAAAGTACACTAGTCCAGAATGCGCACCAAACTACCCTAAAGTAATTCCGTGCACAAGCTCACACGACTGAGACCAAAGTAGCCCTGAAGTTCAGCAGCGCCTTTTCCGGTAGGGCAAAGTGGTCTTGAGCCAACAGATGGTTGGCAAAGTCGTAGGTCTGGGAGAAAGTGGGGACGTGTTATTTTCACAGCATAGGTACATAGACGCATGCATGCATACATACATACACACACGTACATACGTACATACATATGTATATATATATATGTATATATGTATATATGTATATATGTATATATGTATATATGTATATGTGTGTGTATGTGCAGAAAGAGGGAGAGAGAGGAGGAGGGTCCGGGTCAGCTGTTCGCATGTTGAGGATATGAGAAGCTGCAGATCCTGGGAAGCGGTGCCTATGGCACCGCACTGCTGGTGCGTGAGCGTGCAGGGGGCGGCACAAAGCCCCGCGGCTATCTGATTTCAGACGCTCCATGATTTTGCAAGAACCTCTTTGACTCATAGACGGACTATATGGCCCCTGCGGAGGACCCTTGCCGATAACCCTGATAGAGATTCCATACAGAGCCTTACATATAGAGAGTTCTTATGGAGAAGAACCTCTATAGAATCCGCGTTTGTAGAGTGCAGGTATGTCGCGAAGGAGATCAACGCGGCACACTTGGGCGAGAAGGACCGTAGAGAACAAGATTTTTGGGAAGTTTAACGGTTACTATAAGGGTGATTATGTGTTCCCCTCAGAGAACCCCTGCAAAACGCCCGGAAGGCGCTGGTAGGGCCCCTTACAGGCACCCTTGCAGGGATGCCGTAAACCCTAAAGCCCGAAACCCTAACAGCCCTTCAGGAGAAGCCCAGTAAAACATCGCATACTCTTGGAGGAAAAGCTTTGAAGGAACCCTTAAGGAAAGCCTGGTATTGGTGGCTTTGGATCTCGAAGCCCTGAGCGGGAGTGGGGAGCGCAAGGCAAAGCGGGAGGAGAATCCCATTTCTAACAAGTGAATTTGGATCAACTTCCAGTATATCACGCTACAGTGCATTTTTGTGAAGGTATCTTGCATTATATATAACATTCTATGTTGTACTACTACAGAAAATGCAATTTTTCCGGTTTCGGGTCTTGGAGCCGAAGACCTAAGCAGAGACTGCCTTGGCTGAGAGGAGCGGCAGCTTGCCTTGGCAGAGGCAGATGTTCCGGACCCAGCTCTTCTGGGTTTTTGTGAAGAGAGCTTCCCCACAATCCAGACTTGACCCAGCTCTTCTGAGGGTTTTTTTTGTGAAGAGAGCTTCCCCGCATAATGTGGAAGTTTAGAGCTCCTTTACAAACTCTAGGGTTTTTGATAGAGCCCCTTTACAACCTTGCAGAAAACTGTAGGGTTTAGAAATTGAATTCTACCGGGTTTAGAACAGTCTGTCTGTGGCAGAGTTTAAAGGAGCTCTGGGGGACCTAGGGAGCTCCGGGAGGCGGGCTTCGCAAGGGTGGACGCAGTGACCAAACTACGGTTGATGATATAAATCCTGCATTACCTTAAGTTAATATACCAGAATTCTCATAAGTTAGGGTCCTTAACTTAAGGATCCTAACTTATAGGAAGTATGGTATATTCCTTATTATGGGTAATGCAGGATTTATATCATCAACCGTCGTACGACAGCTCAAACTACTAGACGGGTTGTTGTCATAATTATGGTCCCCTTTTTGTGTGTCCCTGATATAAGACGGCCCCACCATTTGGGGTCCCTTTTTGGGGACCCCTAATTTTGACAACTGCCCATACAGCTCTTCCGTCATCTCGTCTTCAGCCGCAAAGCATCTCCCAGTAACAGTCTGATACGCCAAGGACAGGAGAATCCTTTCCCCCCGCCCATTCCAGGAACTGTACTTAGAGGATCATGGGACTTAGTAAGTAGGTTATAACTGGGGTTATAAGTCCCCTCAGTGGGGTTATCCTAATTATAACCTACTTATAACCTTACTTACTAAGTCCCATGAGCCTTTAAGTAGCATCCTGCAATGCCCAGGTCTTGCGGCGGGTGTGTCACGCGAACATCATCCGCTCCGCAGCCGAATTCATAGGGGGGGTGTGGGCAAACGTGCTATCAACTGCTAACGTTAAGTCTGATGAGTCCACTTGTTTTGAACCGTACAAGGACCGGAGTTCGAGGATACAAGTACTTAACCCCTTGATGAGGGCTCGATAGGCTCGATGAGGCATTTATGCAAACTAGTGCTCAAGGCGAGATGTGCATCCGCTGAGAACACTATACAGTGCTGTCGCAGTCGACTGCAAAAGAATGCCAACAACTGCTCATGCAAGGGCGTTTCCTCCATTCACAAACACACGTGAGAGCCCTGAGCCCTGAACCAGGCTACGTCGAGTCTTTCATGGAGGGCCCAAAGCTGTACATCGTCATGGAGTACGCGGACAACGGGGACCTGGCGACGCAGATCAAGCGCCGTAGCGATGCGCAAGGACACCTTTCAAGCATGCTTCTAGAGTCATGGGGGGGGAAACGGTAAAGGCTTCGAGATGTTTTCTTCGCTGGGTTTGATTCTTCCGATGATTCATTGTCATGATATTGTTATTCTTTAATAGTTTCCTGATTCCTGATCATATCATTAATCATGCCGTGTAATTGCAATGGCTCCGGCTATTTCTATTGTAAATGTGCTTAAAATAGTGGCTATTATGACTGTGATGATCGGAGAACTCTTCGAGAGTCGGCTCAAAGTCTCCATCGTGGAAGGCCAGGATGCTTCTTCTTGTGGTTATGAAGATTCGTATTATGAACCCAGAGATCCCAATACTAATACCCTCGAATTAAGGAATATACCTAAAATGATATTCGGATCCCTCTTATGATTTAAGGCATATTCCTTGATTTAGGGATATTGGGGTCTCTGGGAAGATGATTATAATGGCTTTTCGTACCATAACTGTCTGAAAGCTCTTTCAGACTCGGCCTGACGTCCAGGACGCTTCACGGAGGATCAGATCAAACCCTAAACCCCTAAACCCTATAAACCCTAAACCCTAAACCCTTAACCCTATAAACCCTAAGTCCAGGACGCTTCACGGAGGATCCAATCAAACCCTAAACCCTATACCCTAAATCCAGGACGCTTCACGGAGGATCAGATCAAACCCTAAACCCCTAAACCCGAAACCCTTAACCCTATACCCTATAAACCCTAAGTCCAGGACGCTTCACGGAGGATCAGATTAAACCCTTAACCCTTAACCCTATAAACCCTAAACCCCTAAACCCTAAACCCTATAAACCCTATAAGTCCAAGACGCTTCACGGAGGATCAGATCAAAACCTAAACCCCTAAACCCTAAACCCCTAAACCCTAAGGGTCCCCTAAGTCCAGGACGCTTCACGGAGGATCAGATCATGCACATCCATCTGCAGCTCATCCTCGCGCTCTCGCACATCCACGACTGCAAGATCCTGCATCGGGATCTGACACTTGGACCACGCAGTATAGGGGCCTTCATAATTAATTAGACTAGGGTTCCTTAGGGTTCCTTTAAAGGTGGTCCTTTAAGGGTTACTATAAGGGGGTGGTCCTTTAAGGGTTACCATAAGGGATCTATAAGGGTACTAAAATATGGGGGGGGGCCCTTCAAAATACCAAAATATAGGGGGCCCTTCATAATTACTAGTACTATTTTTCGAAAGCCCGGAAGTGCTGTGACGATTCTACCAGCCCTTGAAAAGTGATCCATCCTCAAGTCTACTGCCATTTGCAGCGAAGTTGGGCCTGCGCCCAGTGATTGCAGCTGCCAAGCTTTGAAAACCTAGGCCCTTCCTCAACCCTGAAGAACCTACCTTTTTGAGGACATATATAGGGAAATCATATATAATAGGGGACTCTTAAAGAGGTAGGTTATTCAGGGTTAAGGGTAGCAGCAGCGCCGAACGAGCGACTCTGCACAAACCTGGTCATGTAAGCCAAAGACCACCTTCAAGCTAGAAAGCCACAAGAACCCTCACACGCTCCAACACAGCACGCGTCAAAAGCAGAAGACATCTCCAAGCAAGAGACCCCCATTGTAGAAGCCTTGTACATCGCTTTACAGGAACCCTGAAAATCAGCATTAACGCCGCAACAAAACCGACATCTCTTAGGAATAGACTAGATCCTTTGTAGAAGCCTCATACATCCCTTTGCAGGAACCCTTAAACCACCCATGAACACCGAAATAAGAACCCTGACATTCCCGAGGAAGCTCCTCAACATCTTCCCTTAATGGGGGTTCCTATAGAGTACCCTTACAGTAGAAGCCAGAAAGTTGGAATATCATTATCGTAATCCCTTGAAGGTAAATTATAGGGAATCCTACCATTAATCCATATTCCAACTTTCTGGAGTTCCCTTTAGTAGTATAGGGCCCCAAATTAGGGGATCTACTTTCTAGATCCGAAGGAAGCCCCTCAACATCTTCCTGACGCGGCGCTGGATTGTGAAGCTCGGGGACTTTGGAATCTCCAAGGCCGCGGGACGGTCTGGGAAGCGGATGTTGCCAGGTGCTGGAGAGCACATAATAGGGCCCTAAACCCCAAACCCTAAAAGCCTTAAATCCTAAACCCTAACCCTAAACCCTCAGGCCCTAAACCCTATAAGCCCTAAGCCAGGTGCTGGAGAGCACAACCGCCGGGGCCCAGACCACGATCGGCACGCCGCTCTACTTGGCCCCGGAGATTTGCAACGGAGACAGCTACGGCTCCCCGACACATCTTGCTTTAGGGCCCAGAGAGCCCCAATGCCCCTTAACTAAGGAATATGCCTTAAATCAAAATATGAAGCCCCTTGTAATTTACTACCCCTTAATTCAGGAATAGCTTAAATCATAATCTGAAGCCCCTTATAATTTAAGGTATATTGCTTAACTAAGGGGATTCTCAGCCCCTCATAATTTAAGGTATATTGCTAAAAACGAAGGGGATTAGGGGCTCTCTGGGGGGTTTTCAGGGCTCAGGATCCTTCCACTTCCAGGGTCTTAACTTTCTGCCTAGCTGTCTTAGTAGAAAGGACTTGTCGATCTATCATTATCTATTTGTCTATCTACCTGCCTATCTAAGTAGACTCGATTTGTCGTTTTAGATATCCATCTATCGCTTTAGGCTCTCATAGCTTATGAAACTCCCGTCTGGCATTGGCGGCGCTCTTTCCGCAACGCGTCTGAATCTCTGCATGACACCCAGGGCCCCAAAAGATCCGCTAACCCCTGCAAGGCCCGGATTTCTCCCACACTTTATCAAGAGAGCCCTTTGTCGCACCTTGATTGTATATACATGTACGTATACATACATACATATAGACGTACACATGATATGTATGTAAGTTTATACTGTGATATGCTCTCAAAGCCCTGAAGGAAGATGCCTTGAGTAATTTTTCTAGAACCCCAGACATGACGTCCCAAACTCGCAGTAGACAAGACCCCATGGGACACCCCAAAAAGCTTCCCTAAACCCCAAAAGCCTCCGAAGCCCAAAACCGCAAGACCGAAAAACGAAGCCTGAAACCCTAAACCGACGCCCTAAATCCAGAACTTCCCCCAACCTTAAACCCGAAGACTTATAAATTACCAACACCTCGCCCCCAGTCTAGGGTTTAGGGTCTGGGGCTCCAAAGCGCCCCCCGCACCTTCCGAACGAGGCGTCAAAAGTGACCTCTGGGCTCTTGGCGTCGTCACCTACGAGCTCGCGGCCTTGCAGGTGCCCTTCCAGGCCTTGTGCATTAAGGCTTCGTGTTTAGGGTGTTATGTGGGTGGTTGTCAATATCAGGGTCCCGCTTTGGGTCCTTATCATAATACGGCACCTAATATTCAGGGTGCCCAAAAAGGGACCATAATTTTGACAACCACCCATGCGGCTATTACAGTCTATTAACGATCCTTATTACATGAAGTTACCCTTCAAGTGAAAAGTCTGTGAGGGAGGTTAACTGTTGTAGGGTACGTAAACCCTTTTTCTGGGTTTTGTGTAGGGGCCGTGATATCTAGAACTTCTAGAACCGGGTTTTTGGGGTATACTACAGCATGCGTGTAATGACCAACCCCAGAAGATAATATCACTAATGATTCAGGTGCCCAAACTATGTACACTGTGTTAGAGGTTGAGTTCTTTCAGGACCCTAAACATAAACCCCAAAACACGGTTGATGATATAGATCCTGCATTACCCATATTAAGGAATGTACCATAATTCCCATAGTTTAGGGTCCTTAAGGTAATGCAAGATTTATAACCCTAAACCCTAAACCCCCTATAGATCCCTGAAGGACCCCTAAAGGTACCCTTATAGATCCCTTTCAAGGAAGCCCAGGATTTACATCATCAACAGTAGCAACCTTGCCAAGTCCGGCACTCTTTGCTCCTCGCCGCCAGGCAACTTCCATGGTGGCCCTCATCATGAAGGCCCGACACGAAAACCTCGAAGAAGACTTGCAGGATCATGGGACTTAGTAAGTAAGCTTCCTTCAAGGGATCTGTAGGGTTTAGGGTTTAGGGTCTACTTGGCGGACCATGGGATGTAATATGTAAGGTTATCAGTGCTGTAGTTGGAGTTTTAAGTGATTCCAACTACAGCTACCGTATTTACATACCTACGTTCTGAGTCCCATGATCCCTCAGTCCTTAAACCTCAAAGCCCCTAACACGGTTCACGGTTTCAGGAAGAACCCTTAAACCCAAAATCTCTCAACGGCCAGAGAAGCGCATATGCTGAAAGCCTCAAACCCCAAATACCCTGAATAGACCTTAAACCCTGTAACCCCTTTTCAACCCTAAACCCTGTAATACTAACTGAACCTTCCATGTTCCAAGTGTACACAGTTAGCATAACTTAGACCTTTGTATTCTAAGCAGCAAGAACCCTTACAGACTCTGTTCAAGGAACCCCTGCAATAAACCAGCTCTGTGTCTTCAGGCGTCGTACCCCTGAACTGTTAAAGGAATATGGAACCCTTAGAGGAACCCTACTCTAAGCCTTGAGTCAGGAACCTCCCTATTCTAAGGTCGAAAATCCCCAAACCTAAACCTCCTGTGATTTACCATTATGGTTTGCTATTTCTAGCTAGGAACCTTAGATAATTAGAATGGGGTTTCGGGGGAGGGTATGTTATGCTATAATTTCAATAAGGAGCCCCCAAAAACCTATTCTAATCATTATGGGCCCCTATATCAGTCCCTGCTTTCCAGGTCTGCTCCGCGGAACCAGCGCCGCTTCCGGCAGTCTACTCGCAGGATCTGGCGGAGATCGTCTCGGGACTCCTTGAGATGCTCGAAAGCACAGGCTTAGGGTTTAGGGTTTTAAGGGCTGGTAGGGGGTTAAGGGTTTAGGGGTGCAGGGTTTAGAGCTTAAGCGTTTGGGGTTTAGGGGATTTATGTAGGGTGTAGGGGCTTTAGGGCTTTGGGAGTTTAGGGTTGAGACGCTCGAAAGCACGGCCCAACTGACAAAGCCTCTTTGTAGATTATGAGTTGGCTTTAGGCTTTCGGGTTTAGTTTTCAACCACAACACACCCAAACCCAAAAAGCCCACCCAAGAATTAAGGGCTAAGCCTAAACCCAAAAAGACGAAGCCTTAAACCCTTAATCCCTTAATCCCTTAATCCCTGAAACCCTAATCCCTTAAACCCTAAACCCCCTTAAACCTGCTGTTTCACAGTGCATACTTGGAGGATCATGGGACTTAGTAAGTAAGGTTATCAGTAGGTTATAATTCGGATAACCCCACTTAGGGGACTTATAACCCCACTCATAACCTACTTACTAAGTCCCATGATCCTCTAAGTAGCTCAGGAAAGAGCCCCGCAAGCGCCTTGCTCTGGAAGATGTGCTTCGCCTGGGCTATGCCAGGCGGGGCGCTATGTTTCCAAAAATGAGGGGTACCGTATTTTGAGGTCCTTATATTATAAAATACTATATAGCGGTGTCTTATAGTATATCATACGGTTGATGATATGAATCCTGCATGACCCATTATAAGGAATGTAACATAATTCCCATAGTTTAGGATCCTTAGGGTAATGCAGGATTCATATCATCAATCGTAGGGGTCTAAATAACTCAGGTAGAAGAGGCTATAGGGTGCCCTTAAAGGGGTTACTATAAGGGCTGCTTGTTAATTTGTAATGACCTGTACTATTGTAGGGGTTCCTCATTATAAGTATAGCATGATGGGGCCCAAAGAACTATTCTATCTATTAGGGCCCCTGCGTTGCGTTAAGGGCGACATGAATCTTGAAAGGGTTTAGTGTTCATATTCCATATAGGGATTCATAGCATAAGGGTACAGGGCCCCTGGTAATAAGGGTCATTTGGTCCCCAAGGTATTGGGTAGTTCTCTATTCTAAATTAGCCTCCCTCTTCGGGTCCTTTTATGAATACATTTTAGGATAACATAGTAAAGTCCATTATGAAATTTTGTAGCAGCAGGGTACGATTTATAGAAGAATAAGTATAGTATACTATGATCCTTAATGCTCGGCGTAGGGCGCCAGGACCAGAACAAGCACGCTCATATTTGTTAGAACATCCAAGACGACGAAAACCCGATGTACACCCTACAACTTTCAAGCCGCCTCAGCGGCTCGGAGATCAACTTTCAGCCTGCGCCTCCTAGGATGCCCAGTAGTACCCTTATTCCCTTTTTGTAGTCCTAGGTTCCTTATAAAGTTACCGTATCCTAGCCTCTGTGTTTGTCTCGATCTTGATGGCAAGGCACCACATGCAGAGCCTGCTCGAGCGCAGCAGGGACATGGCCAGGGAGGTGCAGGCGCGAGTGTCCTTGCTTCGAGCCCCATGCATAGATACCTTCTTCGAGGATCATGGGACGAAGTCAGTAAGGTTTTGAGTACCTTAATTGAGGTATATATCTCTAGAACGAGGAGAGGAAGAAAAGCAAGACTGGTAGCAGCAAGGACGACAATCACTCGTTTGCCCTTGTAATGTTGAGCCTGTCAATTTGACATTGCGCCATAGGGGAAAGGACACCTTACCTTCGCAGCTGAATAGGTAAAGTTTCACCATGTGGGTTCTGTAAAATCCGACCAACAATGAAAAATGACACCTTTCAGTGTCTGCCCCTAAGTCATTGTCAACGACTCACGGAAAACCAAGGTTTAGGGTTTTAGGGCTTCGGGTCTAGGGGTACGGGAGAATTCAGTTTTCTGAGAAAACAAATCGCAAGTGCCCAGCCGCCACAACGGGTGCCTGCAGATGTCAGGAGGCCCGGGGGCTTCTTTCGGGTCCTGATCCCTTCTTCCTTCCAGCCCCTTGTGTCGTCGAACTCGCCTCCCCGAACCACCGAAACCCTGACAGCCTAGAGTCTAAATTCATCTATCCCTGCTTTACCCCACCAGCTTACAAGACACTCTTCGAGTCACCCATGCCCCAATATAAGGCTACCCAACCCAACAAGCCTACTCAAAGCAAAAACGGAGGCTGCCTCCATACCAAACCCCAAACCCGGAACCAATGAAGCCCCTGAACCCTAAACCCCGAACCCCACAGCCCCTAAATCCCTTCTTATAGATCCCTTAAAAGCAACCCCTGTAGATCCCTTTAAAGGAACCCCTCTATGGGAGTTTCCGAAAATCGGGGACCCTAACATCATACCCTAAATTGTAGGATCCTTCTTATAAGGATCCCAAAATATGGTAACCCTAATTTTCGGAAACTCTAAACCCTAAAACCCTTTATAGAAGCCTTATAGATCCCTTTAAGGAACCCTTTAAAGGAACCCCTACATAGATCCCTTTGAACCCGCCAAAAAAAGCCTCAAAAGGCTCCCGTCCGAACACAGAAGCCGGCTCCACATCCGCTGGCGCCGGGAAGCCCTGGTAGCCAGGACGGTGAGAAAACAAAGGGGGCGTTAAGAATTACCTATACTATGTGCGTGTCTTCTGTTTTTATTTCTATGTTTTTTTGAAGGGGGGTGGGGGGTGGGGTTCTTATCATAATTATAGCACAATATACCGCAGTGGGGGCTTCAGGTTTCGGGGTTTTGGTGATTCAGGTTTTTTTTGGGGAGTTTGGGTTTTGGATGTTGGCTTAGGGATTTCGGTGTTTATGTTTATCCCAAACAAGAAGCAGTGGGGGGGGCTTGCATCTGAAGCCTTAGAAATGTTTAGGTTCAGGGTTTACGACTTCGGGTTTCGATTGGGGATTACTTGGAGGATCATGGGACTTCGTGAGGAAGGTTATAACTACCTCATTTTTTGGAGTTTCGAGATATAAGTAAGGATAACTATAATTACCCTATTTCTCACCCTACTTACTAAGACCCATGCTCCTCTAAGTAAGGTTCAGATTTTCGGTGTCAAGGGTTTGGAGTTGATAGGTCCGCAGCAGTGGCGGCCTTTGCGACAGGTTCCATTTTAGATGAGTTCTAGGATGTCCAGTAGTACCCTTATTCCCTTTTTGTAGTCCTAGGTTCCTTATAAAGTTACCCAATACCAAAAAGAGAGGCCTTTTTATTCTTAGGTTACTGGGTATCCTAGAGTTCTGTAAGGCTGCCAGCCGTTGTCTTTCTGGGCAAAGGGGCCAAGGGGTGCTGCCCGACAACATACCGCTTCACCAAGCCTGATTTCAACCGTCCTGGGCTCGATCTACAACCAGTGTCCAAGTCCTTAAGGACGAAATGAACCTCAAAAGAACTTAAGGTTCACATACCATATAGGGATTCATAGTATATAAGGGCATAGGGCCCCTACTTATAAGGGTCATTGGGTCCCCAAGGGTGTAATCACATCTTGAAGTTGCGCTCACGGCCGAAACGCAAGGTTGCATGTTGGCAAGGCAAGGTTGCGCACGATGCTTTAAACTACCATAACCTACGTTGCTGAACGTACTTACTATAAGCCCAAGTATGGAGTGTATAGGGACTCTACAAGATTAGCGGGTCCTTAGGTTTTGGTAGTTGCTTTGAAGGTGAGCTCCAGACACATGTTGGATCCAAAATGCAAGCTAATCTGACAAAGTTGCCTCCTGCAGGACCCTGCTCAAGCTGCCGGAAGCTCAAGGGTGGAGCATGTTGGGCGCGTGCTGGCATCCATTTCGTGCCTCGTGAGACACCTCTAGGCATTGAGAGTTCACTCAGTTCCGGCTGTAGAAATTGTTTTGGCAGCTTATTGGGCTCTGGGTTTAGGGTTCAAGGTTTAGGGTTTAGGGGTTTAGGGTTTAGGCTTCTGGCGAGGGGATCAGTGAACTCGGCTGCAATTCAGCATCGGCTCATTGTGCCCTGGCTCATTGAGGTCCGAAACGAGTATTTCCTAAACAAGGAGGCCAGCTGCTCTCCATCTCCTTGTGTGTGTGTGGGGGCCGTGTCATGTCTTGTATAAAAAGTCAATACAGCGTCGGCAGCTGAAGTCCTGGGGCCTCCGACGAATCTAGAGGGTGTGGGGGTCAAGTTGCGTCTATGCTGGGGCAGTGCATGACGTGCCGGCGAGCAAGATTATCAGTGGTACTGCGACACGGTTGATCTTTGTGTAGAATGCTTCTGAAATTCGAACGCGGATTTCTGATTAAACCGTACAAACTCGAGAACCCTAAACCCGAACCGATAGCAACTCGGCTCTTTTCAAAGCTAGCAGCTAGCTGCTTTTATGTGCACTCTCTTGCTTGCAGATCGCACGGCGGAACAAGGAGCGCTGTCGAGGCGCTGCTGACAACTTTATTATGGCTTGAGGGTTGGGCTGAGGCTTTACGGTTCTAGGGTTTATTTTTCAAGATCGATCTATGCCTGTTGAGTTGAATGGCCGCGCGTGCGCTTCCCACACACTCTCGCCCAAATCCATGCTATGCCCCAGAACCCTGAAACCTCAACCCCAAGGCCCAACACCCTCTGAAACCTTAACCCCCAACACCAATTGAAACCTTAACCCCCGACACCCTCTGAATCCTTAACCCGCAACAGCCTGGACTCCACGCCCATGCTTAGAGGGTCATGGGACTTAGTAAGTAGGTTATAACTGGGGCTATAAGTCCCCTAAGTGGGGTTATCCTAATTATAACCTACTTATAACCTTACTTACTAAGTCCCATGAGCCTTTAAGTATTCCCTAAAACCCTAAACCCTATAGACCCCTTTAAGGAACCCTGTAGATCCCTTTAAGGCACCTTATACTTACTAAGTCCCATGAGCCTTTAAGTGAGCCCAGCACCGAAGCCTCAACTTTGATCGACATGCCGGAGGCCCCGCCAGCCTTTCCCCAGAGAGGTCGGATCCAAGGCACCAGCTGCAGCTGCGATGCATGGGACACGAAATAGTCGCAATGGGATTTGGCAGGGGAGGTATTCTACTACTACTACTACTACTACTACTACTACTACTACTACTACTACTACTACTACTACTACTACTACTACTACTACTACTACTACTACTACTACTTGTAATTACTACTGCTATGATAAGGAACCTGAGGAAGCCCGATTCTAGTGGCTGCGACCCTTGTAGTACGGGCTTCGCCGGAATCCATTCGTACGGAGTCAAGAAGGCCCACTAAGCCGTTAAGATCAAGGTTGGGCTTGGCCAAAAACCCAGAGAACCCAATATCCCTTAATTAAGGAGTATGCTTTAAATCATATTAGGGATCCTATTATAATTCAAGGTATATTCCTTAGTTAAGGGGTGTTGGGATCTCTGAGAAGTCAAATCCCAGTCTTCAGTGGAAGAGTCTTCAGCTTCCGCCCCCAAAGGCCAGATCCCTCGCTGCAAGTGCCCCGTGCAGCGCCCCGCGCGGCCAGCGCGCCGCGGGCGCTGCCCCGGGAGCCCCCACGGGAACCGCCCGAGCCGGAGGACAAGCGCGCCGAGGCGCTAAAGGGAGGGGTTGAGAGTTCAGGTGTTCGGGGTTTTGTAGACCTAGGTCATTGCCACGGGTGGCGGGATTTGGATCACATTGAGCCCTCCCTTGGGGACCAAATGACCCTTCTATAAGTAGGGGCCCTATACCCCTATACTATGAATCCCTATATGGTATGTGAACCTTAAGCCCTTTTGAGGTTCATCTCGTCCTTAAGAGGTCAGGGTATGTTATCATGTCTCTGGCTGCCCTTGCATCGCCAGACTTGGACCCCCTCAGGCTTGGTCTGCCCAGAGGCCCCATACGGTTGATGATATAAATCCTGCATTACCCATACTAAGGAATATTCCATAATTCCCATAGTTTAGGGGCATGACGGTAATGCAGGATTTATATCATCCACCGTAGTAGTTCCTTTTTGAGATTACCTCATAGGGTTCCAGACATGAACCCCATGGAGGAACTACTTTAAAACCTCGGGTGAAGACCTTTTGGTACCCAAAAAGGTGCCCTAATTTTGACAACAACCCATATATTGATTGATACATCTATAGAAGCATGACGATACTACGCTATACCTTAAGGACAAAACGAACCTCAAAAGGGTTTAAGGTTAATATACCTTATAGGGATTCAAAGTAGAAGGGTATAGGGCCCCTACTTATAAGGGTCATGTGGTCCCCGAGGTTTATAGTAGAGCCCATAGTGTTGGAAAGGGAATGAAGGCCAAATAGTGCTGGGATTCTCAATACATTACTCTATAAGGGTCATTTAATCCCCGAGGATGTTGCAGCGGTGAGTCGCATGATCCTCTAAGTACTCCCTAGACCCCTTCAAGGAACCCTACAGATCCCTTTAACAGGCCTTAGGGTGAAGACCCATGTTGCAGCGGTGAGTTGTTTTTTGAGGTGCGACGTCGATCGCAGGAGGCGCGTGCAGCGGAAGAGGCCGGGATGATGTGCCTTGAAACCCGTATAGTATAGGGGCCTTCATAATTAGACTAGGGTTCCTTAGGGTTCCTTTAAAGGTGGTCCTTTAAGGGTTACTATAAGGGGGAGCTATAAGGGTACTGTAATATGGGGGCCTTAATAATTACCTATACTATTCGTTATTACAAATATAGTACGATGGACCCCCCAACACCCTTCTCCAAAAAAAAGAAGGCCGCTATAGTAAGCTTCCCGAAGTTTCATCCTTGTCGAATTCTGCATCCAGATCTTACCGTAGCCGTAGCTCTCCTCCGTTCCTTCAGTCGCCTTGCAATGTTGAGAGAATCTGAATCCTCCGCCCCTCCGAAGCCTCATGCACGTGTCTTCCGGCCAAAGGCCGCATGGAAGAAGAGACTCGAGGAAGCTCGCCGACAGGTCGTCCAGGTGGGCATCTGCTGTTGCTGGCGTCAAGGGATATGATAGAGTTCATGCAGGGTTTAGGTTTAAGGCTTTGTGTGCGTAGGGTGATGACGATGATGCAGATGATGATGATGATGATGATGATGATGATGATGATGATCGGTAAATGGTGCTGATGGCACGGCATGATCACCATCACGAAGCAAGTTCGCATATTGTGGTGGTTGAAAGTCCTTGTAGATTTGCACGGATTTGACGTCCAGGCGCCCTGCTCATGTCTTCGTTGGGCATGCAAGACTTGTTGTGAGAACTTGTTCAGCTCTCCTCTCTTGAGTCCTCTTCCCATCCTTCACAGGTTGGATGTAGGCACAGGTTGGATGTAGGAAAGAAGCCCTTCGATGCTTTTCGTTAGAAGGAAATTGTATATAACAGTGCTGCTCGGTGAGGACAAGATGGTCGCAAAACAGCGGATGGAGCAGGCCGGTGCGTTTTGGGGCTCTCAGTCTGCGCGTTGCTCAGCCGTTCGCATGACCTTTTGGGCCTGTGGTAGGCACAAAACCCGTATTTCTCAGCCCCTAGGGCCCTCAGCCCAAAGCCCTTGAATCCTTTAACCCTGACCCCCGTCCCAAAAACTTCCTCCAGAACCCCACGAGCCCAACTCAAACGGAAGCGAAGCCCGACCCACAAGAATACTTAAACCCTAAAACCCCCGAACCCGAAACCCCAAGACCTACACCCTAAACCTCTAAAGCCCCTAACCCTGGGCGCCCTAAACCCTACAGAAGACAAGCCCATCTCCAGGACTATCGCTCCCGCTTCGCTGGCCCAGAGCCTTCCGAGCGCAGCCCAAGCCTCGGACCAATACCCTGCTCTAATACAACCTCAAGGACGAAATGAACCTCACAAGGGTTTAAGGTTCATATACCATATAGGGATTCATAGTATAAGGGTATAGGGCCCCTAATTATAAGGGTCATTTGGTCCCCAAGGAATACAACATGGCATGGTACAACAGAATATAGTGTAGTAAAGTATCAGCATCATAAGCATTATACAATCTAACACTCGAAATCCTACACCCTTGCAGCTTGGAGATATGGCATGCTGTAGTATGCCCGCCAAACCCTTCTGAAGTTAGGTCGGCCCCAAAAATTCAGACTGACTGTCTGAAATCTCCAGGTGTCAGCAGCGATGCATCTCCCAATGCAACGCGACCTTCGGCGACTTGCCTCTCGTGGTCCAGAACTTTAAAGGGTTTAGGGTTTTCAAGCCTCAACCCAGAGAGCCCAATATCCCTTAATTAAGGAATATACCCTAAATCATATTAGGGATCCTATTATGATTTAAGGTATATCCCTTAATTAAGGGATATTTGGTTCTCTGGGAAGAAGTACCAGTAGCACTCCGTTGGTTTCCTTATTGCAACTGCTGTTGTAGAATATACCCCAACCCCAGGTTAATATGGCATTTGGGTGTTGAGGGGGTTAGTCTTTTTTGGGATGGTTTCGGTGGCGTCTTCTTCAAGGGTGTAGGGCCTGGGCTTTTGGGTTTTTTGGGTTTGAGGGTGTGGAATTTTAAGGGTTGTTGAGGGTTGTTGGGCTTTCGGCGGGTTTGGCGGGTTTAGGCATGTAGGTTGCTTGAGGGTTTAGGGTTACAGGTTTTAAACCAAATCCTTCACCGCCAAATCCGACAATCCTAATCCCCACGCCTCGACACCATGATACACATATACCCAAAACCTGTTCGGCTTTTTTCTAGATATTCTGACAGAGCCCTTACTATGGTACTTATCGATCCCCTACTCTACCTGCTAAGGCCCCTAAACCTTGAACCCTAAACCGTGAACCCTGTGGCACAGTATAGAACTCCTCTACTTAGAGGATCATGGGACTTAGTAAGTAGGTCATAGCTGGGGTTATAAGTCCCCTAAGTGGGGTTATCCTAATTATAACCTTACTTACTAAGTCCCATGAGCCTTTAAGTACTCCCTAAACCCTATAGACACCTTTAAAGGAACCCTATAGATCCCTTTAAGGCACCTGATACTAAGTCCCATGATCCTCTAAGTACCCAGGAGCGCCGCTCCGAGTCGGAAAGGAGCCGGAATCCCAGGGCAGTGGGTCTGAACCGGGTGTTTAAGTGGGAGTTAGGATTAGGGTTTTAGGGCTCAGGGCTCAGAGTTTCAGAGTCACTCTGGCGCAAGGCTACTAGTGCCAGGGCCGTTGCCCCGTAGGAGCGGGGTGCCGATTGCGCCGTGTTCTCACTTTACAGCCATGAGTTCGGAATGGTGGCCTGAAATCAGAGACCTCTTCGGCTTTGCTAGCCAATCCTGGCCAGAACTTCACGGCTCTTTCGCATGCTTTGAGCTTCGTATTGATGGGCCGGAGATTGATACTGGTGATTCGGTGTTGGTCAGGGTTCAGGTTCTCCAGGAGCTTGAGGGTGAGATTCTTCGGGAGGAGGTTCGAGCAACTGGATCCAGGCAACCCGGGCGAAAGGCCGTCTTGAGATTGCCGTACGTGGCGTGGAACCAGGTGGGTAGTCGATGTAGTACACTGCGAGCTTTGTGGACACATGTGACTATTCAGCAAGACATCATCATTCTGGATGCTACAGTGGGGCAAGCATTTGTTGCTGGGGATGTCACGTTACGTTCCTTTGAGGATGTTCAGGTTGCCGAGCTTTTCTGCGGAGGTTTCGCGGGGTGGAGCCAAGCGGCGTGGAGCCTATCGTCACAGGGTGCCCAGATCCGTACTTCCTGGCTTCTTGACTTGGACGGTGAAACTGAAGAGCCCATGCGTGCCATGATGCCTGAGTTGCAAGTAGCAAACACGAGTGGTGATCTTATGGATGCTGATCCGGATGAGGGTCCCATTTTGTTGCTGGCCAATGTGGAGCACAGCTGGTGGCATAAGATTTGGCACACCAAACCGCCACACATCCTTGCTTGTTCACCTCCATGCCAACCTTGGTCGGAGGCCGGACATGGGTCGGGACTAGAAAGTGCTGACGGCCGCCTTTTGCTACAGCTAGCATCCATCATGCGGGTGGTGCGGGTTAAGGTTGTGTGTCTTGAAGAGGTTGTAGGGTTTTCCAGACATGCTGACTACCCGGCCGTTATGCAGGCTTGGCATGAGGCCGGATATCGACGGTTGTTTGAGTCGACACTTCAACTGTCAGAGGTCCTGCCGACACGCCGCCCACGGAGCATGTTTGTGTTTGTTCATGAATCAGTGAGCATGGAAGAGACGCTTAAATTCCGGAATTGCATGTGGCAGCCGGTCCGCCGACCCAGCCTGGGCGGCATGCGAGCCATCTTCGAGCATCTCCCGGAGCCTTTGCTTCGACCCTGCCTGCTCACCCCTGAGCTTCTTCAGGTTTACTTAGACCCATGGTTTCTCCCACTAGGTCAGGGTACATCTGCACTTGACGCACGCCGGTACCGGCTTTGTTCTCCAGCCCAGCAGGCCAGGTGTTTCATGGCGTGCTATCACCGCCAACATGAGCTGCCAGCAGGTATGCTGACTCGAGGAGGGATCCTCTGCAGTCTCCTCCACGAGCGAGGTGAGTCCCGCTTCTTTGCGGCGCCTGAGATAGCCTGTTGTCACGGAGCCCAGCGGGTTGTTCTGATTAGTCACGACGATCAAGTTGCGATGCGACTGCTTGGCAATAGCTTGGCTGTGCCGCAGGCAATGCTTTACTTTGGCCCATGCACTGCTCCTGTTCCCTCAGGGTCACAAGGTAGATCCGCAATTTGCCGTCCACCATTGCCTGCAGACTCGACTCCATGCGGGGAATAGTGCCTTGTTTTGCCTACCCCAGGGGTGGGCCCTGATCGGTCACGATGCGCTGGGAGACCTGCTTGCTGATCGGGCTTTGCGGCGACTTCTTGAAAAAGGCATGGCGACAGTTTCGGTTGTGTTTCATGAGATGCAGATCCTCTGCTCAGAGGGCACCGATCGGGAACCGTTTGTCGTCAGGTCGGTACACTTCTCGGCCCATATCAAGCCTGAGGTTCTGTTGGAGTCACTCCAGGTCAAACCCGCGGGGCCTGTGCAGTACGGTGCCCCTGCTGTTGCCGGTCACATTCGACACCAGGTAGTTGCTGCAGAACTTGAACCATTGCGCTTCTCCGCCCAGCCTTGTGTGCGGGCGCAGCGTGAGGGCCCCATTCTGCTCTGCACTTCGGGAGGATTGATTGCTATCAAACCGGCAGTCCCAGATGTTTACCACCAGCTTAAGTGGGCCTTTGACAGGTGCCGCAGCAGCGAACAGCCAGCAGTTGTGTGCATGACACCCTATGGTGCCAAGGTGCAACAGGTTGAGGATTTTCCGCCTATTACCTTTGTTGCGGGTTCTGCAAACGATATTCACTTCCATGAGCCCCGGCTGGACCAGGCCCACATTGGAGCAAGTATTGTTGCTGAAGACCTGCCTCGCCTTTATGTTGGGGTTCCTGCCCAGTTTGCCTTCCAGTGGTGGCTGCAGCTTCCATACCATCTGTTGGAGTGCCTCGGGTGGGCTGCTGACTGTGATGACCCGCCACAACAGGTTGATAGCACAATGTTGATCACGTTACAGCCGGCCTCCCCCCAACCAGCATTGTCTACAGCTGCACTCAAGCTGTATCTTCGTGACCTGGCTTTTCAGTCCCAGCTCCTTGCGATGGCCCAAAATCCGAGGGAACTGTTGGTCGGCCCGCTCCAGGTGCAGATTGAAGCCAGGTCGCTTTGTCGCGTCCTGCTGCCCGAAGCTTTGACGCCCAATGATGTTGAGGCTGCTTGGCGCACTGCCTGCCATGCCCTTGGTACTTGGCCCGGCTGTAGGATCTTCTCAGGCCCCCGCAGGCTTCAAGCGGAGGCGTCACTAGGCGAGCTGCTGTCTGCTGAAGGCTTCCATGTCAAGTGCCAAAGCCAGCTGCCACTCCTCACTATCATGCCGGAAGTGAGGGGAGGGGGAGTCAAGGATGAAAACACTGCCTTTGCCAAAAGCAAGATGGCTACTTTGATGCTGGAAAGAGGGGTGTCCCTAGAAGCCACACAGGCCACGGTCGATGCAGTCCTGCCTAAGATTGGTACAGCGGCATGTTTGCATGCACTCCGTCAATCAGACACACAGGCTCAGTGGTCGCAGCTCTCCAAGGCCGCCCAGTCCAAGGGGCAGCAGCTCCCAAGCGGTGACAATCGAAATGAAAAAGCCGCTCAGCGAATACAGCAAGCAGTGCGTCGCCAGCGCCTTCATCAGCAGCGCCCGGTGCGAGCATGTGACTTTCAGTTGCAACCCGACACGTGGTGTGGGATGGACGGCCAAGTTGTCCCAGTCCTGGATGAAATCAGTGCCGATGCTACAGGTGTGGTGCTGATGGATGCGTCCCAGGCCAATGCACAAGATATCGCTCTCCTGAGGAATATGGGATCTGAAGCCCTGTGTTTGGTGGTGCCGGGTCACCGCTGCCCGGATTGTGAATCCTGCTCCGGGCGCACCAGCGTCCCAGTGCTGCATCGGCAAACTGGCCATCAGCACCTCATTGCTGCCTGTTACCACAATGTTGGGGATACTGACATCACCCCCCACCTGCAGCATGGTACCCGGGTTGATGTGGAGGACACCATTTGCTGCTCCTTCACCATGTGTCAGGAGGACTTTGCCAATGAACAACAGTGGCGGGACCTTGCTGCTGCCCCAGTGCGATCCGTCATTGAAGCTTTCCGTGCACGAGGGGTACAGGACGCACTTCACCATCCTTGGGCCCGTGCGTACCGAGCTGGTGGCAAGACCAGCATGCCTCACTTGTGTGATCAGTTTGTCTTTTATGCCAAGGTGCCGCAGGGACAACTTAAGGCAATGCTTCAGCAAAGCGGGTTCAACAAGGTGTATGTTGTGCCTCGCACGTGGGACCGCCAGCTTCTCTCAGGATGGTCAGTTGTGTGGCTGCCGGTCTCCCGGCATGATGTTGAGAAACAAGCATTGCTGGTTCCTGAACAACATGGACTGGTCAGAGGCAAGAATAAGTTCGGCCTCCGAGTTCCGTCCTCAGCCTTCCGTAAGGTCTTTGTACAACTCCGACCGGGAGCGGATGTGCCGGATAGCCTGGAGGTTACTGAAACTTGGAAGGTTGGCCCCTTCCCTGCTGCAGCATCTGCTGAAGCCGTCCGGGAGTGGTCTCGCCGCATGAACTGGCCCACCAGGGTCATAAAAAGTCTGGGTCCGCAGTTCTGGTTGTTGGGTGCTTCCTCGGCCCCCCCTGATGCCACCATGTTGTTCAATACTACACCTGTGCTTGCCTCTGCTGTGAAAGGCCGCGATGTCAGGCCTCCCATTGTGCAAGCTGGTGGCCCTCTGCCGCGGTCCGACCCAGGCGCTGCTGTCACCAAAGCTGAGACCGACCCTTGGCTTGAGAGCGACCCGTGGAGCTCTTATCGTGCCTCGCAAGCTGCGCCTCAGTCTCGCTCCCCGCCTGGCTTGACCGCACCGGCGCCTCTTGATAGTGCCACTGCCGGCCGTTTGGTGCAACAGGACAGTCGAATTTCAGAACTTGAAAAAGGGCTGCAACAGTTGCGTGATGAACAGGCCGCTGCCAATCTTGAGCGTGCTAAGGATAAGGCCTCCTTGACCCAAGACATACAAGCTGTTCGAACTGAGGTCCAGGGCCTCGGTAGTGGACTCCGACAGGATTTCCAGGCTTGGACGACGAGCCTCAGCAATGCCCAAGCCCAACAAGACCAACAGCTTGCCAATGGTATGGCTGAGTTGAAAGCCCTGATCTTGGCTTCGCATGAGAACAAGAAGGCACGAGTCGACCATGACTTGTGACAGCGAACATGGCCTAGTGCCAGATGTGACTGGGGTATTGCCACATCCAGTGTGGCAGGGGTTTGCACACAACTTAGGGTTGTGACTCGCTTTTGCCCTGCGGGGCTCCGTTGTCGGCACATAGGCCCGGCCCGTTACCACTCAAGCGTACGTCTTGACTCAGTTCCCATTCTTTTGCTGACAGGCCAGCAGGCCTGGTGTTCCCAAGTGTGTATGAGAGCGGGGGAACGCCCTCTGAACAATCCTCACTGCTACCTGACTTTCTTTCTTTCCCCAGGTGTGATACCACTTGAAATGTTTCCCCGGGCTTTGCGTGGTGCACCTTTGCCGGTGCGATGGCGGCCTGGTCTGTATAGTGGCATTCGTGTGGGCGAGGCAATTAACCCTGGCCCTCATAGTCAGCCGTCTTTACATCACTTTTTCGGTCCCGCTCCGGAGCCGTCGGCCCCTGCTGACGATAAGTCTGACCTTTGTACTTTTGCGGTTGTGAATCCGACCAGTGTTCTCAACAAGGTGCAGGCCCTACTTGCAGTCCAGGCGGATGTGATCTCACTCTCTGAAACCTCTGCTGTGGCCCGTGCCCAGAAAGTTACTGCCGCTGCACTCCGCAAACATGGTTTCAAGGCCCATTGGGGTGACCCTGTGCAGCCCCATTGCCGTGCCGAGTCTGACCGGCCCTCGATGCGGGGCCTTGCTGCAGGGGTGGGGCTCTTGTCCCGCCTCCCTTCCCGCAGGTCTAGTGTGCCGCTACCGCCTGAGGCATCTGCTACGTGTCGATTGGCTGAAGCTTTCGTCCGGCTTGGTGCGCTGGAGATACGTGTCCTCACCATCTACGGTGTTCCAATGTCTGAGCCTGACGCCAAAGACCGCACCAATGAGCTTCTTCGACAAGCCTTTCTTCGGGCGTCCCAGAATCCGATTCCTTGCATTGTGGCGGGCGACTTCAACATGCGGCCCTTTGACTGCCCAGCTGGACAGGCTTTTCAGGCGCAAGGGTACCAGGATGTCTTTGATTTGTACCGTCATCGTGCTGGTCAGGACCTCCCGCCAACCTGTAAAGGGAGTACACGTCACGACACCGCGATACTGCATCCTGTGCTGGCCCGCCTTTGGAGAGAAGCTTGGGTCCTCCAGCGCCAGCTGTTTGACTCACACGAACCGTTGTGTTTCAGCCTGTGCAGTTGCCACGCCCGCCCTTGTACCAGGGTCTGGCGCCTCCCTAAGCCCTGGTCCCAGCTAGGAGTTGACCGACTCACATTTGCGGAAGCTTTTCGGAGTCGCGCCCCACAATTGCAACGACAAGCTGCCCTTTGCCAGAACACGGATGACGTTGATGCTGTGTTACGGGCTTTCTCAGAGGCGGCCGAGGCTGCTGCTGAAGCTGCGTTGAGAAAACAGCACGAGCTGGACCCCGTCTCCTGCCCCAACTTCTGCTTGCCCCGCGCTTTTCGTGGGCGGTGCCAGCCACGACGGCACTTGAAACAGGAGAGTGCCTGCAGGAGCCGTCCAGATTGGTCGGGAGGCTACAACCCGGATGTTGAGGTCACATCGGTGCTCGGACGCCTCAAGGTCCGACAGGTCCGTCGCCTCACTACTCTCCGCAGCGGCCTTGCCAAGTTGCAGTTGATGGGCGCCACCACCAGACATGACCTTCGCTCCCAACTCCAGAGGGAGTGGCGAGCTGTGCAACATGCAAAGGGCTATCCGCCCCTCTTCTCCGACTGGTTGCTCAATGTGGCTTGCTTTAGCGAATTTTATGTTGAGCTGCCGCCACTTGAATGGCTGACTGATGTCGTGGCCTATTGCCGCTATGATTGTGACGCCTTGGTCCGTCAAGAGGCCCGACTCCGACGGGATACTTTCCTCCTCCGGGTCAATGTCGATGCGGAGGTAGGGGGCTCCCGCCAGGGCTTTGCTGCCATGCGGGCCCCGCCCAACCCGCCGTTCACTGAAGTGCCCTGCACTGTGGCTGCTCGCGTTCAGGCTGTACACACGACGTCCCCATTGCATGGATGTCCCCGTGAGTTTGTGGTGCCTGAGCATGCCTTGTATGTCCACGGCAGTGCAGAGCTTGATGGGGTGCCCTGCCAGGTGTTAGAGGCTGGTGATAGGTACGTTCGGTTGCAAGGGACGGCGCTTCCTGATCAGGGTCAGCTTTCGCAATCTTACACTGCGTGTACGGCCCCAGAGCTGCACGCAGCCTTCCGGAGCTTTTGGGCACCCCTGTGGCAGCGGGACTCTGGTGCCGCCAGCAGTGACCTTTCTTCCTGGCCTGATTTCCAGGCAGTGCTCGCGCGCTCCACTTTGTCCCCTGATGCTGGCATCGACATACAGTGCTCACCGCAACAATGGCGAGATGCAATTAAACGCATGCCGGCCCGCAAGTCAACCGGGATATGTGGCTGGGCCCCTTCGGACCTCAAGTTGTTGTCTGATGAGGCCCTCTCTGTGCTAAGCGCAGTTTTCACGGCTGCAGTCCGCCATGGCCTGCCGCAGCATATCCTCCGTGCCCGCGTGTGTGTTCTGGCCAAAGTTCTGTGCCCGGACCACATTAAACAAAGCAGGCCGATCACTATCTTCAGCACACTCTATAGGGTCTGGGCGTCGATTGTGACACGCTCTTTGCTTCACAGCTGGAAGGACACTTTCCCGTCCGCCGTTGCTGGATCGATGCCGGGAAAGTCGTGCCGAGAGGTGAGCCTCAAACAGCAGCACTTGATTGAGCTTTCGCTTATGGGTGCGGCCCCGCGTGTCGGCTTCTCTTTGGACATTGTGAAGTGCTTTAACCAGCTAGGTTGGCCCCCGGTTCAGGTTTTAATGACCCGCCTCGGTGCACCCCAACAAGTGATTTCCTTTTGGCTGGACTGCCTGTGCAAACTTGAACGACATTCGAGCTTTCTTGGAGACCTTTCTGCAGGAATTCCTTGCAGCAACGGGGCCCCAGAAGGTGACCCGCTCAGTGTTGCAGCCCTTGCGGTTGTGTGCTGTTTCGCTGAGGAGGCTTGCCGTACCGACATGGTAGCCTTTGACACCTATGTCGATAACTGGGGCTGGTCAAGCAACAGCAGAGCTGCGATAGAGCTTGCAATTCCGAAGGCCACAGGCTTTCTATCTGCACTCTCTCTCCCTGTTGACTGGGCCAAGTCCTACACGTGGGCCACCTCTGCCCAAGGCCGTAAATGGTGGCAAACGGCTCATAACAGGGTCTTCCCAGAGGGCACGAAAGTGCCACTTGTTAGCGAGGTCCGGGACCTTGGTGTGTCGTTCAAGTACGATGGCCGGCCACACGCCGCCTCCCGCTCAAGTCGGCTACAGGACGGACTGGAGCGACTCGATGGTCTCCGGCAGCAGCCTCGCAGCCCCTGCCTCAAGGCATCAATGGTTCAGCGAGGCGTCTGGACGGCGTGCCTGTACGGTGCTGAGGGCCACCTGTTTTCCCAGGCTGAGATTAGTCAACTCCGGGGGCGAGCCGCTCGAGCTATCGTCGGCCAGCACAAGGTCCTGTCTCCGTTTCTCGCGTTGTCTGCTCTGTCTGCTCACTGTCAGGATCCTGAGTTGTACTGCATAGAACAACAGTTGCAGCTGCTCCGCCGAACATGTTCTTGCGACCCAGACCTGGCTGCCTCGCTGCTGGAACTTGCTACGCAAGCACAGCCGCCCCGCTCTTACCAAGGGCCTGCGACAGCACTGCGGTTGGCGTTGGACCGCCTGGGCCTACAGATAACCTCTGCCGGGGTGATCAAGGGTCGTGATAATACATGGGTTGATGTCACGAGCTGCCATAAGACTGAGATTCGACGACTGTTGCGACGTACATGGGCTCTTCATGTGCAAGAGCAGGTTGCCCACCGCAATGGGTTGGCCGCTGCCCCCCCGGTCCACACTGAAGAAACTGGACGCTTGCTACAACAGTTTAAGATCAACGACCAGCTGGTGTTGGCTCGACATATCACAGGGGCTTTCTCCTCTGCTGCAGCCCGCCACAAATGGGACCCCTCTGAGACTCCGCAGTGTGCCCTGTGTGGCCAATTGCAAACCAAAGAGCACAAGTTCCTGCACTGCCCGGCCTTGGCTGGTGTGCGGGCTGACTTTACGGAAGTGCTGCAAGAAGTTGTTGCCACGAAAGCCTATTGGATACATGCGCCGTTTGCGGCTGCTCCCCCAGACCTGGAAGTGAACAACTTGATTTTTGCCACACGAGCGCTTCCGTGTCCAACGACTGAGATAGGTACCTACGAGGAAATTGGATCACGGCCTTTTGTTCGGCTCTTCACGGATGGCTCTTGCCGTCACCCGACTGTTCCGGAGGCCTCTCTTGCTGCGTTTGCTGTTGTGTTGGACACAAGCACATGCGATGAGGCTATACCAGGTTTGCTGGCAAAGTGGCGCGAGACAGCTATGCCACCTACTGAGTTTCGAGTTGTGTGTCAAGGAAGCGTGCCTGGTCTGCAGAGCATCAACCGTGCTGAAGTGTGTGCGCTTATCCAGGCCATTAGGGTCGCACAACTGTTGTCGGCCCCCTCCGCTGAAATCTGGACGGATAGTGCATTTGCCATTAGGGAATGGGAGAGGGCATGCGCAGGACAGGACTGTACCTGGCCTGATCTGGGTGCGATGTTGGCCCGGCTTAGGCATTTCCCGGTGCGCCTCCGGAAAGTTGCGTCCCACCAGGACCTCAACAAGCTATGGGGCTTGGAGCAGTGGGTTGCAGCGGGAAATGAGGCCGCTGATGTGGCAGCGAAAGCCGCCGTCGGTCGGGAGATGCAGTGCGTTCGAGACATAGCAGATGCCGCCAACGACTTCTTGAAGGACCAGCGTCGACTCCTCAAACAGTTCTGGACTTACCTGGCACGACTCTCATTTGAGGAGGCCCGTCTCTTGCGGTCGTCTGGTACCGGGACGGAACAGACTGAAGATGAGCTGTTCCCTCGCGGCCCGCCGATCGACAAGTGGCTGGCTCTGAATACAGGGCTGCACCAAACGTGGAATGTCGGTATCGTCCAACGGGAGTGGCTACTGGCCTGCAGCTGGCCCCCGTGGTTTACAGTGCCACTATGGGAATGGCTGCGCACGCTTGAGTGGGCGGTCCACATGCCCACGGGACGGGCTCCTTGCGGAGTTGCCTACGTTGAGCTGCTGGTTGCTTTTGTGTGTACAACAGGAATTTGTCCGCCTGCCGGACTGGATGTCGAAAAGTCGCATGAAGCAGTGCTCACTGACAACTTACAGATACCGACGACATTGCGTCAGCTGAACCACAGTCTTGTCGAGGCTGTGCGACAGTTGGAGCGATTGTCACATGTGGCCTTGTGGCCCCCACGGAGGGGTAAAGTTTTCTCTTTACGGGCTTTGAACTGCCGTGAACCACGCATTGGTCTTACGCTACGGCCCTTCTTTCGGGATCCCGACCAGGTTGCGGAGATACTGTGCCAGGTCATTCAGACGTCGAGTGTTGCCCCGTTACGGAAAGTTGCCTTGAGCTGCGGGAATAGACCGTTCGCTCCGGATGAAGCTCTACAGCGAGCTTGGAATTGTGTTAATGCTAGTCAACGCGCCAACATGGCGCGGAGTCTGCGAAGGTGCAGATGAGGTGAGCCGCTTGGATGCACATGGAGGCGTGGAGTCGCAACTGCAGGCCCACGTCCTCCCTTCCGCCCGGTGAAAGGCTCAGAGTTTCAGGGGAGTTTAAGGTTTCGGATTTCAGAGCTGTAGGTTTAGAGAATCGGGTGTTTAAGAACCGGGGGCCTTTATCTAGGTAGGGCTTTGGGACATTTTATATTTTCCCTTATTGGGCTGAAGAGGATCTTATTTACTAATATTTTTCAAAGGCTTTAAAAGCACCTCCTAGTGATAATGAATCGGGTGTTTAAGTGGGAGTTAGGATTAGGGGGACCCTTGGGGATATAGACCCTCTGAATAAGGTCCCCTTTAAGAGAGCCAGAAGTAGGGTTCAGAAGGGGTGCCCTTAAAAGGGTCTCCCTAATGCTACTACCCATTAAGAACCGGGCCTTTATAATAAGAATAAAGTTCCTGTAAACGGATCCCTTGAATTGAAGGGGCTACTAAAAAGGCTACCTAGGATGCCCAGTAGTACCCTTATTCCCTTTTTGTGGTCCTAGGTTCCTTATAAAGTTACCCAATACCAAAAAGAGAGGCTTTCTTATTCTTATAATTAGACTAAAGTTCCTGTAAACGGATCCCTTGAAGGGGCTACTATAAGGGCTCAATAATACACTTAGGGGATCATGGGTCTTGGTAAGGGCTTCTTAAAAGTCTGCTTAAGCGGATCGGTAGGGGTTCCTTAAAGGGATCTATTCTGGTTTAGGGTTTATGGTCAACTTAGAGGATCATAGGTCTTAATAATTGGTAATTGCGGTTTTCAATAGGGGAACCATAGTTATATTTACTTATAACTCCCATTAAGGTACAACCTTAGCCTACTTACTAAGTCCCATGATCCTCAAAGCAGTCGTTATGGCTACTTGTCGTAACTATACAGGCTTTGGCCCTCTGAAAGGCTCTTCACAGTAAATTCTGCTTTCTACTCTGTTCGTGACAGTTAATATGATTGAAGACCGCTCCTACCTTTAGGAAGGATGGGAAGATCCCGGATGGATCCATGTTCCACATCCCTCACTCGATTCTCGAGTGGCTTTCGTGGGTTTCTATGCATCACTTGAAAGCCCTATAACACTAAACCACCTGTTATTGGTTGGAACCCAAAACAATGCCGAAAGACAAGGCGGCAGCAGCGACCTTTCTCCAGGCGCACCGCAGACGACCGCAGCTCAGGAGATGTGCGTAGACGACAGGATGCACATATTTCAGAGTTTGCAGCATGTATGCATATATGTTATGTATACATACATACATACATACATACATACATACATACATATATATATATATATAGTTTATATATATAGTTTATATATATATATATATGTTCACAAGTATGTTGAGAAATATGTATATGTATATGTATATTTAGATGTACACATAGTTTCATATATATATATATATAGATATATATATATATATATACATACATACATACATACATACATGTATTAAAACTGTTCTTTGTTTAATTTATCACAAGTTCCTACACGTACATACGTGCATACCTACCAACCTAGCTACCTACTTACATACGCACATACATACACAGATACAGTTTTATCGGTTTGTGCGAGAAAAAGAGGGGGAGAGAGAGAGAGAGATACAGACAGAGTGAAATAGAGAGAACGCGGAGGTCGCTGCTCCGTCCTTATCCCTTGGGAAGCAAAGCGAAATAGGGAGAGAGGTTGCCCGGCGTTCGTGATTTCTGCTTCTGGCTTGGCCTCTCCTCGGAACTTGAGGCCTGAAACCTAAGGCTGAGGATAATCCGCAACCCTCATACCCTGAGCCTTTGAAAACTAAAACCTGAAGCCCCGCAAGAAACTCTATAAGATCTGAAGGACTCTTAATCATAAACCCAAGAAGGACCCCAACAGACTCCGTAACCGACAAAGACTCCTATGAGATCCTTCCATGTTTCGCACCCTAAGAACCTTGGCAGAAAGGCTATATAAGGGCCCATCAGGCCCCTAGTCCTCGAGCCTTATAGACGGATCTGTCAAAGTATACCGAAGGAACCCTGAAGGGACCCCGCCCTTAAAGGAACCCCAAAGGGACACCTTAAAGGAACCAAGTGAAGGATCCCTTAAAGGAGCCCTACAGGGATTCTTGAAGGAGCCCTTAAAGGATCCCTTAAGGGAACCTTCACGGACCCCGTAAAGGATCCCTTAAAGGAGCAGCCCTTAAAGGAACCCTTCAAGGAACCCCTAAGATCCCCCCATCCTCGCTCCTGTGCCCAGGCCGGAGGTCGCCTCGCTCGCCGAGCCCGAGCCGGAAAGGGAAGAAGCCTTGGAGCGAACTGAAACGGGGGCCGTCGGGATTTGAAGGTTTAGGGTTTGGGGGATTAGGGTTTAGGGTTTAGGGTTGAGTTTAGGGGGTTCAGGGTTCAGGGGTTCTGAAGCGGATCCTAGTTGGGGTTATAATACTTCTAAGTCCTTACCAGCTGAAGTGACTTGGGAGGGAGTTTCGGGTTTTGAAGGTTTAGGGTTTGGGGGTTGGGTTGAGGGGTTTAGGGTTGAGTTTAGGGGGTTTAGGGTTGAGGGATCAGGGTTTGGGGTCTGGGGGGTTTAGGGTTTGGGGGATTAGGGTTTAGGGTTTAGGGTTGAGTTTAGGGGGTTCAGGGTTCAGGGGTTCTGAAGCGGATCCTAGTTGGGGTTATAATACTTCTAAGTCCTTACCAGCTGAAGTGACTTGGGAGGGAGTTTCGGGTTTTGAAGGTTTAGGGTTTGGGGGTTGGGTTGAGGGGTTTAGGGTTGAGTTTAGGGGGTTTAGGGTTGAGGGATCAGGGTTTGGGGTCTGGGGGGGATCCGGACTTCGGAGTGGAGTAACCTTGTTCGGGCAGTTTTATGGTTAACCTTGAGTTCAGGGTTTTTCCAGCTCCCAGAGATCCCACTACCCCTTAATTAAGGGATATAGCTTAAATCATAATATGAAGCCCTTAGAATTTAAGGTACATTGCTTCATTAAGGAGTATTGGGCTGTCTGGGTTGTACTGGTACATGTTGAATAAACCTCTGACCCCCAGCGGCAGGAGCTGCGGACAATGCTGGAAGCAGCCTTGCAGGCTTCGTTCTGTGAGTTGTGCTTCAGGGAGTTCTGAACTGTTCTGTGTGAAGTTGAAGCACGCGCATAACTCAGACAATGTCCGAATAGCCAGAAGATCGGAGGAATCTAGAAGGTCAGCAATTTAGGTTTGCTAACGTGACGGGCTTAAGGGCTCTAGGACTGTAGGAGGAGTCGGTTGTTTTTGTAAACTCTCATGGAACTGTTAAGCTAGGTAGGGTTTTGGGACATTTTGTATATTCCCGTATTGGGTCTAAGAGCATCTTATGTTTTAAAATTTTTCAACAGCTCTAAAAGCCCCACTTAGTAAGACAGACTAAACCCGCTAGCAGTGAAACCCTCCACCCGCCTGCCAGTTGGAGCTTTATGCGCGTGAGATCGCTAGCCAAACAGGGGGCTTCCGAAAATAGGGGACCCAAATGTAGTACCCCAAAGAATAGGATCGTTATTATCAGGACCCCAAAATAAGGTACCCCTATTTTCGGAAACTCCCAACAAGCGACGCGCCTTGTGCCACATGAATTCTGCCCGTGCTCTCGCAGCTTGTTTTGAAATTTTGGTCCCTTCAGCCCACCCCGTCCTCGTAGCCATGGCAATGATGTCGATGCCGATCCGCCGCCGCGTTCCTCGGTTGTTGACTGATTGGGGGTGCGAGTTTCCAGCTGCAGAAAGAGCTTGGGGCTGGGACAATCGTAAGTACACCCTCCCGGTCACTTTGGCATCTCAGGTGAGGGCCGCCCTGCTGCTGGCACTCGGCGTATGCAACCCGACTGCCTTTTTGTTGGCGAGTTCTCGGAGGATTAGCTAGGCATTACTATTTCTAGAAAATACATTACTTACTATATTCCTGTTAGTTTCTATCACTTTTAATTTCGATTGCCATTGAACTCCGATTACTATCAATATTCGCATTACCCACTAAATATTGCACTTCGACTTGCTACTATAGTAAACTGCTCATCGCTATTGCTCTTACTGTCGGTGCTTCCGAGGCGCGCTTTGGAGCTTCCAGGCGCACCAGGCCTTCGGCAGCGCGACGGTGGTGGAAGTGAAGGAGCCATCATGCAAAGTCGTAGTAGACCTTTCTATATTATATAAAGATACACATATATACACATGTATATGAGTGGTTGTCAATATTAGGGTCGCTTTTGGGGTCCTTATTATTATACGGCACCCAATATTTATGGGACCCAAAAAGGGGCCCTAATTTTGACAACCACCCATATATTGGATATTAAAATATAACATAATGTAATAGCATAGAATGTAATAATATATATAATAACAATAATATAATAATAATAATAATAATAATAAAAATAGTAATTGCAAATTTTTATATATATATATATATGTATATGTATATGTATATATGTATGTATGTATATATATATAATGGATATGTATATATATATATATATATATGAATATACTTATACTGTAAGATACTACGCTATAATTACTGTCAAGGAGCGGCGGAGCTTTGATCCGGACTTCAAGGATGTACTTTCGGGAGCCTTCAGAGTTTGACGGGTCCCTTTGAAGGGTTGCTATAAGAGTTCCATGATCTAGGAGCCTTCATAATTAGAATAGGCTTTGGGGAGTATATATTAGAATAGGAGCCTTCGTACTTAGTATACTCGAAATTCTATAATAAGGAACTGCACATGTTGTTTTGGTAAGTAGTCAGGCCCCCTTATGCGCTCTCCACACCGTGGCCAGGAGTGCTGAGGTCTTGATCCGGTGACCCCAAGTACGATAAACCTTGGATACTGCCCCCACTCAGTAACAGTTGGGTAATATTGATAATTTAGATATATTAGGACCTGAATAGTAGCCCTATTATAGACTGCTACTGTAGGCGGGGCAGTATCCAAGATAAACCCGTCAACCGATCAAACCTAGAAAGCAGTTTAAACCTTGACGCCCCCGAGCCTGTAACATGGGCGTCGGAATAAATAGCGTCATCCCTTCGGGTTCCTTCTTATACAGAGCTATAGCATTTTGTTATGCGTATACACGCATATATATATATATATATATATATATATATATACAAGTGTGTATATATATATATATATACACAGTGTGTATATCTCCCCAAACTCAGTTCAACGTATTATGACTGCCTTTCTATATGGCCCCCACTGTCTCCATTTATCTGGCTTTCCGATGCTACTTCCACACGCGTTGTAGCTTCTCTGAGCATAGTTGCTCAGTGTATCATTTGCCGCACATTTCGTTCCGGAATCAGAGCTAAATTGCGATGTTAGTAGTACTATTCCTCAATGTCTCTGCTTTCAAGCGTAGCATAATCTACCCCCAAACACGATCAAATTGTAGTTCTAGCATGGTATACCCCCGAAGCCTATTCATTTTATGAAGGCCCCTAAATCACTCTTTTTATGAAGGTCCCTAAGTCAGTCTCCATCTTTGTCTCCCAAATAAGAGCTAAGCTGCAGGAAGAGCCCTCGACCATGGCCCGGACCTCAAGGATGTGCACTTGACATGGCAAAAACCCATTATAGAGACCTTAATGAGTAGAATAGGGCTTTAATTGAAAAGGGTTCCTTTAAGGGGATCTGTAATGGATCAATAGTAGAGTTCTAAAAGAGGCACGAACCTAACTAAGCCTTGCATAGCGCTGTTAGGAATAGGGTATAGGGTTCCTTTAAAGGGGTGGCTATAGGAAATACTATAAGGGTTCTATAATGACATAGCACTCTTAGGACTTCTGTCTTATTGTTATCATAATGAAACACAACTTTGTTTTTGGTTCTAAGGGCGCTTCAGTAGGGGCCGGAATGCTTACGAACATTCCCAGCCTAGAGTCTGCGTAGTGTATGAACATGCCGTTATACCCAACCCCTATATTCCTATTCCATGCATACATGAAATGTGTTACATGTTTGCATGCATACCTTCAGGTATGAATGTAGACGAATGACGATAACGATCGTATTCATGATTAGAAGACTGACAGCCACCACGGCGACCGATATCAGTGTTTGTACAAGTTGTGTTTAAAGATATTGCACTCATGCATGTATGCCTTTGCTTATTGTATCATCATACAAACAAATGTTGCTTTGGGTGCGCATGCGCGGCACGGTGCGAACCTTGGTGGCCCCCACCTCTTCGCAGCCTCTGCAACAGCCACAGACCGGAAAGACAGAGCCATAAACCCCACGCGATACTTTGTCATAGTTGGGTAATATTTTTCATTTTTATGGGTACTTAAACCCAATAAGGAATAAAACTGCAAATTTTTAATCCTATTCCAACCATGAACTAGGACCAAGGATAGAGCTACACCATAAGCTCTAAAGCCTAAATCCTACCTTGACACAGAAAGCACGGGAAGAGACGGTGTCTGGTTAGGTGAGGTAGGTTGTTGGCGATAGTATCACCATTCGCCAATATCCTCCTAAATACACTCACCAAGACTCTAACATAAGCCTTGAACGTATGCAAAACCCGACGTAACCCTTATGAGAGCCTTTAATCCTGACATAAAGTCCTATTTCAGGTGAAGTTTGTCGGCGGCCATCCCCTTCTCGTGTGCTTCGTGGTGATGGCGCGACAGCTCAGCTGGGACAGTGTTGCATCGTGAGCGCCTTCTAACCATCGGGCCCAAATGGGAGTTTCTGAAATTAGGGGTAGCTCATGGGGTCCTTATAATACGGATCCTGATATTTAGGGTACCATCTCACGGTCCCTTATTTACGGAAACTCCCAAATGGGTGTAGGTGATCCTCAGGTTTACATGGACTGCCGCAGGCTCAGCACCACATCGAACTTAGAGCATTGCGAGGTTCACGCGTTGCCACTTCCCTTTGGGTTTGGACTGGGCCGATGTTTTGACTTTGCTCCTCTTCATAGGCCATGTCATGATTGGGGTGGCCCGAGCACTTATCCGATACCCGAACCTCAGCTAGGCTTTTTTCACGCGGAGACAGCTTCTCCCACGGAAGACCCTGAACTCTGAGAACTAAGCTGCTTATGCCCAGCTGGACAAGGGGGCCTTTCCCAAAACGCTCGATTTCTGCAGAGGCCCTCACTGGAGCCTTCGCATGCACCGAAGTCAGCCAGGCACCGGAATTCGGGCTTCGGTGTACCTTTGACTATCTGATGATCACTACTGTTGTCAGTATATACTGGTACTACTCATACATTTTGCATTTTAAGTAATTACTACAGTATTCTTGCCATTTGTTGTGTTTACTATCCTGGTACACAGTCTCTGGTACCATTAAGGGTTGTGTCGTCTCGGAGCCCATGGACCCGGTGCGGACTTCTAGAGTTTCGGATTTAGGGATTCAGGGGCGTTGGGCTAAGGGTTTAGATTCAGAACCCAGATCTTCCATCATACCCTTAAGCGAGGAATACTTAGTAGTTGGGTTGCTAAACTTTATAAGCTTTTTGCAATAATGAAAACCCTGTCTAAAACAGAAAGCTTAAACGTTTTTGGGCTTATGAACTCGGCAACTAGGAATACTCCTTACATCACAATAGAATTTTAAGACCCAAGCCCTGGAACCCTTAGCTCATAGGGATCCTTAGGGGTGTAGGGGGAGGGGGGGTAGGGGGCCTTAAGGCCCATAATAAGGACTAATAAGGCCTATTTAAGGAAATATAGTCCCCTACACCCCTCCCCCCTACACCCCTAAGGATCCCTATGATTAGCCTAAACCATCCAGATCTTCGGCAGGATGTATGGAAGTCTACTAAACGTACTTGATAGGAGCCCCTTTTCAAGGGAACCCCTGCTGTAACATACAAAAGTGCCGTTCGAGGAGCCCTTAAAGGGAACCTTGCTCAAAAAGAACCTAACAGGTACTTTTAAGAGACTTAAGAGGTCTACTCTTGGACCATGTCTTTTTGGGTGGGAACGGTTGATGACATAAATCCTGCATTACCATAATGGCCCTAGACTATGGGAATTATGGTATATTCCTTATTCTGGGTAATTCAGGATATATATCATCAACCGGAAGGGGGTACCCGGCATCCCTCGTGCTTTGACAGGCCACACCCGCTGGCCCGCCTGAGAAGCGCCCGGACTACAACACCTTCCTGCACCCTGGACTCAAAGCAATAATGTAATGTGGAACAAAATATCTTTGACAAGATCATCCAATCTAACCTAACTTGATCTAACATGATCTTTCATATCATACTCTACTGTAATAATATGTGATGCACTAATACAACATTTGAAGGCTTCAGAGCTTTCGCCCGTTTCCCGGCACTTGGTAAACGGTGACTACCGTCGCAGACTTGTTTTCAGGTTCTTGGATACTGAACTCACTGGGCCCCTACGAACAAGCAGGTTTTGGTACTTTTCGAGTTATAAGATAGCATTCGAAAGAGCCTTGAGGATGATGCAGAACATCCTGTGCTTCGCATCCGGCTACGTCAATGCGTGGCCCCAAGGAGCATTGGCTCAGGGTAGCCTTAATAGTTAGAATAGGGCTTTTAGGATGTTTGGGGGGTTTGGAGTTTAGGGGGTTCTCAGCGTCTGCCAGTGGCACAATGCTAGACTCTAGACCTGAGGCCCTGACCATCATCGACATGGGCATGACCGTGTCCCATCAGACCGGCAACACCAGCCACACAGGAGAGCTTCAGTCGACAAGTGGCATCCCAAAAGACCAAGGTGTTGTTTCTCTTCTGCTGCAGGACGCCTGATTATGAATGGCGGGGCCGCGTTCTTTCACCTCATGGCCGCCTTCGCTGCCGGCAGCTTCGTGGCAGGCGCAACCGTTCCAGCCGCCTCTTGTAGCCTGCTGCTCGATACTGTCTTGGCAGGCTACAGCAAGTCCGATGGTGAAGCAGTGCCTCGGATGCAGTCAGTTGTGCGGAAATCCGAATGTCTTCAACACGCTTGTGTAAGTAAAGACGGCACTCAGCAGCCCTGAAAGCCGCGATGCCGTCACCTCGGTCTTTGCATGCCAAGGTCTACCAGGGCCGCTACTCCCCGAACATGCTCGCGTCCACTTTCTGCGTGCCCGGGGCCGGTGTGGGCGTAGCTGTTCAGCTCGGCAGGGGCCCTCGCATCAGTTTCTCAAGTGAGCTCGGTGAGCTTAAGAGTTCTCAGCGCCGGTCGTCCCTTCAACGTGAGGTGCTTGGCGGCTGCTTGGTCCACTACTGCAAGGCAATCGCTTGAATCGCATAGAGTCGGATAGAATTGCTGCTCGAGGAATATCTCGAAGGGTGGCGAGTGGAGAGTTGGCATTCCGAGCTGGAGAGAGTTGCAGCCGAATGCAGGGAGCCGAAGGAGTGGCTTCCGCCGAAAGCAGCCTGAAGCCTCCAAGTGCGAGCTTTATAATTTAGAGCAATAACATTAGGGACCATAAGCGGTTTTGTATGGGATATCCCTCTCCTAAATTTTACTTGAGTGCCTTTTTGGGCCTTAAAAAGAGAAACCCCCTGGAACTGTAAAGTCGATAGGCAGCGGACGGCAGTGGCAACGATTCCCACTCCGAGTCGCTGCTGCTCTTCGCCTTCTCCCAGGACCGAAACCTCCAGCATAATGGGGCTTACAAGGGTTCCTTCCTTAAGGACGAAATGAACCTCAAGAGGGTTTAAGTTTAAGGTTCATATACCATATAGGGATTCATAGATAAGGGTATAGGGCCCCTACTTGTAAGGGTCATGTGGTCCCCGAGGTTTACAGTAGACCCCGTAGTGTTGGAAAGGGAATGAAGGCCAAATAGTGCTGGGATTCCCGATACATTACTCTTAAGGGGGTGGTTCTCAAGAATGATGGCCTTTGTGGGTCCCTAATATAATACGGCACCTAATAATTAGGGTACCCAAAAAGGGACCTCATTTTGACAACTACCCAAGGATTGAGGCTCATGGGTTTCCAACTGGCGGCCTTCCACTGTAAATGATTCTACGGGGGTTACTATAAAGGGTGCACATAATATAGGGGCCGTAATGATTGGAGCAGTGTCTCGGGGGTGTACTATGAGGAAACCTAGTCTAACCATTAAGGCTTCTATAGTAGTAGGGTTTAGAACGTTTCAGTTGGCTTGAGGCGCAAGGGTCAAACAGGCCATCTCCACTCCGGGTAGGGTTGGGGATGTAGGACCAGGCATGCAGGGCTGTGTGGTTCCACCTTGCATGTGCTTGCGGATGTGTTGAGATTACCACCAATGTGATTGAGGCTACACATGGGGCATCACGATATCAGTGCGTCATTCACAGAACAGCGTTCATGCATACATGCATGCATGCATACATATACAGCACAAAAGTAGAAACCTCCATTTATAGATAGATGTGCGTAGGTGTATGTATATTATATATATATATATATATATATATATACACACCTAATTGTATATACCTATAGAGAGAGAGAGAGAAGGAAATCAAGACGAAAGCTGCATGTTTGAGCCTCGATTAGTCCAAACTGAAGTACATAAAGCCGTGCACCGCCCTTGCTGTGTTCGAAAGCCGAGAACGCCTGCTAGAATGAGAATCCGACTCCTAGAATGTTCCCCGAATCCTTCAACGTACAGAAAGAAGCCTGACCTCATGAGCCCTTGACCAGGGCATTCAGAACGGCGTGACCCGAAGGTGCTTCCGCAAATGCAAGGTTTTGTGGACTGGGAGGTCTTTGCCTTCAGAGTCCTGCATTTCATGTAAATGTATTCATTACCATTCAATGCGATTGCGTTTCTAATATTAAGTACTTTTAGGTACTATTGCTTATTATTAGCCATTCGTCGTGGTTCTTTGATTCTTGATAAGGTGTGTGGGGTCCAGGGTTTTGGAAGTGTAAGGGTTGAGCACAGAGCCCTGCGCCCTTCGGCGCACGACCCTTGACGTCTGCAAAGCCTAGTACGAGGAGGATCATGGGACTTAGTAAGCAAGGTTATGAGTACCTTAATTGGAGCTTTCAGTAATTGTAGCTATAGTTACGTCATTAAAACCCCATTTAATTACTAAGTCCCATGATCCTCTAAGTAACAGATTCAAGCCAGCACTGGACTACGTAGCGGACCTCCGGAATGCGTGCATCGAGAATCCCGACTTCGGTCTTGGCATCTCGGGCAAAGATGTCCTGAGAGCCATAAATTCGCACCATCCTAGGTGCACCTCCTGCCCTATCTGCACCACGCACTTCACCGGCTACTTGGCTATGAATGCCCTTCGAACGGACAAACGAGACACGATGTCTTTCCGATTATATATGGGTGAACAACTACCATTGTTTTTCCTTAGGTTTCCTCGTGTCGTTCTATAATATCATGTACCCAAAGCCCCTTTCTAGTTGCTACGGCCCCTGTACACTGACCCGGAAGAGTGCATCGATAACAAGAGCAATAGATCAAACCCCAAACTCCCGGCTCTAAACGTTCAAAGCTGCCTCAGAAGAACCCTATAAGACCCAAACCCACCGAAACCCTAAGATCCTAAACCCTATATAAGAAACCGAGGCTACCTCACCGACTTCGGTGTTGGCCTCGGTGCCTGGGCGCGTGCGCAGGCCCCACCGAGCCGAAGTACGGCTTAGTACTTGGGGGATCCAAAAACCTACTGTTCCAAGGGTAAAAGGAGGGACCCTTACTAAGGACCCCTAGGTATATACCCTAAATATAGCTATTATATACCCGTCATATAGCCCTGTAGGGTAGGGTTCCAATAAACCCCGTAAAGTTGGAAACTGGATTAAGGCCAAATAGTGCTGGGATTCCCTGCACATTACTCTTGGGGATGGAGGCTTTGGGGTTTCCAACTTTTGGGCTTCTACTGTACTGTTTTCAGAGTTATATTTTCTAGTTAGCGGATCAAAACCTATTATTTTGTAGAGTTTGGGGATATAGGTGCAACTGGGAGGATCATGGGACTTAGTAACCAGGGTTCCTTTGACGGGATCGATAAGGGGTCTTATGAAGGAGGTGTTGGGGTCCTTTACAGGCTCATGGGTCTTTGTAACTAGGGTTGTAGAGAAGGTAACTTTAGGGATATAAACTTATACATCTAATTCAGGCTACTTCTATACTTAGAGGATCATGGGACTTAGTAAGTAAAGTTATAAGTAGGTCATAATTAGGATAACCCCAATTATAGGGGACTTATAACCCAAATTATAACCTACTTACTAAGTCCCAGGATCCTCTAAGTAGGTAGGGTTTTTGAGTATATAGCCCATTATAGGGTAGGGGTCCCCACTAAGGGTCCCTCCTCTTCCCCTTTGATAGATAGGGTTTTTTGAGTTCAGGCCTTTGGTGTGTAGGGTTCCGGGTCGTCGCCGACTCCGTCGGACACTTTCAGCCGGGACAAAGCCGCCCATGGCAGAAGGTTTCGACAAAACGCTTCTTTTATGGACGAAAGGACCCTTAAAAGGGGTTTAAAGTTCATGAACCATTTTGGGGGATTCACAGATAAGGGTATAGGGCCCCTACTGATAAGGGTCATTAGGTCCCCGAGGATCGGAAGCGCTCCGCTTTCTAAACCTCGCACGCCGAGAGGGGCTGCAAGAGACTGCGACGACAGCTACTACTACTACTACTACTACTACTACTACTACTACTACTACTACTACTACTACTACTACTACTACTAAGTAGTAGTTAGTAGTAGTTAGTAGCTGCACAGTTTCAGCAAAACGAACCTCTGAAATTCGAAAGACCCTTGCTCACCCACTCAAGTCTGCGATTCGCCGAAGCTGAAGCTGCCAGGTGAGCGGTGAGCCTTCTCCCACCCTCCTCAAGGCAGGGCAGAGCGTTGTCGGAGACTCGCGATAGAGCAGTAGCTCCTTCAATTTCTTCCTGTTTTGGGGCTGTCATCAGCTCCTGCATCGACAAACCATGCAGTGAGTGCCGCAGTGAGCGCCTCTCCGCAGGTGCTCCTCTTCGGCTCGGGCACCTTCTTCTTCGGCCTGGGCGGCGTCGCGGCCAAGGAGACCCATGGCCCCTACGGAATCCAGGCGCGCGGCAGCCCGGGAAGAGAGCCTACCTCAAAGCCTTGAACTGCGGTGGGGCCATGGGCCGGGACCCGGGGAGAGTTCTTGCGAGTCCGGCCTTTGCAAAGCAGAGAACTGACGAGCCGGCTTGGGATGTTTTGCGGGCATTCCTTGTTTTTGGTCGTCGGCTCTTCACTCGCAGTAGGGCGGAAATTGCCTGGAGCGGGTGGTTTCTACTCGTGGAGCAAACCGTCAAAGCAAAGGACAGATTTTTTTACAAAGGTTCCAGCATTTGCTATTGAGGCAAGACCGCAAGGCGAGAAGCCGTGAGTTGAGCTGCGTTTTTCCTGGCTATTGCATCCAGAACCTGCGCAACGTTTCTTCGGATTCAAGAGCTATCCAGAGAGCCCAATACCCCTTAATTAAGGAATATAGCTTAAATCATAATATGAGGCCCCTTATAATTTGAGGTATATTGCTTAATTGAGGAGTATTGGGCTCTCTGGGTAGACCTCTGGGAAGTCCTGATTGTATACTACATGGACAAGCATGAGCATGCATACGTTGTCGTCGATAGTGCATCCTTGCGTGCTTGCGAAAGTCGAAGCCCAAGAAAGGCCGAAAGCCGTTAGCAATCTGCACTCCTACTTGGAGGTTCATGGGACTTAGTAGCTACAGTTATAATAAGGTAACTATACTAATGATGGATTATAACCACAGTTAAGGTACGTAGAACTGGAGTTGCTAAGTCCTACGATCCTCCAAGTACGTGCGAATCTGCAGGCCGCCCTCATCCCGGCTGCGATCATGGCGGCTGTTGCGGGCGGGCTGCTCCTTGAACGATTTCGGCGTGCCCCAAACCTGAGGCCTACGCGAAAGGTCCCAACTCCAATGCCTCAAGATTCCCCCGTTTAAAGGGATATATAATTGGCTCTAGGGTTCAGGGTTTAGGGTTTAGGGAAGCCCTTACTATACATGGTTCAGGGTTTAGGCTTCCCACTCCGCAACAGGCGACGACTCCCAAGCACCCCCACTCTGAGGTTCCCAGTGATCAAGATGCCCAAGCCGGCCAAGGCTTAATCGCGAGGACCGTCGTCCTTTGCTCAGCAAGGCTAGTTTAGTGGAGTACAGCATACCACTATTGTAATTATTCACGCACTCTCTCTTATTAGTATAAGAGATAGAATAAGTTCTTCTATCTCTTATACTACAGTACACTATATGTATTTCTGGACCCACTTTCAGGGAAGAAGGGCCCAGAAAGAGTCCGAGCACCCAAAGAGTCCCAAAGCCTCGCAGCCAACAGGCAGCAGACTTAGACTTACCCTTGGTTAGGTTTGGGAATGGAAGAATGGTAGTAGTAGTAGTAGTAGTAGTAGTAGTAGTAGTAGTAGTAGTAGTAGTAGTAGTAGTAGTAGTAGTAGTAGTAGTTGCTATTATTATTATATGGTAGTAATATGACAGAAGTATGATAGTAATATGGTAGTAATAGTAGTTATAATTGTACCCCATTCCTCCATTCCCTACTAACCAAAGGTAAGCAGAGTCTGGGCTACTGTTGGTTCCCGCGGGAGAAAGATTTACTGCTTTTTGTGCAGAGGTCACATAGAAGCCCGAATGCTTGCCCATACTACGCCCTGGGCTTCCTAATAATGTCAATACGTTGTATATATTAAGATCATAAATTACCTGCTTTGCTGCTTTGACGTTTGACTCAACCGCAGCGTTCAAGCTGACGCACTCTCTGCAATCCAAGGCACAGGAAGTGAGAGCGTTTTCCGCATTTGAATCCTCCTAGCCCGGAGATCTATCGACCGTCCAGGTCAGTAAGTCGCGTGCTGCCTCTGATGAAGCTAAACTTCTGTACACTGGACTTCGTATGTTGGGAGAGGGCAATGGCGGGACTGTCATCAGAAGCAAGCAGGGATTTCATACTCAAGTCTTTCCGGCTCGGCAGAAAAAGAAGCAGACAGCAAGGCCTCGATAGCTCGCTTCTTTAAAGGCCCAGACCTGATTAAGTCCAACACCCAGGAATTATGGTTATAGTGACTTATATAAAAACTCCAGTTAAGGCCAAGGGTACTTATAACTTTACTTACTAAGTCCCATGATCCTCCAAGTACCCCTTTGGGTATATGGCCCCGAAGGGCAGGTAGGATCTCACAGAGGGTAGATGGAGGGAGCAAGAGGGCCCAAAACGCGGAGCCCCACGAAGCGCCACATGCAGAAGTCTTTCCACGCTCGCGCTCGCAGCCTGTTTTGGTGCCAAGTTTTGATCATTTCAGCCCCGCCCCCGTCCTCGTAGCCATGGCAATGATGTCGATGCCGATCCGCCGCCGCGTCCCTCGGTCGCGTCAGGGCTTCGTCCCGTAGTGGAGTAGGGTTTTGGGGCCATTCTAACACACTTATAGCAATAAGGAACCCCGAAAATAGTATTGGCAAAGAGAGCTCCAAACACCGACATCGACCCTTCGGAAGGTTGCCAACTCCCCAGGTCGACACTCCGCGAATTGAGCACCGTAGTTTAGGGGCCTTGATAATTACCTATACTGTCTTGGTGATGCCTTATTATAATAGGTATAGCATAATGGGCACCCAAACCATCCCAGGTGAGGGCCACGCTGCTGCTGGCGCTCGGCGTTTGCAACCCGACTGCCCTGTTTGAAGTCTCGGACGTGCATGAGAGTTCGCTATTGTTGTTGATTGCTGTGCATACATTCCTCTTTTATGAATATTAGTATTCTGTATGTATATATATATATATATATATGTATATACACATATAATTACACATGTATGACCCATGAATACTAGATCGAATTCCAACCACTACTAATTGCTGTGACTCTTGCCGTCTCTGCCTAGACCCTCCATCTACCCTCGATTAGACCCTAAACGCCCATTATTTGGGGTATATCCCTATTCGAGGGCAAGCCTTCCCCTAAACCCTAAACCCCTAAACCCCAAACCCCTAAACGATATAAGACCCTAAACCCCTTGTAGAACCCTTGTAGATCCCTTTAAGGAACCCTTTAAGGATCCCTTCTAAAGGTACCCCCTAATGTTCGGAAACTCCCACCTCTGCTTCTGAGGCGCTCTCTGGAGCTTCCAGGCGCACCAGGCCTTCGGCAGCGCGACGGTGGTGGAAGTCAAGGAGCGATCTCCAGCGCGGGGGAGCCATGGAATACGTAGTATTCTAGATGATTGTTCTGAAGGCCTACTATATGATTAAGTCCTATACTAATTAGATGCTACGATACTATACTAAATTCTAAATGCTATACTATACTATACTTTACTGGTTATATACCATATACGAAGTAGTGCAAACAATACTATACTATATGCAATGCTATGCTGCTCAGGGGTCGGCCTGGGACGTCGAAGCTCTGATCCGAAAATTACGAGGATGGAAGTTGAAAATACCTTCAGCCTTTCAGGTAGGGTTTAGGGTTTAATAAAGCCACAAGCATATGACTACAGTAACTCCTAAACCCTAAAACCCAATGCCGATTTCTTCCAACTCATGCCTGAGAGACCTAAGATTCGACCCCTACATGCTGCATGAGCTTTCACGCGTCTGCGTCCCCGTCTAGGCTACTCTTACTTTTGCTATTGCCCGTACTCTTACGATTGCTTTCAGGATTCTGTTTCCACTTATAGATTATTACGGTTACTGTCTTACGTTACATTTATTATATTACCATTACTACTGCATTCAGGAGCAGTATACCTATTACTATTGGTATCTGTTTCCGCGCAACCTCCCCCGCCGTCAGGAGGAGCCCTCGGCGATGGTCGGGGCCTCAGAGAAGGAAAAGTGAGTTTCGGAAAATACGTAGAGGATCATGGGACTTAGTAAGTAAGGTTATGAGTAGGTTATGTTTAGGATAACCTCACTTAGAGGACTTATAACCCTAACTATAACCTACTTACTAGGTCCCATGATCCTCCAAGTAAGTGACCCCAACATGGAAGCCTTCGTCATATACTAGGATCTGCGCTGCAAGGACCCCCACATCAGGTACCCTGATCTTATGATGAAAGTTCCAATGCCGGCATAGGAAGAAAGCATCAGCCTGTCTCCGTCAAGTCTGCGCAACACATCTTCTACGAGCTCAAGCATTCCTTAGAAGGGGCCCCCACCCTGTAACAGTGACTATAAGGATTATATTAGGGCCCTATTAGATTCCTATTATACCACTATTACAGGGGCTATAAGGATTACATTAGGGCCCATTATACTCCTATTATACCACTATTACAGCGTGGGGGCCCCTTCTAAAGCATTCCGTACGGCTTTGTCACATAGCATCCCCAGGGTCCGAAGGGCCAAAGCCTCCAATTCCCCTTAATTCAGGAATATACCTTAAGTTATAATAGGATCCCTAATATAACTTAAGGTATATTCCTAAATTAAGGGGTTTTCTAGGCTCTGGGGGGGGGGGGGGGGGCAATAATTAGGTACGCAGGCTTAGGATGGTCGTTCTGTCGCTGAGTTTTTTTTTTGAGTGTATCTGTTGTTTTAGGTACTTGGGGACCCGTAGTGTATACAGTAGAAGCCAGAAAGTTGGAATATCATTATCCTAACCCCTTTAAGGTAAATTATAGGGGATCCTACCATTAATCCATATGCCAACTTTCTGGAGTTCCCTTTAGACCAAGAGCAGAAGAGAAGCAGGTGAAGATTGTGGCCGGCCACCCCTTGCTCGTGTGCTTCCTCGTGATGGCGGGAACAAACCTGCTGACGATAGGGGCTCAATATGGTTCCTTACGGTTCCTGAAAGTAAAACTCTAGGCTCACTAACCCTAAACCTTAAACCGAAACTTGAACATGGTTCAGCTGGGTTCCTAAAACAACTTTGACTTTGGATCTGATATACCGCGAAACCCTGAACATTATGTTATTCCTTAGGGCTCCGGAATATCTTTCTAGGGATATGTGCCGAAACCCCAGGCCCATGTATTCGGGATCTTCGTAGTTTGCGCGCTTCTCTGCTTGGAAGACGATGCTTCTTTGATTACATCATATACATATCTATACAGTGACTTCTTTAGGGTCAAGGTATATCATGCACCTAAATAGGGACTTCTTCAAGGCCAACGTATATACTATTTGGGTGCATGGACCTATGCTTCGTTTCTCTTTGGACTATGGTTTTTTATAGCTCCGGGATCCGAATTGCATGTGTATCGAATCGCTACTAATGTAGGAACCTGGTTAAGAAACCCTGGGCCTTGTACCCCAAAATAGTAGGGCTCATATAAGGAACCCTGATAAAAGGCCCAAAGTTTCTTAGTCAGGTTCCTACAGTAGAACTCTTCTTAACGCCATCGTTAACATTAGTATTGTTATTGTTGTTGTCGTTGTTACTGTTAACAATTTAACCAGTACTTTTACTAAGTTACTCTTCTAAGATTAGTTTGTTGATCCTTCTTATTCCTTCCGTGGTTGCTGTTGCTTTGCTCTTTCTTCGTCGGAGTAGTATCATCACCGGCACCAGTGCTCAAAGTGTTCCCTACCAGCATCATCAGTGTTACTGGCATCATGTTTTTTAGATCATTCCGCTAGTTGTTTATTCTCTCTTTTGCACCTGGTCAACTGCTGCCCAATCCACAAGCTTCCCCAGAGCCCTGCACCCTAGCTACTGCTGATGATATAGATCCTGCATTACCCGTTTTAATAAGGAATTTACCATAGTTCGCATAGTTTAGGGTCCTTAAGGTAATGCAGGATTTATATCATTCACCGTAGCACGAAGCATGGATGTCTGAGTGTTTGCGATTCGTTCGGGTTCCTTAGCATAAACCTTCAGAAACCTCTAAGGCCCTGATATGAACCCCGAAACCCTAGAACACCCTAAAACCTAAACCCGAAACCCCAAACCTTAAACCCTACACCGCGAAAGACCAGACACCTGGGAGGTCCTCACTGGTGCCTTTGCATGCACCGAAGTCAGCCAGGCACGGCGTCGCGCCGAAAACCAGCAAAGGGTTTGGGGGTTTAGGGTTGTTTGAGCCCTTGCGGACGCTTAGGACTCCCCAAATCTCTGAGTTTCGACTTCTTCGATCATCATTGTATTGGTGTTGCAGGTCATTTTCCCGGGCTGTTCTGTGCCCACTCGCATCGCTTAGGCTTCTCCTCCCTCACACACCCTTTCCACCAGAGTACCCGAAGCCCTGAATTCCCAACCGCATCAAAAAATGTCCTCAACGATGCCCTATGAAGCGGTCTGCTTTTGTACCATTTTCTTTTGGCGGGGGGGGGGCGGGGACCCCGGCATCCCTTGAGCTTTGCGAGGCCACACCCGCTGGCCCGCCTGAGAAGCGCCCGGACTACAACACCTTCCTGCACCCTGGACCAAGAGCTATGATATGGGAGTCTCTGCAAATTAGGGGTACCTCATTTTGGGGTCGTTCTCATAAACTCCCATAGAATGTAGTATAAGTCACATTTTGAACATATCACCAAATCTAACCGTCTTCCTGCCGCACGGTCGCAGAAAAAGCTGAAGGATTCGCAGCTTTCAGTCCCTTCGAAAGGCTCTAAGGAAGGGGATCAAAAAGCAAAGCAGCGCCTCGAGAAGCAGAATACTGAATACTGGTCTGTTATGGCAATATAGAAACCCTGATAGATCAGATCCCTTTAAGGAACCCGAAAAACAGGTTCTTAATCTTGAGAACAAATCATAATAATAGGAAGGAGCCCTATGAGGAGAGTTCTGCAAGAGCTCGAGCCTCCCACAGGATGATGCAGAACATCCTCTGCTTCGCGTCCGGCTACGTCAACGCACTGCCCCCAAGAGCTTAGCGTTTAGAGGAGAATAATCTAGCGGCCTGAAATAATTGCCTATACTATTTCAGGGTTCCTTACTATCAGTATGATTAGTACATCATACCTTAGGAGCTGCCCCCACCCTGTAGTAGTGGTATAATAGGAGTATAATAGGGCCCTAATATAATCCTATATAATCCTTATGGTCACTATTACAGGGTGGGGGCAGCTTCTAAAGTATACCCCAAAACGTTTTCTTATTATGAAGATACTATTTTAGGGTTCTTGATTAAAAGTATGATTAGCATAGTATACCGTATACCCCAAAGCGTTTTCTTATTCTGAAGGCCCCCCCCAAAAAGGCAGGGGGGCTGATTCTGATGGCATCGCAGCTTTTCAAGTGGGAAGATGCTTTTTCCTTGAGACCCTCATCCTAAGCCCTGACCATGGAGATTTCATTATACTATACTAATAATATACTATATTAATACTATACTATACGAATAAATACTATACGAATAAGTACTATACTAATAATTACTATACTAATAATATACTATACTAATAATAAGGAGCCCCCAAAATAGTGCAGGTAATTAGATACATATTATTATCAGCTGTTTGTTAGACCTGAGGCCCTGACCATCATCGACATGGGCATGACCGTGTCCCATCAGACCGGCAACACCAGCCACACAGGAGTCAGTCGACAAGTGGCATCCCACAAGACCAGGGTGTTGTTTCTCTTCTGCTGCAGGACGCCTGATTATGAATGGCGGAGCCGCGTTCTTTCACCTCATGGCCGCGTTCGCGGCCGGCAGCTTCGTGGCAGGCGCAACCGTTCCAGCCGCCTCTTGTAGCCTGCTGCTCGATACTGTCTTGGCAGGCTACAGCAAGTCCGATGGTGAAGCAGTGCCTCGGATGCAGTCAGTTGTGCGGAAATCCGAATGTCTTCAACACGCTTGTGTAAGTAAAGACGGCACTCAGCAGCCCTGAAGGCCGCGATGCCGTCACCTCGATATTTGCATGCCAAGGTCTACCAGGGCCGCTACTCCCCGAACATGCTCGCGTCCACTTTCTGCGTGCCCGGGGCCGCTTTGGAAGTAGCTGTTCAGCTCGGCAGGGGCCCTCGCATCAGTTTCTCAAGTGAGCTCGGTGAGCTTAAGAGTTCTCCGCGCCCTTCGTCCCTTCATCGTGAGGTGCTTGGCGGCTGCTTGGTCCACTACTGCAAGGCAATCGCTTCTGCGGCAAACATCAGACTGAAGGATAGGAGTTGAGGTTCACAGACGGGTCTCAGGGGCTGATATTGTGACTGTCAGTGTTAGTGGTCTTATTGCGACTATTGCTGCTTTTGTGGTTTTCGTTATACATAAACTAGTATTACCACTATTGCTAGTGCTTTTCTAGCGATTATAGTGTTACTATCGTTGTTGCTGTCTTTGTTACTCTCGAGGTTTTTTGTATAGTCATCCAGACTGTTAGGACTAGTGTATGTGTTATTTCTTTCATGATTATTGGTGCTGTTGTTTATGGTAATTATTACCATTATTATTATTGCTATTGTTACTACTAATGATATTATTGCTGGTAGTTACTATTCTCATCACTATCGTTGCTCTGATTTTTGTAACAACGATTACTTTGGTTGTTATTGCTGTGGCAACTGCATTCAGAGCTCGAAGAAGAGTCGAAGGCCCGTGTACAGCCGATGCCGAGAAAGTCATTCTAACGATAGTACAAACGATACTGATGATCATCTAGATGCTAGCAGTGGCAATGATGATGATGGACGTACTAGCATTAAAGCACCCAACAGCTAATCAGGTTCTTTCATCCCAGAGGAACCCTAAACCCGAAACCCGACACACCCTGAACCTTAAAACCCCTTTGCCGTTAAAGCTGAAGCCGTAAGCCCGTAAGTCTACACCCTATATTGTACACCCTAAACTCTGGAAGCATAGAGCTCTGCACCCCTAAACTCGCCCTTAAAACCCCATAACCCCTACACTCTGGAAGCATAAAAACCTTATATGGGTGGTTGTCAAAATTATGGCTCCTTTGTGGATCCTTATTATAGTACGGCACCTAATATTTAGGGTGCCCAAACGGGGACCATAATTTCGACAACCACCCATATGTAACCCTAAACCCTAAACCCTTTATAGAACCCTTATAGATCCCTTTAAGGAACCCTTTAAGGATCCCTTCTGATATAACAACCTCCCGTATAACCCTAAACCCCCTAAACCCGAAAGTCGAAAGGCAGCGGACGGCGTGGGCAACGATTCTCACTCGGAGTCGCTGCTGCTCTTCGCTTTCTCCCAGGACGGGGGCCTAAAGAAGCCTCAACAACTACAAGCACTATACTTTAGGGTTCATGGTACATGTATGATCCTATTACGTGGCCCGAAACGCCTAGTCCAATTTCTCACGCTCTTCTTTATAAGGATTCCGGACATGCTGCTTGCGCAATGCGAAGTCGGCTGCACAACATTGGGATGGGATCATGGCTAGTAAGCTGCTAGTAGAATTTTCTTATAGTTCTCGCATACTTATTCTCTAGTATACCCCGAAACCATAAACTCTTCAGGCCCCGGGGGGTGCACACTGGGCTTGGCGGTCCAGGCATTGATATTTTTGAATGATGCTGAGATCGTAGAAGCATGCTTGAGGCTACACTTGGGTCATGCATAGAATAAGCATGCGGCGTGGTTCTTAGCATGCAAGCAAGACGGGGATCCACTCTCTGGCGTGTCATAGGACCGGCCATATATCACATGTACCGTAGAAAAGTTCAATATACATACATATATACATATGCACATGTATATACATATCTGGGTAAGGAGGGCGAATAACGTACTCTGTGTATCTCTATATATATATATATATATATATACACACACTTACAAAGTCAGCTGCATATGTATCTACGTGTGTATGTAAAATGTAAAGTATGTATGAGTGTATGTATGTATGTATGTATGTACGTATGTATGTATGTGTATAAAGCATGCAGTGGTATGTGGTATGTGTATATACAAGACATGAGGTTCAGACTGGTAGCTACAAACTGCGAAAGCCATGATCGACCCAAGCGGCTGTCTTCCATAGCTTCAATGCAATGCAAGGCTGTCCCAAAGGGTCCTATGTACCGATATACGATATAGTAGAATGTAGGGTTTCCAAAGCAGGAGCTATTATTAAATTATGTCTTAGGGAAGTATCCCCCAGAAAAGTACATAGGACCCTTTGGGTGTGGGGTCCGCGTATGGGAAGCCGAAGATTCCAACCTTGAAGCATTCAATAGAACCGGTACCCTACACCCTAAACTCAAAACCGTAAACCCAACCCTAAACCTGCAAGCCGAAAGCCTTAACCCAACCCTAAACCCCAAAACCCAAACCCAACCCTAAACCCCAAACCTACAAGCCGTAAGCACTAAACCCCAAACCCCAAAACCCCAAACCTGTCCGCCTGAGCCTCTGTGCCAGGGCATCCAGAACGGCGTGACCCGAAGGCCGCTTCTGCAAATGTATTCCTGGGGATAACTCAGCTGGGAGCTTCCGAAAAATAGGGGTCCCTTAGGGTTCCTTTAAAGGATCCATAGGGGTTCTATAAAGGGTTTGGGGTTTAGAGTTTCTGAAAATTGGGGGTCCCTTATTTAGGGATACCTAAGGGTTCCTTGAAGGGGTTACTATAAGGGTACTATAAACGGGTTCCTTAGAAGGACTCTACAAGGGGTGGAAGTTTCCGAAACTTAGGGATACCTTATGGGGATGTTTTCGTCGTGACTCTCAGATGCAGTCGGGCTCCCGTGTAAGTGTTGGAGGTCCTTACAATAAGGATCCTACTATTTAGGGTACTATATTAGGGTCCCCTATTTTATGAAACCTCCAGGTGGCCTTCGGCTTTTCAGGCGTGTACCCGTGCTATCCGTGTTCATCGTTACTGGTTCCTACCCACAAGACTGAACCAAGACGTTGCTCCAATAGAGGGGCCTTCATAATGAGACTAGGGTTATGGGGCCCGTTATCAAGATACTATACTACGTAGTATTGATAATTGTTTCAGACCCTACATTACATTGGAGCGTATTGCGGGGCCTCTTCCTTATTCTGAGCTCCCTCGTGGAGCCAGCTCCATTTCCATCAGTTGACTTTGTATTTTGAGCTGGCCTTGCTAGAGCTAACAAAGTAGAACTATCCATGCTTCGGGCTCTTTTTGCAAATGTACTAATAATCTCCTCAGGCCCGGAATTTTAGACGGCTGCCGAGCACCCGAGCTTTGCGACTCTGCAAAGCTTCATGCCAGCAGAAGCCTACACAGAACGGACCTTCGAATAGAGTCTTCGTGAAGTGAGAGTTGGGGCCTGGCGCGTACCTACACCCTATACCCCAAACTTTAAAACTCAATGAGCCCTAACCCCTAAAGTCCTAAGACCCTAAGATCCCAAAACCCAATAAACCCTGAAATCCTAAAACCCAATAAACCTTAAATCCTAAGACCCAAGCAACCCTAGAATCCTAAAGCCCTATAAACCCTAGACATTCCAGGTGCACCTCGTGCCCCATCTGCACCACGCACTTCACCGGCTCTTCGGCTGAAGCAGAGCCCAAGACCACAGGAGAGACCCCGAGGATACAAGAGTAGTACTCTAAACGAGGGTCCTTTCTAGAGGGCCTTAAACGGATCTATAAGAGATTCAAAGGGGATAGTAGGAAAAACAAGATTTGATGTTACTTGTGGAGTTAGCTTTCTTGCGTACTGCGTCGGCACAGCAGCCCCCTTATAGTCCTCATATGACCATACTAATATACACGAACCGAGGCTAACAAATATCACCTCATGGCCCGTATACCTTCTTCGAGTGTTTATCGACACTAACACAATGACCGTTAATTTCCCGACAGTTCCTTCAAGGGATCTATAAGGGTTTCTACAGGGATAGTAAGAGAAAAGTATTAATGAGACTAGAAGACCACTTAAAGTGACCCTGAGACAGCCGGGAATCGAGGCTACCTTAAACCCTAAGAAACCCCAACACAATAAACCCCAAGAAATCCAAAACCCTAAACCCGAAGAAGCCTTAATACCCGAAAGCCTCAGAAGCCAAGAAACCGAGGCTACGAGAGTATGTAAATAGGTCTCTAAACTGGGGTCCCTGTTTTTCGGGTTCCTTAATTAAAGGCATCTGGGTCCAGGGGGTTCAGGATTCAGGCATTCCCTCCGGGTTCTGCGCCTGCGCCCATGACATCCTAAAGACCCTAAACCCTAAACAGCTAGAGCCTTCTCCTAAAGTCCGAAGCCCGAAATCCCAAACCCCACAAGCCTAAATTCTAAACCACTGCGAATCCTTGACACGACGTGCCAAACTCGACTAATTAGTTCCAGTGTTGTCTTCAGAAGTGGAGGTGATCTTTTACATACGCGAGCTAAGACTATAAAGGAGCCCTGCAAGGAACCCTCAAAGGAGCCTTTAAAAACGACCCTCAAGGGTCCTCTACCCTACACCCTAAACCCTAAGCCCCGAACCCCATAATCTTACTAACGCGACCCTAGGCCTCGCGAGCGGCCTTTCCCCAAGGCGAGCATGTCCAAGCAACTGTAGCTCGTAGCCTCCATTGCAGTCCCTATCTTTGGTTTGACCAATGTTATATCCAAGATCCTAGAAGGTAACCCAAAAAGGAAACGACAGTGGAGAGTATAGGTAATAACCGTATACTCCGGCAAATGCGAACCTTACCTGCATCACGTTGCTTGGCTCGTTCGCTTGCGTGAAGATGCAACGAGATCAAAGCAGGCTTGGTAGGCCCAGGCAGCTCCAAGGCCCTCGTAACCAGAATAGAGTTTTTCGGATCCCTTAATTAAGGAATATACCTTAAATCATGTTTGGGGTTCTACTATACTTTAGGGAAACTTCCTTAATTAAGGGATTTTGGAAGGTCTGGGTATATGATAGAATGCTGATAATACGGAGTCTTCAGGGATAGTGTTGGTAGGTATTCAGGCCTCTATGATAGCCCCTAAACCCTAAACCAAAAAAGGGACCCTAATTCCAAAGTTTCAACTTCTGATGGAGCTTCGAGAACCTGAGAAGCTAGACAGGGCCCCATGGGCCTTTGCAACCTCAGCCCTGAAGCCCTATATAACTTAGATAGTAAACGGGGGAACTGCAGAGTTTTTGGCCTTATATATATATATATATATATATATATATATATATATATTAGCTCTATCTTAGAAAGTTTGAACTTTTTGGGGCGCGTTTGTTGAAGAAGAGAGATAATCCCTACGTGCTGAACCAAAGCACGAAAATCCCAAACCTTCACCCTCAAACTGGCCAAGATGTCGATTACGGTGGCAGTTGGCCTACTAAGCGGCAAGACAGCCACCGTTCAAGCCGACCTGCATGAACAAGTTGGAACACTCACAGGTCGGGCCGAAAACGCACTCGGAGTGGGAAGAGGGCGGCTCCTGGACTCATATGGAGTTGTGCTGGACGCAAGTGCACCGATCAAGCGCGCGAAGCTGCAGAACGGTGATTCACTAACCTTGCACATAAACAGAGTCCAAGTTCAAGCTTCTGCCAGCGCTTTTGCTGCTATTCTTGGTGATGCTTCGGTTGTGACCTGGGGTGATGCCGACGCTGGTGGTGACAGTAGTGCCGTGCAGGATCGGCTGAAGAATGTGCAGCAGATCCAAGCCTCTGACAGTGCTTTTGCTGCTATTCTTGGTGATGCATCGGTTGTGACCTGGGGTAGTGCCATCTCTGGTGGTGACAGTAGTGCGGTGCAGGATCAGCTGAAGAATGTGCAGCAGATGCAAGCCTCTGGCAGTGCTTTTGCTGCCATTCTTGGTGATGCTTCGGTTGTGACCTGGGGTACTGCCGACGCCGGTGGTGAAAGTAGTGCCGTGCAGGATCAGCTGAAGAATGTGCAGCAGATCCAAGCCTCTCGCGGTGGTTTTGCTGCCATTCTTAGCGATGGATCGGTCGCGACCTGGGGTTGTGTTGCCTATGGTGGTGACAGTCGGCGCGTGCAGGATCAGCTGAAGAACGTGAAGCAGATCAAAGCCGCTCAACACCTTTTTTTTGGTGCGTTTGCTGCCATTCTTGGCGATGGATCGGTTGTGACGTGGGGTGATTCTAGCATTGGCGGGCACAGGGCCGTTCAGAATCAGCTGAAGGGGCACAGTAGGGCCGTTCAGAATCAGCTGAAAAACGTGCAGCAGATCCAAGCCTCTCATGGCGCTTTTGCTGCCGTTCTTGCCGACGGATCGGTTGTGACCTGGGGTGATGCTCGCTATGGAGCGGGCAGTAGCGCCGTGCAGGATCAGCTGAAGAACGTGCAACAGATCCAAGCTTCTCGCAGGGCTTTTGCTGCCATTCTCGGTGACGGATCCGTAGTGACCTGGGGTAGTGCCACCTCTGGTGGTGACAGTAGTGCGGTGCAGGATCAGCTGAAGAATGTGCAGCAGATCCAAGCCTCTGGCAGTGCTTTTGCTGCCATTCTTGGTGATGCTTCGGTTGTGTCCTGGGGTACTGCCGACGCTGGTGGTGACAGTAGTGCCGTGCAGGATCAGCTGAAGAATGTGCAGCAGATCCAAGCCTCTCATGGCGCTTTTGCTGCCATTATTGCTAGTGATGGATCCGTAGTGACCTGGGGTGATGCTCCCCATGGAGGTGATAGTAATGCTGTGCAGGATCAGCTGAAGAATGTGCAGCAGATCCAAGCTTCTCGCAGGGCTTTTGCTGCCATTCTCGGTGATGGATCCGTAGTGACCTGGGGTGATGCCCCCCATGGCGGTGACAGTGGTGCTGTGCGGGATCTTCTGAAGCACTTTGCAGCTGGTGTTGGCAGCGGCACAAAACAATACTCGAGCGGCATTTGCACAAATGTGTCGTCGAAGCGCTGTTGACAGACAGGTAACATGCGTGCGCTGCAGGGCCCCTAATCCCAACCAACTTTTGGATTGGATGGCTTAAACTGCTTAGGGGCTTAACATTGTTTCCCAGTGCCCCGCAAAAGGACAGAAGCATCAGCAAATTATAATGACGTCCATACCTTATTGGGCTTCATGATGAGGGGGTTTATATGAGATACCCTGGATATCCCAATCCTGGCTTAGTTTAGGCACCGCTTCCTGATCCCAGATCAAAGTCTCTAATTTGCATCAGGGTTTATGGTGCAGGGGTTTAGGATTTTTAGGGTAATCTGTACTAAGCCACATGATTGAGCCACCTGTCAGGCTAAACGCAAGCACCCCAAACCCAAACCCAATTTATTTCCATTGCTCTGTTGAAAGCATACGCCAGAACAGATAGCTCAAACTTAGCTGGTTAGGGGTTTAGGGCTTAAGGTTTTGTCGTTTAGGGTTAAGGCTAAGGGCTTTAACATGTTTCGGGGTTTACGGCCGTCGACTGTCAAGACCTCCAATGCTAAACCCTTAGGGAGCCATCGCTTGATCTGCAGGATTAGGGTTCATCCTAAACCCTTAAACCCGAAACACACCCTAAAACCCCTAAAGCCCTCAACCCTGATAAAGCCCTAAACCCTTAAACCTGAAACCCTAAGTTCCGACAGCTGGAGCCGAAGCCTGAGTTCGCCCAAACCTATATGGGAGCTTCCGAAAGTTAGGGGGGGTACCTTTAAAAGGTATCCTCGAAGGGTTCGTTAAAGGGTTCTATAAAGGTTTTAGGGTTTAGAGTTTCCGAAAGTTAGAGGTACCTCATTTTGGGGTCCTTATAATATGGATCCTACTAATTAGGGTACTATATTGGGGTCCCCTATTTTCGGAAACCCCCATATAGCCTTACACGCTATACGTATAGGGTAGCTGTCAAAATTAGGGTCCCTTTTTGGGTACTCTTAATCTTAAGTGCCGTATTACATTAAGGACCCAAAACGGGACCATAATTTTGACAGCCGCCCATATGACATACCGATACGAAGTTATTGTATTGTAGTTCTACAACTCCCCCAAAACATACGCATCCATATTATAAGGACCCCGAAATGAGTAAGTAGGAGTGTTGTGGATCCCTAAACCCTAAACCCTAAAATCCTCAACCCTAAACCCTTGCCCTAAAACCCCTAGAGGCTACCTCACCGACTTCGGCGTCGGCCTCGGTGCCTGGGCGCGAGCGCAGGCCCAGGAGGGTTGCCTGTGCCGTGTACTGCTGAAGAGCTGAAAAGTCAGAAGGTAATAGGGTCCTTTCAAGGGGTCTGTAAGCGTTCCTTAATGAGGGTCCCATTAAGAGGGATCTACAAGGATTTCTGTAAGGGATAAGGGTTTAGGGTCTGATGAGCTAGGGTTATAGCCTACAGTATTATGACGTTTAAAGGTTCAGCGTTTTGCGGCTTCTATAACCCTAATTGAACAGACCAACATGTTGTCGGCTGGGGAACTCAGCCCGTCAGACTCGCATCGTGTTGTTGCGGATGAAAGGGTTCGCAGCTGTCAACAGGCGACCTCACTCTCCCCAAAGGGTCCAGGTACCATTATGGTATGTACTTAGACCCCCAGAATACCCTATAAGTATATATATATACCATAATGATACTTGGACCCTGTGGGCTCACTCCTGGAAGCTCGAGAGATTGTGTACCTGGCCAGGTGAGCGGTGAGCCATCTCCCACCCTCCTCAAGGCAGGGCAACAGCTTTAATTGCCGGCATCAGAGTCTGAAATCTGAAGGCGTAACGTTGCCCCGGCCTGGTGCAGTGCTTGCTTGCCAGTGACTTACATGATTTTCACCCGGAGGCAGGAACACCTTACACCCGTATCTCCCGAAGCGCGAGCACTGGCACCCGCACTGCAGTGAGCGCCTGTCCGCAGGTGCTCCTCTTCGGCTCGGGCACCTTCTTCTTCGGCCTGGGCGGCGTCGCGGCCAAGGAGACCCATGGCCCCTATGGAATCCAGGCGCGCGGGTTTTTGATTTCGCTTCAAGACGCTCAACGCGCTACTGTAGCATCCCTGCACCTGTTGGCTCCAGGCCGCACTCATCCCGGCTGCGATCATGGCGGCTGTTGCTGGCGGGCTGTTCCTTGGACCGGCTCCATTCCCAGAAAGCCAAAAGCCAAACCCTAAGCCCTTAAACCCCTAAACCACAGCCCTGATGCCCAGCCCTAAACCCAAGGGATCCCGAAGCAGCCTTTCCTTTTGGGTAGTTCTCTGTATTGGGTCCCGTTTTTCGATAAAAGGCACCCTAAGTAGAGAGCTACTATTGCAACCCTTATGCATCCCTTTATGGACCCCGAAAAGAAACCCACTACCCTTTTCCTGGCTTGACTTTCAGGTTCCCTGTGATCAAGATGCCCAAGCCGGCCAAGGCGTAAGAGCAGCCGATGGACGATTTAGCCATCGGGCACCTCGGTGTGTTTGCACTTCTGGAGTCCTTGCCTCTCGATTTGTCGCGGCTTTTTGAGAGGTAAGCAAACGATGTGTGTGTGTGTGTGTGTGTGTGTGCGTGTGTGTGTGTGTGTATCTATATGTATATGTACATACATAAGTATATATATATATACATGCATATGTGTAGGTGGCGTTACGGAAGTATGTGCATATATGTACATATGTACACATATATACACACATAGAGAGAGAGAGAGAGACGGAGAGAAAAATTACGTAGTTGACAGGCCTCCAATGTTTGCAGGACATTGGACCGAAGGGTAGAAAACAAAGATCCTTAGCTTTGCAAGCGCTACATGTCGACGTATTCCGAGCCCAGGTGCAGACAAGAGTGACACGGAGTTCTCCAGATTTCAATGTCCGTCCCATGGGCCCGGATGTCTCGTGACCGTCCAGGTCAGGAATTCGGGTTCTGCATCTGGTGATGTGAAGTCAGTGGAGGTTCATGATTAGCAACAGCGCTTGAGCGAATAAATGTATCTTCTAAGCTTTAAAGAAGGCATGACATACCGAAAAACCCTTATCTAGGTTTCGACCGACAGGCAGAGTATGTATATCATCAGACGCAGACAATGATTGCCTATACCATTTAGCAGCGCTCGGCTGGCAGAAAAGAAGTCCGTCCAGGGTTCGTTGATTCGCATCCCTCGGATGGTTCTTGGTTCCTGGACTAGCTAATATCCTAATCTCTGAATCCAAATAACCTAAACCCAAAACCCAAATAACCAAAGGTTTAGGCCCTAAACCCTAAACCCTAAACCCTGAACCGTCGACGCGGTCAGGGTGCCAGTGTCGACTGGGAGTTTCGTTCAGCTACTGGCCTGGAGTTCTGAACCCAACCTTCAAGGAGCCTCCAAAACCCCTTAATCAAGGAATATACCTTAAATTATATTAGGGATCCTAGTATTATAAATTAAGGCATATTCCTTAATTAAGGGGTTTTGGAGGCTTTGGGTTAAGGACGACATGAACCTCAAAAGGGTTTAAGGTTCATATACCATATAGGGATTCATAGTATAAGGGTATAAGGCCCCTACTTAAAAGGGTCATTTGGTCCCCCAGGAAAGGGTCCAAGTATCATTATGGGATATATTTATAGGGTATTTTGGGGGTCTAGCGGTTGATGATATAAACTCTGCATTACCCATAAAAAGGAATATATGGGAATTATGGTATATTCCTTAGTATGGGTCATGCAGGATTTATATCATCAACCGAAGTATATACCATAATGATACTTGGACCCTTTGGGGAATCCGCACGAAGCGGGAATCAAAGGTTGAAGCTGAGAAAGGGTTTTTCTGTTGCAAAACATTCACAACCCTAGTGCTCATTTGCCAGACCGCATGTCTACCATTGAAAAGCCTCGCCCAGCGAAAGCCTCTGCGCCGCCCAGCAAAGACTGTGTGGTGCTTAGTAGGGAATGGGGGAATGGATCCCTATAGTAGTCCCTTTCATCCCCCAATGATAGAGGGTTTTTATAAACAAAACCCTATAGTAGTCCCCATAATCCCCAATGATAGTCTCCGAAATCCATCTCCGTATTCCCTACTAAGAACCAGACAGATTAAACCCTAAACCCTACAGATCCCTTGTAGATCCCTTGAAGGAACCCCTAAGGATCCCTTATTCCCCCATTCCCTACTAAGAACCAGACAGAAGAGGCCGCGCCCAAAGAGGGCCCTGAAACCCTGGAAGCCGTGGCTGCGGATGTCTGCCCCTCAGTGGCCGTGGGCCTTGCAGAGTTTGCACTGGTTTTCTGATCTTCGATCGTGACGAGAGTTTGTGCCTACTAGGGGGGGCTAAATGATTACCTGTATAATTTTGGGAGGCTCCATGTTCATATTTATTGCATACTGGGCCCCAAAACCCTATTGAAATTATGGTGGCCCCTCCATTAGACTGATACCAGCGACGACGACGACGGCAAGCAGCAACAGCAACGATAACGATAGAAACCAGGATAAGGAGCGCAAAACGAATTATCAGTGATATTGCAATTGCAGGTAGAATTGCAATGACAACAACAATGATTTTTTTGCAATCGATAGAGAAACATCATGACAGCAACTGGGGGATGGTGAGATATTGTGATACTCGCCATGAATACACTGGCCCATTGCAAGCCCTAAACCTTGTAAAGAAAATCATGAATCCTATAAATCCTATCAAGCCTATAAACCCTGTAACCCTGAACCCTATAAGCCCTGTAAACACCCAAAACAAAATCCGAGGACCTCGACCAAACTCTTCTGCCACCGGAGGATGCCGGCAGGCGGCAACACGCTGAGCATGTCTGAACCAATACAGGGGTTTAAAGTTTAACTAATTACTAATACTATTTTGGGAGGTTCCTGATTTATCCTGATTTCAAGTATAATGTAATAGGCCCCAAAGCCCTTTTGTAATTATTAAGGCCCCTTCAGTAACTTGCCTAAGTTTACCGAATCGGGGTGGAATTCTTGGGGTTCTTGAAGCCCCCCAACCCGAAAAGCAAGAGGGAGGTGGTTCCACTTTGGGTTCCAACAGCTGGCGGGAGTTAGGGTTGTTGGAAGCCAGATTTTCGAAGAAAGAGCAGCTCTAAGGCAAACAGCCGACTCTTCTGCAAAAATACTCATTATGTGATCTTGTCGTGATCGGCGGTATACTTCGTATTCGTCTCATAAGTATGTGTATAGTCATTGCTGCTACTCTTATTGAGAATAGTACGGAATATGACTATCAGTACCACCATCATGATTACTGGTTAGCACTGTTGCTATGACTATGACTAGCTCCATGTCTGTTACGACTGCAGTTACCAATACCATCACTATGACCGTGATTGTCACTACTGTTAGCATTATTGCTACTACGGCCACCACCGCCACCACCACCACCACCACCACCACCACCATCACGACTGGTAGGCAGTAGGTAGTAGGTTAGCAGGTAGTAGGTGGCAAGCAGTAGGTAGTAGGTAGTAGGTGGTAGGTGGTAGTAGTAGTAGTAGTAGTAGTAGTCGTGGTAGTAGTAGTGGTGGTAGTGGTGTGGTAGTGGTAGTGGTAGTGGTAGTGGTAGTGGTAGTAGAGTAGTAGTAGTAGTAGTAGTAGTAGTAGTAGTAGTAGTAGTAGTAGTAGTAGTAGTAGTAGTAGTAGTAGTAGTAGTAGTGGTGCTACTACTCCTGCTTCGACCCGCTATTCCTGTTTCTATGACTATAACTTTCGCTTTTTGTTGCTTTAAAAACTGCGACTACGACTATTAGTTGTTACCAGATGTATAGCGGGCTTAGTGTATTGTCGATGACAGGCTTCGGGGTTGCTCGGAATGTGCTTAAAAGCCAAGGCATCTCAACGACTTAGTTTATTTGGTTTCAGGAGCTGCGATGAGTTGTGTTAAACTGCTCTAAAACCTAAGCCGTCAACCGTTTTGCTTGATCTTTGCTGCCTGGTTGTCGACCTAGCACGGGTCACCCGATTGAAGTTAGCAGGACTTTGCATCGTAGCTTTTCTCGTGGATGACAACGCAATGCAATGTAGGGAGAAGTTGGGTGGGCTGCTATGGACTCAGGGCATCTTGCATGCCGGATCGACGGGGATCACAGACTGTCCTTGACAGACGGTAATTCCTGCAGGAAATCGAGGTGCCACTGCAATTGTCTTTGAGGGGTTCGGAGTTGGAGTTGATGTTCACGGGCGACCCGACCAGATTATTTGACAGCTATCATGCGCATCTCCTGTGCTCAGATCAATTTCAGGGCAATGTAGGATTTTCATCCCCGCTTCATTTAGCGAAATGAAGCACGCAAAAAAACTGGGAGTATTGGAACCGTGGCCACGTCAGGCCTGCACTCAGCGGTCTAGCATTGTCGCTCCAATCAATCAAGCACCACGACAAGCGGCAAAGTGATGCCTCAATGGGATAGGCTTCCCTTTATGATGCAGTTTGCGTGCTTTCGTAAAGGGCTGCAAAGTACGACATGCTGGCTCTCCAATGCTTGGTGTCCGGCTAGCTTGCAAAATATGAGTACTTATATTTAATACAAACTTTAACAGCAAAACTAGTACTAGTAATAGTAACTGTCATAGTGCTAGTACTGGTGCTGGTAGTGGTAGTAGTAGTCGTCGTCGTCGTCGTGTAGTAGTAGTAGTAGTAGGAGCAGCACTAGCACTACCAGTATTAATTACAAGTAGTACTAGTAGTAATAGTAGCAATGCTATGAGTATCAGAATGAAAGCAGTAATAGGAATAGGAATGTGTTTCATCCTGAGCACCGGCACCGAAGGGCCTCATTAGAAGCATGGCAATCTTCCATGATGGGCCGAGTTTGGCAGACTGGGGCATCAAAACCAACACCCTGTCACCCCCAGTCAAATATGAGCACCGAAACAGAATCACACCCGAGTCACGGCGCGAAGGGTTTGGCTGTAATCTGTTCCTTCAGTCATGAATTCGGCATTGTTGTGTCAACACCCACGCGATAGCCACAGACCTGCCTGTGCATGCGTGCGCACATCTATAAAGCCGAGCTAAAGAATTCAGATCTTCCGCGTTATTGCCCCATCCTGTGCTTGAGCTGCATGAGGCACGGCAGCCCAGTCAAAACTGATGAAGCACCAGAGCGAACCCTTCGCCCTGTGGTGGCAGCGGAGACTGAACCGAACTTGGCGCAGGCAAGAAATCATGTTTGCAATCTGAAGCAGTTCATGAATTGCACCGTTGCTCTTCGCCCGAAGCGCTGCTTCAAGCAGCACCACCTTTCAACCTGCTCGTTCACTATCGATCCTTGCTGCAGAGTTGGATTCGCCGGGGGCACATCGGGAAAGTGGGATTCACGAATTCGGGGCCATTGTGACAAGGCGCCGCCCACGATGGTGGACGAGAGACCGATCCGGCCGGCGACACAAGTTGCCCTCTCGGCCATCCTGGAAAACACGCAGGACCGAAAGTACCGGCACCCAGTCAAAGACCCATGTTGCGCTTGAACCATGGAACCTGAAAGCCTATTCAATTACAGCCCGTTAGCTGCTGCATCGGTCAAAGGCAAAGCACTGGGTTTAAGTTTAGATTTTAAGGTGCTGGGGTTTAAAGTGGAGGGTCTAGGGTGTGTGCCAATCAGGTCGGCGTACTCTACAGTTTACGAACACCTTGCTTTCCCGCACACCAGCTTGGGCAGCATGCTCTACTTGGTACCCAAAAAGGCTCAAACTCCAACTGTCAGCATTGTTTAGAAGCTGCCGCCACCCTATAAGGATTATATTAGGGCCCTATTATGTTCCGATTATACCACTATTACAGGGTGGGGGTCCCTTCTAAAGCATTTCGGTCATTGTTTAGATGCCTTTTGTAAGTGGGCTTCTGCAAAGCATTGACATGTTTGCAGCCGCAGCTCAGACACTGCTGTACCAGACGCTTGGAGCTGGGGGTGTAGGGGATTCCACTAAGGGTTCCTGTAATTAAAGTCCCTTCTAGGGTATTGGTATGGGGTGAATGTGAGGCTTAGGGCTCGGTCACGTCTGTCATAGACTTCCCTATGCAAGTCTACATGAGGGCATCTTAAGGGACCCTAATATAGTACCAATAGTAGGATCCTTAATGTAAGGACCCCAAAATAAGGTACCCCTAATCTTCAGAGGGCATCATAGGGTTTAAAGACTGCAAGTTGCCAGGACTCCTTGCTGTACACCGCAGAGTCAAGCTACTCAGCTTGAGTTGGGAATTTCCGAAAATGAGGGGGTATGGTACCTACAAGGGTTCCTTTAAAGGGCTCCAAAAAGGATATGGAGTTTCCGAAAATTATATTCTGGGGTCCTTGTCATAAGGATCCTGCTGTTTAGGGTGGTTTGTTCGGATCCTCTGTTTCCGGAAACTCTCATTTGGCATTCTTTACGAGGCTGTCGGGGTTGGATAGTTGCCTCTTCCGAGCTCTGCCCAGAGCGCCCAATACCCCTTAATTAAGCAGTATATATATATATATATAGATATATATATATATATATATATATAGATATAGATATATATATATATATATATATATATATCTCTCTCTCTCTCTTTCATCAGAGCTCTGTGTAAGCAAACCACGGTCCTACATTCACGCGCAGGCACAACAACAAGAGCCTTGAATGCAAAGCTCATGCGCAGATCTCCCGTGAAGCCCCTAAACCCTAAACCCCTAAACCCTAAACCCTAAACCGTCGGAGTCTTGAGCCGTGAGGTGTTTTGAGCTCGCTGGAGCGATCCGTGAACTTGGACGCGTCCTCGGCTTCGCAAGAAAAGCTCCCACTGCGAAATCAGGAGGCGAGGATGTAACCGAATTTCTGGCTGTTGGTAGGGAATGGGGGAACGGATTTTGGAGACGATCATTGGGGATTATGGGGACTACTATACTTACCTTTGGTTAGTAGGGAATGGAGGAATGGTAGTAATAGTAGTTATAATTCTACCCCGTTCCTCCATTCCCTACTAACCCAAGGTAAGGGTAACCGAATGTAAAGTCTTCATCAAGTGTCCGTCGTTCAGGTAGAATTTTCTGGGCCTTGGGATTCGAAGTGTCGTGTTGGTTTTAGGTGACCGGGCCCAGAAGCAGATTGAAGTCGGAGCTTCCAGCATATAGGTGCTTTGGCATTCCGAGGCCCGCTGCAGGTTTGCACTTGAAGGGATGAGTCCAGAGAGCCCAATACCCCTTAATCACGGAATATACCTTAAATTATAAGGGGCTTCATATTTTGATTTAAGCTATATTCCTTGATTAAGGGGTATTGGGCTGTCTGGGAGTCTCAATTGTGGCTGGCTGTAGAGAGGCGCTGACCTCCATCGCGTAGGAAGCCTTGCATGAAACCCTAAACCCCCAGACCCTCAAACCTAATACCCTAAAACCCTAGACCCCTGAATCCTAAGCCCTAAACCCTAAATTCCGAAGCCCTAAACCCTAAATCCTAAGCCCTAAACCCTTCAATCCCTAGTTCAGCAGCTGCTTGGATGCAACACTCGCACTCGCAGGTGGCAGAAGAACCGCCTGCTGGAACCACACAGACTTTGGAGGACGGGGGTGCAGTGCTTGGAGGGTCGGGGGACTTAGTAAGTAGGTAGTACGTAGACTTATAAGTACCCTAAAAGAGCCCCTAATTGGGGTTATGGTACTTACAAGTCCTTAAGATGACCAGTTACTAAGTCCCCCTGGAGGGTGGGTACCTGGAGGCGCAGGGGACTTAGTAAGTAGGGTTATAAAGAAGGTAGCTGCTTTAGTTTTAACTAGTTAGAGCTCCATTTAAGGTACTTATAGTCTTACTTACTAAGTCCCATGATCCTCTAAGTAGGGCATCAAGGGGGCGGATCCTTACCGACACTATGTTGCGTGGGCCCCGTTTTATAGTTCTAGTCTAATATGCCCCAAAACCTTATTCTAATTGTTAAAACACCGACATTACTCTTATAGTAAACCCCGTTCGTACCCTATTCTAAGTATTACGGTTTATACTATAGAACACTAGTGTATACATATATATATATATAGACAGACCTTCTCGATTAACAGGAACCCTTAAGGTACCCCTTGAAGGGAACCCTGATCTAACTACAAGAATCATCCTTGGACCACTGGCGACCCAGCCCTGTGACCAGGACGTCTTGCCCGGCGGGTTTGAGCCTGCGGCTGCCGCCTCTTGGCAAAACCTTCTTCGAAGAGAACTCCAAAGCCCAAAGGATGGTTTTTATGTTATATATGATACACAATATATATATATATATATATATATATACTAGCGGTTCTATATACAATATACGGCCTGTTCCAGAATAGAGACTATCTGTTCTTTGTTCTAGACTATACATTACATACGATGTATTGCTCATGATGTGCCTTGCATCCAGCCTTCAATCCACAAGTGTGACAAAGCTGGGACTGCAACCACAAGGCTTGACAGGTTCAAGCAGAGTCCATCGTTTCTCGGGGCGCAGGGGCGATTAAAAATCGACAAGGCGACAAGTGTTCTAAGTTAGTGCCTGGCTTTGTGAAGCCTTGGCTCAGGCTGACTCCGCACCTTCCATCGTGACGATTGCATGTAGTACCATCGTCATGCTAACCACTGCCGACATTACCACTACTTCTTTGATCAGCATTGCTGCGTCCATGCTGGTTCTTCTATGATGGTGGTACAACTTGTAATACTACGGTTGATGATATATATATATATATATATATATATATATATCCTGCATTACCCATAATCAGGAATATACCCCATGGTTCCCATAGTTCAGGGTCATTAAGGTAATGCAGGATTTACATCCCCAATATACCTTAAACTATAAGCAGCTTCATACTATGATTTAAGCTACATATATTCCTTAATTGAGGAGTATTGGGCTCTCTGGGTCATCTAACCGTAGTACCATGCAGACGACCAAGAAGTCTTGATAAAATGCAGGGATCTGGGCCGCAGCCGGCGCCGCCCGACGCTCCCAGCGCCAGTGCCTCAGATCCTAAGATTTCTTCTTCTTTCTGCAGAGCGATACTACAGCACAAGACATAGTAGAATATAGAATAGTACTGTAAGAAGCAGAAGAAGAATTAGATGTAGGGGGCCTTAATAATCGGAGTCCCCTACTGTGATTATATTTCGAATAGCCCCAAACCCTGTTCTAATCGCTAAGGGCCCTACATTGGAGTTTTGCGGTTTGTGCTTCAGAGTTGAGGGCAGTGTAAAGAGACCATAATGAGGAAGCCAAAAGGGGTATAGTTTTTGGACGTTAAGGTCCTCCTTACATCATATAATCTGGGATCCTATCAATCAAGCAAAGTACATATTCCTGTCCTAAACTAGGGTGTATTCCCTAATGAAGGTGCATTCCTTTAATCATTGGATCTGGGGTCAGAAGGAAGAGATTTTGTCTGAGACTTCCGCAGCTTCCAGATCGCTTGAAGGGCACTCTAAAGGTTCCTTTATCAAAGGGTCCCTTGAAGAGATTCTAGAAATTAATCCTTTATGTAAGGGCTCCTGCAAAGGGGTTCTATAAAGGGACTATGGCTTTAGAGTTCAGGGTTTAGGGTTTTCGGAAGCGTAATCCAAAGAAGGCTTTTCCTGCAATGCACTACCTGCCAGTACAGGAGATGCCGACGCCGTGTATACTATATTGTGGTAGAATATACCATACTGGATCAGAAAATAGTTGAGTTCGGTTTTATTATGGCAACTTGTTGTTTCCCGGGCTCCTGCAACAACCGTCCCCATTTCGAATTCCGTTTGAAGGTCGCGCGATCTCCCCGTGCGTTTTTCCAGCCCGACGGCCGAAGTTTCCCGAAGCGACCTAAAGAATTACAGTTATATAGTATACAGTGTAAAACATATCATATATATATATATATACATATAGCATTTAACATATAAAAGAGGGCAATCAGCATATCAGATACTGTATATCCTGTATTAGTTATATCATACGCAGTATTTAGGCAGGAGGAGCCGGCGGCTAAGTAAGCCGCTTGTTTAGAGACTCATATAGGTATCATAAGCCCAAGGATCCGTCTTATAAGTCTACTTACTACCTACTTATTGAGTCCCATGATCCTCTATACTCCGAGACCCTAAACCCTAAATCCTATAGATCTCTTTGAGAAACCCATATTCCGGAACCTTACTTACGAAGTCTCATGACCCTCTAAGTAACTTAAACTCCCCTTATAGAGCCCTTATAGATCCCTTCAAGGAACCCTTTAAGGAGCCCTATAGATCCCTTTCTGGAAGCCTAACCCCTTTTCAAGGAGGTAGTTACTAAGTCCCATGATCCTCTAAGTTGACCCTAAACCCTAAACCCCATAGATCCCTTTAAGGAACCCTACAGATCCCTTTAAGGAACCCTTTTAAGGAGCCCTTACTTACTAAGTCCCATGATTCTCTAGGAGTAGCAGCTCCTGCGGCTAAGGTCATCACCCTCCACATGTCAGCCGACTCTCGGAAGCAGACAACGCAGAGATCCAGACACGCCCCTTAACTAAGGACTATACCTTAAACTATAGGGGGATCTTTAGTATGATTAAGGTGAGTTCTTCACTTTAAATAAGGAATATACCTTAAATCACACTTAGACTCCCCCTTCAATGTTTAAGTACATTCCTTACTTCAGGGGTTTTAGGGTCTCCAGCAGCTCCTGCAATCACCAAAAGCGCCCTAGTCCTAATGCAAGTAGGGCTTAAATTACGGTCCCTTTTCGGGTCCTTGTTATCAGGGGGTTGCAAGCCTTGAAAGTTTTTGAGGGTACTTTAATCTCTATACGATCGAAAAGGTTAACACATAGTCCGTCTCGCATACTGGACAACTAAGTTCAAACTGGCACCAAGATGTGGCACGTGCAGAAGCCCTGGCTTGTCACAGATCATTTCATGTTCAGGATCTACAGGTACGTTTGATACTTGTCTGGTTTCGGGCGCTTTCCAGTTACTTACTTTTGGTTAGTAGGGAATGGAAGAATGGTAGTAATAGTAGTTGTAATTGTGCCCCATTCCTCCATTCCCTACTAACCAAACGTCAGGTTAGTGATCACTGCGCCTGGCTCAGGAGGGTGGCAACTCCGAATGTCCTGCACCTCCGGCTCCGCCAGTGACGAGCTGCTTGGCCAAAGCTCCCCAGCTTGGGCCACAGAAGCTCCGTGAGCATGACTATCATTGCGATCGCTGGTATTGTAGCTATTAATGCTCGTCAAATATGATTGCTGTTATCATCGTTGCTATCAAGAGCCCTGTTATTCTTTCTTTGGTCGTCGCGGTTACTACCATCATTGGTTTGCTTTCATCCTTTTCTTGAAGTCATTCGACTTCCTTCACGCAGGTGCTGCGGCCGATGATTCTCCAGGAAAGCGCTGCTGTACTGTGATGTGATTCTGGGTTCTTGTTAAGTGACTACATTTGAGTTACCATAATAGGGATCTATAGTAAATAACATGGTTTCCTGTTTATGGCAACTTGACTTAACTTCCTTATCAAGAACCCAGGATTCAGCTGTGCGTGACTTTCTTTTCCGAGGGCACTCATGCAATGTGCACTGAAACGGTTCCTTCCCTTTACCTTGTGTTACGAAGTCTATCACAATATAGCCGAAGCCAGAAAGTTGGAACATAATGATTCTCATACCCTTCAGGTAAAGTATAAGGGATCCCATCATTAATCATCCTAGATCCATGTTCCAACTTTCTGGGGTTCACTGTAAAGCCCCTATATTATAGAACGCTTAATTACAGTAGTCCGTATAACCCCTTCAAAGAAGCCCCATAACCCTAACCTACACGTGGGGCACAAGCCTACAGAAGACGAAGTGACGTTCCAGGAGTAGATCGGCGACCAAGCCCCTGGTGACATATGTCTAATATAGGGGCCTTAATACTTAGAACAGGGTATGGGGTTCCTTTGGAGGGGTTAATTTAATGGGCTACTTTACGACTAGTTACCTATACTAGTTTGGGGGTTCCTTATTGTAATTGTAGCATAGTGGGCTACTCTAATCTGTAAGGCCCCTGTAGTATGTCTAGGCAGAGCCGGGCGACTGGCTGCGTGAAGAGTGTAGGCCGCAATTTGCCCGTGACAGCCGTCCGAGTCATCGAGTCAGTGAACATCCATACGAGACCTTGGCTGGCAAGACTTGCGTCCCAGATTCAACAATGTTTATCATTTTATATTGGCTGGAACCGCCTGTTGTAGAACTTCCTCTCATTGATTCCGTTTTCCGGATCCCGGAGCACTTTTCAGTTTAGGGTTTTAGGGTTTCAGGTTTAGGGTTTGCGGGCACCTTAAAGCATGAAGACTTTCAAATTGCTCCCTTCAGCTTCAACGAGAGGAGTTAGGACTTGCTGCAAGCTGCGCGCTCTGCGCTTCGCCTGTCTTGCCGAACGCGGTGCTGACAAGAGTTCCGCGCGGCGTTCGAGAAGGACTGGCGAGAAAAGGAATGAAAGCTCCGAGCTCTGATTCTGCAACACTTTCTTGGGCTTTATGGACAGTGCTCTTACGAAGTATCTTTGTCTTCAGGGTAAGAGAATACCCCGTGGGATTATCGAAAGCTGTGTTTTTGTATGGCTCTTAGTGCGGCTAAGTTTATAGGGTGTTTGGGGTTGAGGCTGTAGGAAGGGGATACAATGGCCCTTACGGCCCTAAACTCTGAAGCCAGCAGAAACCCCTGAACAAGCCCTGAATCCCGAAGTCCCGCAATCCGTTCCGGGGGAAGCCTGGGAGAACCTTCGTAGTAGCCCTTACACTGACAGAACAGGCTGCAGTCCAGAAAGTAGCCTTTGCAGTAACCCGTGAACTACTTCTTGTACAACCTCGTAGAGCTCGTAAACTGACCCTTACTGACTGTAACCCTCACCTCTCCTCGGAAACCTTTTGGGCATTGTGGAAATCTCTAGGCCTTGCGCTGGGAAGCCCGGGATTTCTCGGGCGGAAGCCCGGCTGCGCCCTACCTGCAGAACCTGAAGGCCACCACCTTTGCGGGTTTAGGGGGTCAGGGGTTTAAGGTTTGGGGTCCTAGGGTTTAGGGTTTTTTTTGGTTTGGGGGCTTAGGGGTCAAGTTTAGGGCTTCCTGTCACTTGCAAGAATAGGGGGGGAGGTGTGCTTGTCGTTGCAGGGGGCTAGAGAGGTGTCACAGCAATCTGATTGAAATCTAGCCTGTGAAAGGCGTTGCCGTAGAGCCTGCTATTTGCGAAAGGTTCGGATTGAGACTACGGTAGCTGATACTCGGTTAATGACGGGGAGTGAGGATGCAGAGCTGACACCTCGGCACAGCCAGAGCACACGCTCTCTTGACTGTAGATGATCCAAGGGGAAAAGGAGGGACCCTTAATAAGGACCCCTAGGTATATCCCCTTAATATAGCTATTATATACCCATTATACAGCCCAATATAGGGACCCAGGGGTCCCCATTAAGGGTCCCTCCTTTTCCCCTTTGAGATGACGGAAACCCCAGCCCAAACCCCAAACTCTGATCCCCAAAGCTTCCGTCGCTTGAGGCGCCTTTGCCAAGGCCGCATACTATGGAGGCCTTAATAATCTAGGTTGGATTTTGGGATATTTTTGTATTTTCCTTATTTGGGTTTATAAGGGACCCTATATATAAATATTTTTCAGGGTGTTTAAAGGCCAACCCAGTAATTACCTACACTATTTGACTGGTTCCTTGTTATAGTAATAGTATTAGGGCCCCCGTGACAAAGGCTCCTGTCTTTTCTAAGCCTACCATAGATCCCTTTAAAGGAACCCTTTAAACGGAATCCTATTCTCATTATTAAAGCTCCGAAAATGAGTTGTCTTGGAGCAGGGTCAGATCGACGAGCTCGCACGTCGCATTCCTTGTGCTGCGAGCTCGGGGGACTTAGAGCTGAAGACGGCTTAGGGTTTAGGGATTTAGGGCTTCGGGATTTAGGGTTTAGGGAAGGAAATTAAGGATTAGGATTTAGGGCTTTGGGGATTAGTATTGCAAGGTGAGGGTTTCTGGGTCGGGCCGAAAGTGGCAGACCTTCAGAGGCTCGTGGCTCCTTGCGCTCTCTTTCGAAAGCAGGCATCAAGGCCAACAAGTACTTCTTCGTCAAGAAAGTCCACCGTGCAAGCACAGTGCCACATGCCACTGCATCACTTCCCTGTTTCTCCTTGCAACAGAACTAGCTTTGGCACTCGTTCATCACGTGAAAGCACCAAGTATCCGGAGCATGTGGGATTGGACTAGATAGCTGGGCCCTGCCAACCTCCCATTTTGCGTTTGGTTCAAACTAGTGGCATCGTCATAATAAATAATGAAACATGAATCAACTTCATGAGTATCGTTCTTCTTATCACTACCAACCTCATATTCATCTTGATTTTCGACGTGCCTACTGTCGTTGGCAAAGCGACGCTCCAAGGCTGGAGGAGGCTCCATCCCCTACGCCACACAGCGTGTGGTCTGGGGCTGGCTTCAGGCCCGAGGGTGTTTTAGGTTTAGGGGTTTAGGCTTCAGGGTTTATCCCCACACCCTAGACCCCAGATCATGAGCGAGGTGGGGAGGGTGGACATGGGAAGTGTTGAACTGGCAGCTTTGCAGTGCTAGCTTTTGGAGCTTCTTATTGGATGATTGTGGCTGTTGGTATTAACGGTATGGTTATCGGTAGTTCCCTGGCTTCTTGGGACGGCTTCTTGGGACTTGATGTGTGCGTTTTATCTTGCTGACGCGACTGCGGGCTGCGGTCACTCGTGCCCACGCTGTCTCTTTCACCAGCTCTGAGCTCACACTTTAAAGTTATACCAGATTACATTAGACTATATTGTTGAAATAGTATCGTCAGATACCCCCTCCGCCCCCTGGAGCCTGGAGCACGGCCGTGTCTCAAACGCTTCCTGCAGCGAAATCCGAGCTTTCTGTTGCCGCGGATCAATCATTGAACGAGAGTGTCTGAACCTCTTGGCAGGTGCGGCTGATGCAGGAGTGTCTCGAGGCCAAAAGAGCTGGGGGGGCTGTTAGAAAGGTCACAGCTTTGCACTTCCAGCCTGATCAATTGACACCGGGGCCTGCCTGTGCTGCCTCGAATCATCCAGAGTTGATCCCTCCTCGATCACCTGTTGAGTCAGGTCGTGGCCAAGAGTGGTCGGCGAAAGACACAGGAGGTGGATGCCGCGTCATGTGTAGACGCTGTGGTATGCTCCATGCAAGGATGCCTGCTCTGCAGGCTCCAACAGCCCCTAAACCCTGAAACAAAAACGAGAAAGCATGGACTTACTGTGCACAAAGGTATGAAGTTCGCAAATCTGAGGGCTTCCCTCGCACATCTCATGTTTCCACATGGAATCCCAGCCCTCTGGAGCCCTTGGGAGTTGAGGCACATTCATGCGATATCATATATTTTAATGATATAACATACAATGTAGTATAACACAAAAAATATATCATATGATAGCATATCATATCATGAAAGATAATACAATGTAGTACAACACAGAAATATCATATAATAGCAGGGCCACGTCAGCAGTTTGCCATGCAGCGATCGCCGCTCGAGTTTTACTGTTAAGGCCTGTGAAGCATTGAACCTGTAGTTTGCTTTCTGTGAACCCACGGTGCGACAAGAGAAAACAAAGCATCGCAGTTGTGTTTCGCCATGAAGCACAGAGCTCAGCTAGTTTCTATCGAACTGGCATCGCAAGATTGCCAGGAAGAAGGTTGGGTTTGCAATGCCGCCCTCGCTCACCTTTCTTCTCGCTGAGACATGCGTCTTCGTTTCCATGGTCCTGCCCCTCCGGTGGATTCGTGGCCGCTGTCCTCGGATCGGAAAGAAGCTGGCACAGCTCAACAACTGCGGCTACGCATGCGCGAGTCTTCTCTTCATACCATGGGCCGGCGCTGTGCTTCTTCCTGAGCTGTTGCATGAAGAATCCTGGAGTGCTAGCCTCCCACAGAGAGGAGAGGTCGATCTGATCTTCGGCATTTACTTTTATTCGAAGGCATGGGAGTTCTTGGACATCATCTTTGTGTCCCTGATGGGCATTCAGCCAAATCTCCATTTCATTGTGCACCACACCACCACGCCGTGCCTGGCGTGGCTAGTATGGACCTACAGGTGGGGGGGTTCCACAAATACGGGACCCTAACATACGTAGTACCCTAAGTAGTAGGATCCTTATTATAAGGACCCCAAAATCCCAGGTCTGCTAGTGGCGCAGTCTTCCTCCTGGCAAATGTTCTGATGCATGTCTTCCTCTACGCGTATTTCGGTGGGGCGAAGTCGAACTTCGTCTTTCAATGTACCCGCATCTGCGGGCATGTGCAGCTCGTGATTGGCATTCTTGGAAGTACTTTGGTCTTACGCCAGAAGCTGGCGCAAGGCTCAGGCCTTCTAGATGGTGCCACGGTAGCCGAAGCAT